TTTCATTTCTTGAAACTAGTTGGGAAGCCCCCCGGTCCCTACCCCATGCCCCCGGCTCCTTCAGCTATGGCTACGAGCATGATTTGCTACTATATTATCTTAGCCCGCTGCCACCGCTGCTTAATATTGAGCGACTTGTTTATTCGACTGAATTATTCGACTGGATTATTCGACTGAATTATTCGACTGAACTATTCGACTGGTTTATTCGACTGAACTTTTCGACTGAATTATTCGACTGGTTTATTCGACTGGATTATTCGACTGAACTAACTGACTGATTTTATCGACTGGACGAGGCCACATGAAAATGTCAAATACCTCATCCCCCCCCACCCCCGCCCCACCCCATCCCCTTTCTTCGTTTATATCATATATAGGGACTCTATTCTTTTCGAGGCGGACAAGGACAGCTGTCTAGTCTTTCGGATGGGACGAAAAACCGAGGTCCCGTGTCTACATTGGAGTGGACGTAAAAGATCCCTTTGACAGATGGAATTCGATATAAGAGTAGGCCGTAGTGCCGCTGTCCGGGCAAAATTTCCCTCATCGCACAGTGTATGGCGTCTGCCCGTCTTCATTAGCCCAGTTCCAAGCAGAACAGTAGGACGTTAAAACACCATTTCATTTCTTTTCATTTCTTGAAACTAGTTGGGAAGCCCCCCGGTCCCTACCCCATGCCCCCGGCTCCTTCAGCTATGGCTACGAGCATGATTTGCTACTATATTATCTTAGCCCGCTGCCACCGCTGCTTAATATTGAGCGACTTGTTTATTCGACTGAATTATTCGACTGGATTATTCGACTGAATTATTCGACTGAACTATTCGACTGGTTTATTCGACTGAACTTTTCGACTGAATTATTCGACTGGTTTATTCGACTGGATTATTCGACTGAACTAACTGACTGATTTTATCGACTGGACGAGGCCACATGAAAATGTCAAATACCTCATCCCCCCCCCCACCCCCGCCCCACCCCATCCCCTTTCTTCGTTTATATCATATATAGGGACTCTATTCTTTTCGAGGCGGACAAGGACAGCTGTCTAGTCTTTCGGATGGGACGAAAAACCGAGGTCCCGTGTCTACATTGGAGTGGACGTAAAAGATCCCTTTGACAGATGGAATTCGATATAAGAGTAGGCCGTAGTGCCGCTGTCCGGGCAAAATTTCCCTCATCGCACAGTGTATGGCGTCTGCCCGTCTTCATTAGCCCAGTTCCAAGCAGAACAGAAGGACGTTAAACCCCATTTCATTTCTTTTCATTTCTTGAAACTAGTTGGGAAGCCCCCCGGTCCCTACCCCATGCCCCCGGCTCCTTCAGCTATGGCTACGAGCATGATTTGCTACTATATTATCTTAGCCCGCTGCCACCGCTGCTTAATATTGAGCGACTTGTTTATTCGACTGAATTATTCGACTGGATTATTCGACTGAATTATTCGACTGGTTTATTCGACTGAACTTTTCGACTGAATTATTCGACTGGTTTATTCGACTGGATTATTCGACTGAACTAACTGACTGATTTTATCGACTGGACGAGGACACATGAAAATGTCAAATACCTCATCCCCCCCCACCCCCGCCCCACCCCATCCCCTTTCTTCGTTTATATCATATATAGGGACTCTATTCTTTTCGAGGCGGACAAGGACAGCTGTCTAGTCTTTCGGATGGGACGAAAAACCGAGGTCCCGTGTCTACATTGGAGTGGACGTAAAAGATCCCTTTGACAGATGGAATTCGATATAAGAGTAGGCCGTAGTGCCGCTGTCCGGGCAAAATTTCCCTCATCGCACAGTGTATGGCGTCTGCCCGTCTTCATTAGCCCAGTTCCAAGCAGAACAGAAGGACGTTAAACCCCATTTCATTTCTTTTCATTTCTTGAAACTAGTTGGGAAGCCCCCCGGTCCCTACCCCATGCCCCCGGCTCCTTCAGCTATGGCTACGAGCATGATTTGCTACTATATTATCTTAGCCCGCTGCCACCGCTGCTTAATATTGAGCGACTTGTTTATTCGACTGAATTATTCGACTGGATTATTCGACTGAACTATTCGACTGGTTTATTCGACTGAACTTTTCGACTGAATTATTCGACTGGTTTATTCGACTGGATTATTCGACTGAACTAACTGACTGGTTTTATCGACTGGACGAGGCCACATGAAAATGTCAAATACCTCATCCCCCCCCACCCCCGCCCCACCCCACCCCCTTTCTTCGTTCATATCATATATAGGGACTCTATTCTTTTCGAGGCGGACAAGGACAGCTGTCTAGTCTTTCGGATGGGACGAAAAACCGAGGTCCCGTGTCTACATTGGAGTGGACGTAAAAGATCCCTTTGACAGATGGAATTCGATATAAGAGTAGGCCGTAGTGCCGCTGTCCGGGCAAAATTTCCCTCATCGCACAGTGTATGGCGTCTGCCCGTCTTCATTAGCCCAGTTCCAAGCAGAACAGAAGGACGTTAAACCCCATTTCATTTCTTTTCATTTCTTGAAACTAGTTGGGAAGCCCCCCGGTCCCTACCCCATGCTCCTTCAGCTATGGCTACGAGCATGATTTGCTACTATATTATCTTAGCCCGCTGCCACCGCTGCTTAATATTGAGCGACTTGTTTATTCGACTGAATTATTCGACTGAACTATTCGACTGGTTTATTCGACTGAACTTTTCGACTGAATTATTCGACTGGTTTATTCGACTGGATTATTCGACTGAACTAACTGACTGGTTTTATCGACTGGACGAGGCCACATGAAAATGTCAAATACCTCACCCCCCCCCACCCCCGCCCCACCCCATCCCCTTTCTTCGTTTATATCATATATAGGGACTCTATTCTTTTCGAGGCGGACAAGGACAGCTGTCTAGTCTTTCGGATGGGACGAAAAACCGAGGTCCCGTGTCTACATTGGAGTGGACGTAAAAGATCCCTTTGACAGATGGAATTCGATATAAGAGTAGGCCGTAGTGCCGCTGTCCGGGCAAAATTTCCCTCATCGCACAGTGTATGGCGTCTGCCCGTCTTCATTAGCCCAGTTCCAAGCAGAACAGAAGGACGTTAAACCCCATTTCATTTCTTTTCATTTCTTGAAACTAGTTGGGAAGCCCCCCGGTCCCTACCCCATGCCCCCGGCTCCTTCAGCTATGGCTACGAGCATGATTTGCTACTATATTATCTTAGCCCGCTGCCACCGCTGCTTAATATTGAGCGACTTGTTTATTCGACTGAATTATTCGACTGGATTATTCGACTGAACTATTCGACTGGTTTATTCGACTGAACTTTTCGACTGAATTATTCGACTGGTTTATTCGACTGGATTATTCGACTGAACTAACTGACTGATTTTATCGACTGGACGAGGCCACATGAAAATGTCAAATACCTCATCCCCCCCCACCCCCGCCCCACCCCATCCGTTTCTTCGTTTATATCATATATAGGGACTCTATTCTTTTCGAGGCGGACAAGGACAGCTGTCTAGTCTTTCGGATGAGACGAAAAACCGAGGTCCCGTGTCTACATTGGAGTGGACGTAAAAGATCCCTTTGACAGATGGAATTCGATATAAGAGTAGGCCGTAGTGCCGCTGTCCGGGCAAAATTTCCCTCATCGCACAGTGTATGGCGTCTGCCCGTCTTTATTAGCCCAGTTCCAAGCAGAACAGTAGGACGTTAAAACCCCATTTCATTTCTTTTCATTTCTTGAAACTAGTTGGGAAGCCCCCCGGTCACTACCCCATGCCCCCGGCTCCTTCAGCTATGGCTACGAGCATGATTTGCTACTATATTATCTTAGCCCGCTGCCACCGCTGCTTAATATTGAGCGACTTGTTTATTCGACTGAATTATTCGACTGGATTATTCGACTGAACTATTCGACTGGTTTATTCGACTGAACTTTTCGACTGAATTATTCGACTGGTTTATTCGACTGGATTATTCGACTGAACTAACTGACTGGTTTTATCGACTGGACGAGGCCACATGAAAATGTCAAATACCTCATCCCCCCCCACCCCCGCCCCGCCCCACCCCATCCCCTTTCTTCGTTTATATCATATATAGGGACTCTATTCTTTTCGAGGCGGACAAGGACAGCTGTCTAGTCTTTCGGATGGGACGAAAAACCGAGGTCCCGTGTCTACATTGGAGTGGACGTAAAAGATCCCTTTGACAGATGGAATTCGATATAAGAGTAGGCCGTAGTGCCGCTGTCCGGGCAAAATTTCCCTCATCGCACAGTGTATGGCGTCTGCCCGTCTTCATTAGCCCAGTTCCAAGCAGAACAGAAGGACGTTGAACCCCCATTTCATTTCTTTTCATTTCTTGAAATTAGTTGGGAAGCCCCCCGGTCCCTACCCCATGCCCCCGGCTCCTTCAGCTATGGCTACGAGCATGATTTGCTACTATATTATCTTAGCCCGCTGCCACCGCTGCTTAATATTGAGCGACTTGTTTATTCGACTGAATTATTCGACTGAAGTATTCGACTGAACTTTTCGACTGGTTTATTCGACTGGATTATTCGACTGAACTAACTGATTGATTTTATCGACTGGGCGAGGCCACATGAAAATGTCAAATACTGAAGCGACTAGATACTATGCTGTCATCAGTTTTATGCATCGGACACAGACTTAATTCAAGTTGTTTATATTAGTACGGCCATTGTTTTCAGTTGATGACGTCAGTCGTTGACCCTTAACCCTAGATGACGACCTTACTCGCAAAGAGAGGTCAACACGTTGTTTAGGGTATTGCTATTGGAAGGAAAATCTCAATAAAATTGTGACTTCAACTGTCAGATTTGAACTTGGGGGGAAAATAATCAAAATAGACAAAAAACGATGTAATCATATTTGAGTTAGTGCGTTTTTTATTTCAGTCAAACAAACTATTCCCAAATTTTAGCCCAACCATCGACCGAGTTTGTTGACTGGAAATTCTAGTGGTACTTAGGGGTAATTGATTTAAACAGCAAATTTTACTCAATGACAATAAAGATCTCCAATCGCTGAAGGTAAAAATTTCGATATGCCGTACAAGGGTAGATAATTCAGTTCCGTCACACTTTTGGCTTGGATCGAACAAATTATTATTTTTTGTCAATAACCTCTGTGTGAAAATATGCAAAAGATAATAAATTCATTAAAAATAATTACATTGGAGTAATTGACGGCCGCAAACGCGATTTCCAGCCCAGAATCGTTCTCTAGCGAGCTCTGAACAATGAACATGGTCGGCAACATTTTTTGTGGGAAGGGACAAATCATGTAAATGGTCATCGGTGGTCATTTAAAGATAATCGGAGGTCGAAGGCAGTGAAAATACACACCAACAAAAAGGACTGGGCTCATCTCAAATATTAGAATTTAAAAGTCTTCAGTGGTAGGTGTGGGGGGGGGGGGGGGGGCTTCGAATAACACAATAATAAAAAAAAACAAAACGAAAAAAAAAACAAAAAAAAACGCGCATAAATTAAACAATTATTTAAGAAGAAAACTTATATTGGGTTTTACATCAACTGTCGTTGGGCAAAGCGAGATATAACGTTTTATGTGTATGTCCTCGATCAACAACTCCCAAAAATGCAAACAGTAACCAATTACTTGGCACGTATTTGTTGGATGTTTTCAATTTCTTTTTCTAAAATAACCAGCGGTTGCCAGGCAAGATATACGCCAACATTTTGCAAGAGATGGATAGAGAACAAGCTAAAAAAAAAAGGGGGCGATTTTTCTTACAATCAGGGACCATAATCCTGGAAGTTATGATCTGAAATGCGCGAAAGTCAAAATGAACTGAGATATTTGGGATATAAAGATATATTTTAAGTTTCATTAAAATCGGATAAAAATTGTGACTTCTAAGGGCCCACAGGCTAAAAACGTGATTTTTCGTACAATCATTAGCCATAATCCAGGAAAATCAGATAAAAATTGTGATCTCTAAAGGGACCACAGGCTAAAACACGATTTTTCGTACAATCAATGGCCATACAGGAAGTTATTAACATGTATGTCATGTGGGTTATTAACATGTATTTCAAGTTTCATCAAAATCGGATCAAAATTGTGTCCTCGAGAGGGCCCACAACCTTGATATACCATATATTTACAATATATTTGCGTATGAGGGGCGGTCATTTTGTCCGCCAGTTTTTTGGTATGATTTTCACGAAAATTCGAACTCAACCATCATTCGGGTGTAACGGTGATATATTCAAACGTTTTCTTTTTTTAAATCCGATAAAAATTGTTACCACTAGAGGGACCACAAGCTATACAATCAAGGGTTATAATTCAGGAAGTTACGATCCGATATGCGCGAATATCGACATGAACCAAGATCGCTGGGTTATAAACATGTATTTCAAGTTTCATCGAAATCGGATCAAAATTGTGTCCTCTAGAGGGTCCACAAATTGTGGACAGACGTCCGGATGGACAGGGGCGACGACAATATACGTCCACATGAAAATGTGGGCGTAAAAAAAGAACTGGGTACTGTGGGAGGAAATTCGATATACGAATTCCGTAAAGAGGTAATCTAAATATTAAGGCCACCTGCAGATTTCTTCAAGGTCTAGCGTTAACCCTAACCCACAATCTCGTCAGCAAGATTTACATTTCGCGACCTTTACAAAATCTGCAGGTGGCCTTATTATTTAGACCCGACTCCGGGTGGGATAATTCTAATATAATTAATCCCTTTGTGCGTTATTTTGATGTCTTAATTCTGATATACATAAAGGGAATGTACAGTCACGTAAAGAAAAAGTGGTTCAATCGCTGTGACATTTGCAATTACACCTGCGCGATGATCAGAACAGAAATCAATTTAGGCCTACATCCAATAATCCCGGCGCGTACACCCCGAAAGAGGATTTTTTCTCCTACATTCCTCGAAATTGCTGCCGTTTTGGCTTCACTCCACTGTAAATCCCTTACATGTATGCACCTAAAAATGAGAAGAAATATTGTCTCAGAACTTCTGATTTTATAAAATTCGCGGTAATCCCCCAGAATTTATGCCAGACTTGGCGTTTTCTCCGACCCCTTTGCTCAAATTCACGAACACGACCCCGCAATCGTCGGTAAATGAAATGGGGTTTAATAACGTCCTTACTGACTGTTTCAATAGCCATGAGATTAACTAACTTAGGCTACTGTTTTGCACCAACTGCATGAAGACGGACTTGCGTCAGGCAGTGGGCTATGGGTACCGACTAGTGTAGTCACGGCCTTATTTTAATTTCCAACTGTCAGAAGATCTGTAACGTCCTGCCACGTACAATTTTAACGGAACTGCGGGTTTTCGTTCAATGTTCTTGGGACAAAGTAAGAGGGACGCAATGTCGAGCTGTGCGTCATAGTTTTAAGTTTTTGCCCCCCTTTGAGTTTTTGCGCCCGCTCGCATATGACAAAAAATCATGCGGTTTCAATACGGTTTTCAACATTATAATCATAAATAAACATACTGCTCAACGAATGCCAAACATATACCGCGGGCCGCAGATATGATACAATATGATACAATATCGACTCTAGCATGTTCCACACAGCCCAACATTACTCGGTGGCACTGGGAGGAACTTCCACCCTGCACACACATATAAATATTGTTTTGGGGTTTTTTTTTGGTGCCCGGACGGGATCTTGCTCCTCATACAAAGTCATGGGTCACGACGCCCCTGTCATGTCCTCCGTCCTGCACCACTGGCACTGAAAAGGGGGGACCAAAATTATCTCGCCAACAACCGGGAATAACCATCGACCACTTGAGTGAGCCTGTACGACGTACCATACTAACCGAGCCAATTATGAACCCTTAACAACCAGAGTAAGCCGGTATAGCCTACAAGCAGTGATGTGGTGACTCCTATTAAACTGAAAACTCGCCTGTCAAAAAACAGAAATATTTAAAACCTATTTAAGAACTCATCTTGGGGATTCTGTCGGGACTTAAGTCTTGCTATTCTGAAAGTTGGAGTAAGAGGCTCGAGATTATTCCTTGTATTGGGTTAAAAGGGTTGGGTTTGGGGTGCTATCCGACGGCCCTTTGAAGTGACATCTTAGAAAAACCTTACTATAATCCCACTATTAGGGATATATCCTGCTTCACCATGAATTGTAGTTACTTTAGTAACGTATCTCGCCGATACATATACTTTACTAAAGTAACTACATGAATTATATATTGGGAAAGTGTTTTTTTTTTTTTTGGAGAGCCCAGGGATGGGTTGTGGAACCCGCGATGAATTGCAGTATTTCTTAAAATTTCGATTGTATCTTAGTTTAAGTTTTCGTGAATAAGGGCCCAGATTCTTAGTTTGCGACCTGTGGAGTAGCTAGGAGCAGCGTTTGCAGTTTTCAAAGTGGCACCTTTTCGAGGTTCGTTCATTTGTTCAGTAAATGGTAATAATATGGAAGGACATGACTTTATTCTGTCGACATCCTAATGTTTTGATTTTAATAACAACATAAAAAAAGTATAATAAATATAAATTATTCGGTAGGTGTGATGGTTCTAGATAATAATATAGATAATATATTTATGTAATATGACAGCTAACAAGACAGTACCTGCAAGTAGAGAATGATAAGAGAACACTTTTCGAAACGCTGTGCTATATGTTTCAAAGAAACCAGTGCTTATATTCAATATAAATGTTGTTGGCGGTTCCTGGGTTTTCCAGCAGAGGAGCCCTCATATAAATTGCGATTTGGAGCCAAACGTCCTGGACATTGAATTCAATCAACTTGGGCGATTTTATCTTAGCATCGATCAGAGAGGGGGGACAATTCTCTTCTCTTCCAGGGAACAGTTCGTTTGTGACCGGAACAGTTCGTTTGTGACTAGTTTTCAACTTGAAGAAATGAAATGAAATGGGGTTTAACGTCCTACTGTTCTGCTCCTAACCAACTTGAAGATGTGCGCTGGAAATCACAGGGTTGTTAGAGGCGAAGTCGAATTTTTATTTATTCTCTTTTTACAGGGGTAACCTGATCGGCAAACCTATTAGTTAGCTTTGCGCTTATAATTTTATGCTGTATTTCAGGAAGAAATTACCCGCCACCCCCCTCCCCCGCCCGGAAGCTAGATTTCCTAAAAACTGTGCCCCTTTTTGTCACTGTTGAAAATGAGACTGTCAATTCGTGTGTTCTGCCCAATAAGTCCCACTGATCTGTTACCCTGAGTCAGAGTTGAACATTCTATCTTATCCTAAATACGAAAATTTGAAGTCAATATATGACCCCTATATTATGCATTTATTTACATTCGGACAACCCCTATATGCACTTACAAACTATCTTTGTGTCTTCCTGTTGTTGAATGTCCTTCCGTTCACAATCTCTTTCCATTGATCCCTGCACAAGGGCGGATTTTGTGTGTGTGTGTGTGTGGGGGGGGGGGGGGGCAAACGCGACGCACACCCCACCTATCTTGATTTGGTGGGTGTATTTTAGAATCAAATTTTTGTCTCAGATCAGGAGAAATGGTATTTCCCGGGCTGTAATTTTCGATATTTTCCATGGGAGGCCACTTGGACTTTGTGCCTTCGGCGCTCGCAACGTGCGACTTCGCCTCCCGTGCCCCCCCCCCTCTTTGGTCTAGATCCGCACTTGCACGCAGATCGGAGTTGATTTGTTTGACCATATTAATTAGTTGAATCAGAAGCGTATTGGGTGTTGCTACTTTTGATCTACTGCACTGTAATTATTTTTCTGTTGGGGCAGTAGACGACGAGAGAGATACATAAGGTTTAACATATTCAACACAAACTAGGTCATTTTGGGATTAACATATGGTTCAATTTATTTCAATTATTAGCTTGCAGGTACAAGAAACCCTGAGGTTGGACAGGTGACCCTATTCCTTGTCACGTACAAGCTGGGAATCGAAACTATGCCACTTGACTGAATGACAGATCTTATGATCTAATGCCCACATGTTAGACCATTTGGCCACCCAACACCCGGCAGTAGAATGATACATAAGACAACAGACACAATTTTATTTTACCGCAAAGACATCGTTTAACTTTTCAAAATATGACTTTTGTTTCTAAACATAAAAGAAGTAACTTACTAGGGAATAAATATAGCTTTAATACAAATAGAAGATTACATAAATAATTTATAAACAGAAATGATTCTTGGTCATCAACTGAAATATCTCATTTATCAATTAAAATATATCTTAGTTAACAACTAAACAATCTCAGGTTTTAACTGAACAATCTCAGGTTTTATCTGAAGTATCTCCTTTTTCAATTGAAGTATCTCCTTTTTCAATTGAAGTATCTCATTATGAACTAAAATATATTTCATTTATCAACTGAAAGATCTCATTTATCAACTGAAATATCTTCTTCATCAAATAAATCTCTCATTTATCAACTAAAATATTTTCTTCATCAATGAAATATATCTCGTTTATCAACTAAAACAATTGAAATATACATCGTTTATCAATTGAAATATCTGACTTATCACGATAATAAACAATCTATGCTACAACTTCAAACACTGATAACTTCGCTCAGAAAAAGGTAATTTGAAGGAAATTTTCAGTGTATTAATTTTCATCATCTATTTATGAACTATTATAGCCAGAATGTCCCGTTCTTTATCTAAATCTTACATAATGCATCTTTAATAAATGTGGTAAATACATTTTGGCAGGGGTTTCAACCATATTGACCAAACAAGACTGACTAGAACCGGAAACCACTCAAACGCATCAATATAAGGCATTTTTGAGAATTACGGCTTAAAACAGCATAAACACTATTACATTGGCTTAAACATTCATGGAATGATGACAACAATAACTGTATTTCATGAAAATATATCTAATATATTTTGGGTTAGTAAAATGTTTTAAAAAGGCAGTGATTTGCCCTTACGCCAAGCATCATTGTATATAAAGCAAATGTCAATGCAGTGGACATTATCATTATTATTATATTGGGGTTACTCCCACTTCAATATGTAGAATTCACATCCCCCAGACATAAAACCAGCAGTTGCCATGCAAGATACACCCACATTTTGCAAGAAATGGGTAGAGGACAAGCTAAAAAAAAAAATATATAAAAATAAACATTTATTTCAAGTTTCTTCAAAATCAGACAAAAATTGTGACCTCAAGAGGGTCCACAACCTTGGTATTACATACTTTTACAACAAGGATCACATAATATTTGCTATTATGGCTTACATTATCTCCATCTGTGATATACTGAAAGTTATTAATCACCTCAAATGATGATCCATGACTTTAAAACAAAAAAAACCCCAATAAAATCAACACGATTATGTCCCTTTAGTTTTTATTTAAAGATTGCTTTATCAGATATTGTTTTTATATTTGATAATTTTATCATGTTAAAATGCTAATTGTATACATATTTTTATCAGAGTTGAACAAATTGACAGATAGTATGTAAAAGTTTGGCTACTCCTTATATAAATAATATCTGGAATGTATAGAATGGGACATACATATAAAGCCTGTATGCCTATTTAGTTGTAACAGTAAATTTAATATTTGAGCTTTAATAAATAATCTAATAATAAAAAAAATATAGTACGATCAATATCACTAACATCTGAAAAAAACAAAAGAAGAAATCCGCTTCCACAGAAGTGATATCGCAGACAAAAAGTATGTTTTAATAAGTGTACCCTAATAAGGCAGGTAGATATTATATAATAGTAGTTTAAAGAATATATAAAATGACCAAATCAAAGTGCTATGTAAGCCATGCAGTATTTATTATATACACAATTTAATTCAAATCCAGTCATAATTAATCTCCATTCTTCACACAATGTCGCACATATAGACCTCCCCTCATTCACTATGTTAAAAGAACTGTCAATAAACATTAGTGTAGACCCTGTGACATCATGCGCCAATCAACTGGATTAAGGTTGTTTTAGAGTGTCTGACACATAATTTTAATCAGATTGGTGTGAAATTGTTGTACAGGGTTTTTAGTAAACACAGGTTTTAACTAATATCAGGTTGATATTGTCTTTCTATGTGCTCTTTAAGCATAAGGTGCACTAGCCTATAATATAACAATATCTGTTTTTGCTACATATATATATATATGTTGAGCAATAATTGTAAAATCAATTCTAAATCAACATAACAAAAGGTCAAAGTTCAATGAATGACTCAACTTCAACATTAACTTGAACAACCATATCTAATAAAAACATGGAGTATGTTTGGTTTACCAGTAAACCATAATAATTAAAACAAATAAACAGTGAGGCTGATGTCATCTGCCTAAATTCCAAAGATATATATTATTGCATATTTATCTTTTTTTGTAAAGTTTTGTAAACTAAACAAAGGTTGAACTAGAATCAAAATTATGGTACTCCAAAATAACCATTACTAATTAAAATTAAAACATTAATATTGCAGAAAATAAGCAAAACAATTACCAAAAAATAAAATACAACCTGCTGGTTTTCAATGAATAAAAACAAGATTTAAAACAAAATTAAAACTTAAAATGGCTAACCCTCTTTTATTTGGGTCAAATTGTTTTTTTTAATGATTTCATTAGATTTGTTGATCTGTCTTCAAGGAGAACATAATATCTATAAGGTAATCGACACAAATAATTAATCACATCGAGCTTGCTCCACAACTACTGAACTAATAAGATCAACCAGATCAACACAATGGGTTTTGTTTTTATTATGGTGATATAAGCCATGTCCAGTCAGGTCTGGGGGAACCACAGTGGTTAAGTGAGGACGTAGCTGGCTGGCTTTGTGTAATTCCAAATCCCAAGGGTTCTTTTACTTATCCCATCTGAATGTCTAGATGCTGTTCCTTGCCAGATTGACAGGGGAAACCATGCTGGAAAATCCTGAGGAACATTCCTGGCCAACACCTGGACCCCCTGGTTTAGCGAGCAGACACTTTACTCTCTGAGCTGCTGTGGTTCCCATGACGATACATAGATACAATGTAACAATATTTACATTTTTTAACAATAACATTAACAACAGAATTCTTTTTTTCCATCTACATCATCACAGTTGCTTGTTAGTAGGAAATAAAACAATTCCAACAGGCCAAATGGCAAGACTGTTATTATGTAGTCATTATATAATTAATAATATTATGATAATTATTCACACACAGATGTGACGTCATCCTCTGATGTTGGCATACCATTATTTCAAATGTGCCAATCCTGCAATATTTATAGAAGATGACCTTTTAGAACAACTGAAAATATAGCTTACACTATCACATAACCACCATCTTCCCAATCCTACAATATATCATACTATAGAAGATAGCAGTCACATTTTTTGTAATCTGTATTTTTAGTTGTGAATAGGTCTCGAGGAGTATTGATATAATACTTCGTTAATTTCTCACTCACAACCTTTAAACCACACTTAACGTTATGCTATTATGACAAACATCTGGTACCTTACTGTTACCATAGGCGTAGGAGCCTAGGAACCGTCCATTTTTCGGACACAAACATCAGAGAATGAGACCATGTATCATAGAAATATAATTGTATGATTTTAAAATGAAATCGCTTGCAGTTTACTTTTTGAATACTATAATACTTAAGACCTCGCGCAATAACAAAACAGACAACAATGAATTTGGGCAACTTGCTGTCTTAATTCTGATAAATTTTTAAGTTAAACCAAATATTCGAAAATTAACAGCAGATGTTTGTTGTATTAACTTGACATTGTCAAGGTGTGAGATCAACTGTCACTAAATGTTTTAAAACAAACAACATGTATATATATATATTAATATTTTAACAACCCAACAACCACAAAATGTATGTGTTAGCAAGCCTGGAAATAGAGAACCTGTCACAGACAATGTCAGGTACAACTTCAGGTTCTGTTATGTACAATCCTGCTTGTACATGTCATTTTATCCAGAACAGATACTTTCTTTTTTCTGGGTTTCTATTGAAATATTTTATACATGTCTGACACAAAGTTAAAATGTTAGGTAGTAGTTCAATAGTGCCTGACCAAGCCTGGAAATAAGGCATCTTTCACAGATAATGTCAGACACAACTTCAGACTTTGTCGGGTACAATCTCTATAGCACCTGTCATTTTGTCTGGCACAGATTTCTTTTCTTTCAGTCTTTTTATATGACATATTTTATACATATTTGACACTAAATTTAAATGTCAGGTAGTATGACTAAGGGTATATGGAATAGCGGTAAATGAAATGGCTGCCATCTTTAATGGATGAAAAATGTTACCATCATCAACTTCAGACTTCGATGTTGACGCAGGGAAAAGCCTAGATTTGCTTAACACTATGTATATATATCTGGTAAAAAAAGTGTGCCTAGTACATTGAAAAAAAAAAAATTTCCAGGCCTGTGTGTAAATTATCTAACCTGTGTGTACAAAACGTCCATCTACATGGGCACCACTTTTTTATACACAGGTCACAATTCTCTGGAAAACAATTGCTGTTTATTAAACATACATTATGCAAGAGCTAAATCTGCCTATCGCAGGTCTGTCTTTAGGCCTGAAATGTTATCCAAATTATTAATTTGACATTAATTAACTTATCGAGACCATAATGAACTCTCGATGTCATCGCTAGCTTGCGATGTTTATTGATTTAGGTTCCGATTTGCTGTTTGACTTCCATTCATGATTTAATCATGAAATGGATAATCGAGACTATGTTTTTTATCTTACCAACTTTAGTAATGATGATCGAGGTTAGGTGAAAATTCAATCGCTAAAATCGCTGGGATCAATTTAACTGAAATTTCCCTTTACATTATCCAGTTTTTAACTATTATAGTGAGAACTGCCAGCTCTTTATCGAATCTCCCATAATATATCTTTAATGTGTGATGTTTCGACTAGCATATTGTTTGATAAAGACTAGAGAAGCCTAGTCGAAACTCACATTAAAGGAGCATTAGTTAAGATTCAGTCAAATTGCTTAACACTGAAATGAGATATTAGCGATTCAATTTTAGGCTAGCCTCAAACGTCATTACTAACTTTGGTGCGATAATAAACAAAGTCTCAATTATCCATTTTTACGTTAAATTATCCATCACAAAATGTATTCAAATCCACTAAATATTGCAGGCTAACCATGGCATCGAGAGTTGATTATGGTCTGGATAACTTAATTAATGTCTAATTAATAATCTAGGCCTAAAGTAAGACCTGCAATAGGCAGATTTAGCTCTTGCATAATGCATGTTTAATAAGCAGTAATTCCTTAGAATTGCGACCTGTGTATTACAGTTCAATCAACTAAATGCCATTGAAACAATTCACTTAGTAAAATAGTAACAACCATATTTATTTATCACATAAGACTTGTTGAAGGCACTAATTCCACCGAGAACTGGTCACATAATGGTCCATTCTAGAATGAGGAATGGGATCATAGGAATGGTGGTTACGACTACTTTGACTAGAACTCGCTGAAGTTTCATATCTATCACAGTGCGCTTGGTTCGGAAATGAGTTATGATGCTGGTGGTTTCGTCCCGACTCCGGATACCAATGATTTTGATTAGGATGATAATTTGGTTTTGAGTGATCTCCCCTTGTATGTCTATCGTGATATCTTGTTTCATAATGAGATGCCACTGGATATCTATGACTATGAGGAGGATAATTTTGCTGGCTCATTCTGGTGTTATAGAATTTATCGTCATATCCAGCCCTGTTATAAGTCACGTTTCTGCCATCGGTACTATTCTGGGTTTGATAACGATCTAAGTCTGCAACATTTCTTGGGTATTTCGTTGAAGGAGAAACATGTTGAATTGGACTCCCTGAATTGGTGCGATATGAATCTAGTTTCGTACTTGTCTGATAACTATCTAATAAAACTTTGGAATTCGATGTTTGTGATGTGGTATATTCCTCTGAAAAATAAAATAAATTTTTAAATTTTATATTCCATATGCTGATCTTAAACTGTGGCGAATATGGTGGTGATCAAATAGGCTTACAAATGCAATTTGCCACCAGCTCGCCATAATCACAAGGTGATCATTTCAAAATTACTCATGAAACATATTCTCATAGCATTCACAATATTTATGTAAGCCATTGCAAGCCATTCTTATTGATGGGAAGGCATTTGTCGTGATCGCAAGACATATGTAAGGATTTGCTAGTATTTTTGTTGATTTTTCCTTAAAAGAATACCAATGTAAGGCCTCACGTTTTCAGTATTTCTCAAGGCAAATCTTATTATTTTGCGACAAATTTCAAATGTTCATATTTGCAAACATATTCTCTATTCGTGTGAAAGTAGCATCAAGCCTATGATCTTTTATGCACGAAATTATATGCAAGGGATTGAAGAATTGAGGAAGCCAACTACAATACTATAAAAGTAGCATCAAGCCTATGATCTTTTATGCATGAAATTATATGCATGGGATTGAAGAATTGAGGAAGCCAACTGCAAACTACAATATTATAAAAGTAGCATCAAGCCTATAATCTATTATGCACAAAATTATATGCAAGGGATTGAAGAATTGAGGAAGCCTACTACAAACTACAATATTATAAAAGTAGCATCAAGCCTATAATCAGTTATGCACAAAATTATATGCAAGGGATTGAAGAATTGAGGAAGCCTACTGCAAACTACAATATAATAATAGTTGATTGAATCTCTATATCAATCCAAAAATGGCTCATTTCCATTCAGTAATTACAAAGATATGATGACCGCAGGAAACGATATAAACAAGCGTCACCTATAAATGTTGGGTAGAATGTTTTGATGAACAGTCTTTTAATTCAATTGAATCCAAGCTGTGGGATTATCTACCATGGATATTTTGGTATTGTTTGTGGTCTTAATTTTAATCAACTAGTAAAAAAATCAGGATCAGCAATTTAAAGGATTTGTAAATGAAATGAAAAGGGGTTTATAACGTCCTGCTTTTCTGTACTGACTAGGATAATCAAGGCGGGTATATGCCATGAGGGCCTACACTTATTTCGAATTGCATCTGTGAAGGGTTATTTTATGTGCACACCAAATTTTACACAAAACAACTTGACAATGTCCTTAACAGGCCAACCATCCTGCACAACTGACATGGGGAAACCCTGCCGGAAAACCATGAGGAGCATTCTTGACCAACACCCGAAACTTCCTGGTTAGCGACTAGCGACCTAGCTTCTTACGCTCAGAGCCATTGCAGGTCCCTTATTAATGAATTGTAGGCTGTATTTAAAAGTCATATGCACGAAAAGAAAAAAAGGGAGTTTGTTTATACTCTATTATTTTTACATAGGGGATTAGAGTCAAGCCGATGTGTACACTGTTGGTCGCAAGTGGTTTTTCCGATCCATCTGAACAACTTATGTCCACTTTCCTTGTGATACTGATAAAGAGTCTTCTCGACAATACAAGACGAAAATCATGCAGTGAAGGGTAGTAAAGGCCCTGTACACCCACTTCAATGGGAGAAGGCCTCAGAAGGGCATCCAAACAAAGAGTGAAATTAAATTACATTTATTGAGATTATCTGTTTACTTTGTTGCACAAGCTGCAGGCCCTATGTTGATTTGAATAAGAAGTTTACCTCATCTGTTTTGGCATATAAAATACTCAATCTGATTAAAACACAGATCCTATCTCGTTTCGTTTTTATAGTTCAAAATTTTGTTTTACTTGTCTTTAAAATACTAGAATCTGCTAAATGCCGCTCAAAGAAGATACTAGGATCTGGTGGATGTGAGTGATTAGTCAATGAAACGGTCTGTTGCAGCAAGTTCTAGGCGTGTGGTGCACGGAACTGTAGGTATCCCACTAGAGACAACAACAACGATTAGTTAATGAAATGTCTGACATCATAGGGACAAAAGACGTTCATATGTCCCCTGATGCGACCTCCCACTACAACAGCTCAGATGTACATGTAGTGGAGGCCATCGAAAGTATAAAAAAATGAAACAAATATAGATCTGTAGTTTAATCAGATTTTAAACTACTGGGCCCTATATACTTGAGTCTTGGGGGCATACAATCAAGGAGTTGGCCCCGAACTATATGAGAGGAAATGATACAACACAAATCCCAGATATAGGTTCTGTCCCTTTTAGAAATATCAACAATAGACCTTTATTAAATAATCTTTTAAATACATTTCAATACATTGTAACTAAGATTAAAGTGATCATAAGATTAATTAAAGTTGATACTGGTAGCCTATATCAGATAAAGCTAAATATGCCTGAAGAACTAGTATTATTAATTACCTCTTCAATCACACAATGTCATTAATATTTAACATTACATACACTTCCTTTGTGGGCTCTCAGTCCCTGAAATATATTATAATCTCTATAGCCAAAACTTGACTGAGGTACATTTTAACACTTTTCTGACCCTCATTTATATTGAATCTGTCAGTAATGGCGGCCAAAAAAGAAATAAATTAGTAAGAAGAATGATTTGACCCCTTTTTTAAGGATGTAAATGGTTATTCGTTTGTCTAGTCAGTGTTAGGTTACATATTTTTTGCTTTTTTTTTTTACACATACTCCATGACTTTTACACACTATATTTTTATGGGTGTTATGATGGATAGATCATACTAGTAGTTTGTATAATATTAAAACGAATAGTTAAACACGTGCGCGTTTAGATCATAATCTGTCATTGAGTAAAGTGTTGTGGTTTCTATTCTCCACTTAATTTACGTGACAACGAGTAAGGGTCACCTGTCCAACCTTGTGGGTTTTCTTTAGAATTCTCCTACTGCTGAAGACCCCTATGTGCAAGCGATTTATTAAAATAAAATTCAACCATATGTTAGTCCCATAATGACCTTGCTTGTGTCAAGTGGACATTAAACCCTATTTCTCTCACCTCTTTGAGTTGTGTGCTAAAGCTAATCAAAGAAATCAAATGAAATGGGTCTATGCAACGTCCTATTTCTGAACCAACCGACTCATTGAGGAATTCTAGATCAATTCATAACACAATACCTACCGTACCATAGAGCCAACTTAAATTTACTATAGTCTGATCATATAATGCAGTTGGTGGAGAACAGTCAAGATACATGTAGTAGTCTATACCACCATTACTATGAAGGTCGATTGGTATGAAAATTTGACAATACCCACTGGGGAGTTCGGTTGGATGGCCCAATGGTCAGCGTGTGCACATTCTAAAGGTCTATCATTGAGTCGAACTGGCGTGGTTTTGATTCCCCCGTTGTACGTGACAAGGAGTATGGTCGTCTGTCCAACCTCATGGGTTTTCTCAGGTTTCCTTCCACTGATAAGAACCCCTGCGCGCCAGCGAATTATTGAAATAAAATTGAACCATATGGTCTTTTCGAGTTTGTGTTAAACCCTTTCTCTCTCTGTCTCTCTCTCTCTCTTTCACACATACACACACATAATACCCACTGAACCAGTGCCAGTGACTGCAGCACTTTACCCAGAGAAAATAAAGTAAAATGAGGTCCACCATAATAAAAAAAAATAACATACTCTGCAGTCACTGTGTTCAAATGGCAACAAAATGCACACGATTTCAACAACAAATTAAACTGCAAATAAAATAAAATCTACACGCAGCTAGTTCAAAGACCTATCGGTATGTCGTCAATATTCACGAAGTTCAGTTGCACAACACCCAAAAAGATTTCTAGAACATATGTCATATAACACACATTAATAACTATCAACACTGGCATAATTATGATTTTTTTCTCACGACGACGTCCAGCTTCATTGGACAGAAAATAGAATTTTTGTAAGATTTACCTTGTCGGGGAAAGATGTTTTGCGATGTGTGATACGTTTCCCTTGGCCAGTATCTGTTATTAGCCATTCCTTTTACAATTAAACTAAAAATATGGCCCAAAAATAGTACCGTATGGTAGAGACTCAGTTAGGCTGTGAAGTGTGATGAAGGCCAAAAGGTAAACAACAGTTCGTCTGTTCACGAACCAAGAGAAGATAACTCTAATATGACCACGGTTGATCTCAAATTCGATAAGAATCGACCAGTGCACATTTTGCATTACTCGCGGTCTATTACAGTTTGTGTTTATTTTTAATCCTAAAAATACTTCTGGGCACAAAACCAGACCCAACTGTTCTATAGTATTGTAAAATTTTGCGTAGAATACGATGCAAAAACGGAAAATTTGACCTTTTGACTTCCGGGGTAAGAAAGAACATAGGACATAGCAAACAAACCTTAATATATCTCAACGTTTTTAGCTACGTTCTCGTAGCTAAGGACATAGGAGTAGGTGAATTTCGCAAGTTTACATATTTATTGAAAGGGTGGTTACTTTCGATCATTTTCATTATAATTATACCAGAATGACTGCGCATTCACTTTCAGTGCAAACGACCTCATTTGACCCCGAATATCTTAAAAACGCCCCAATGGCAGCCTGATTACCACTTGGCAACATATTCTACATCAAGTTGGGTTGGTGCCAATTTCATGGACCCCCCCCCCCCCCCTGCACTGAGCCTCCAGACTATATTATTGCCTTCTTGTTGTCCCTGTTAACCAAACTTCTTACACTCGACCACATATAAATTTTTTAATGATATGAGGCAGTGGCTGTACCAGATTTTTCATAAGGGGTTAGGTGAAATGAAATGAAATGGGGTTTAACGTCCTACTGTTCTGCTCCAAACTGGGCTAATTAAGACGGGCATACGCCGCCGTACAGTGTGCTATTCCAACTCTTATATCAACTTTTTTTATGTGCACGTCAGTGTGTACACGGGACCTTGTTTTTCCGTCCCATCCAAATGACTAGACAGCTCTCCTTGTCAGGCCCTCCGTCCTGCATCACTGACAAGGGGGAACCATGCCGGAAAATCTGGATGAACTTTCTCGTTCCAATGCAGGGATTGAACACCCGACCTCCAGGCTAGCAAGCCAGCATCTTGCCCACTGTGATCCCCGTAAGGGGTTAGGTTAAAGGGTGCAAATTATGTGATTTGGAATATGTTGTGGAAAAGGAACACAGTATTGCATAATGCAGTAAACTGTGACAAGATAGTTATATCAATTGGATGAAAGTTTGACCTTTCAATGACAACTCCTCAAACCAACTCACGAAAGCTAGAAGCACTTTTTTCATCTGCTATGCTTGAGTTATCCCTACAAGTGACATCTGGGCTTTGAAAAAAAAACCCTAAGTTTATCTTGGGCCTCTAAATCAGGATTCAACCCAAGAATCATTGCTGTAAGATTAGCAAACCATCAATGTCAATGGCAGAGCTTAACAGTTAGCTTTCTAAAAATGCTTAATTTTCAAAAAAATAATTTGACACAAATCTTTCATAATTTTGTTGAGTTGAAACTTTATTTTCATTACATTTAAGGATGAGACTGTGAAACAATAGTCAAATAAAATTTGATAAATTTATTTCTGATGAAAAAAACAAGGCAATTAAAAATACTACAATGACAAGATCGAATTTTAAGTTCTCATATTTTCAATATAAAAGAGCTGATAATTGTTCACATAAATCTTTCTTAGTTTTTCTTCACACAAAATTCAAAATGAAGCAACAGGTGCACTACTTTAATTTTAGCTGAAGTCATTCTTTAGCAATTTAAAATTATTAAATCTAAAATGTAAAGTACTACTTGAATAAAGCATGAATTGAGCTAACATCAATTGAAGAGCATACAGCACCATCATTTATCTAATTGTATTGCCTGCCGTCCGGAGAACCAGAACTGAAGCCTGGAAATCAGGCAATTGTCACAAATTGTCAGAACAATTTCAGGCTTGTCATGTACATGGACAATCTCAATGCTGTCTGTCATTTTGTCTGACACAGGTTTGTCTTGTTCTGTGTTGATATTATTAACAGATACTGTTTGGTTGTGCTTTGCAATGTAAACTGAATGAGGATCTCATTGAAAGTCCTGGCAGTGCTTTTAAAGTTTGAATCTCTTGTTTTTTTCTGAACTTATTCAGCGTTATTCTATAAACTAAAACATGACAACTGCTATAATTAATAGAATTTTGAATAAAAATGTTACAATGATTAATTATATACAATGACATTAATCTCAGTGATGGTGGGGATATTATTTTCACTTCTGTTCAAATACTTTTTGATAGACCAAATTCTTTAATTATCACCAACTCCCAATTCTCAATGTACTATGGTCAAAATCGTTGCCATGATGGCGACAACTAGAGATAGTTAAAGTCCACTTTCAACCCAGGGTGATATAGCACACAAAAGTGTTCACAAGCTCTAGGCCATTCATATTTTAGTAGGCGTATGTTTGAACCAGAAACAGACACTACTGTTAGCTTACCCATGTCTTTGTGAATACATGGGTTATTATCAGCTAATTTCTCAACCTGGGCCTATATAATTTAATTCAAATACATATTTTCAGATGAAATTAAGTTTCAATAATCAAGCAGAAATAATTTTCCTACAAAAGTCCATTTCAAATTAAGTAACAAGCCTATACCCCTTCACCATCACTGAGAAGATTTTGATGAAGTTAGCTATATACAGCACGATACACGAAAACATAAAAGCACATTACATCTTCAAGTCTACATAACAACAATAGCACAGAACAAAAACATAATCACCATCATTATTACATATTACCTACTGGCAAATAAATTTCTAAAAAATTTCAAAACTACTGTTTTAATTCCAGTTTGTCTTAAGTTTATAGAAAAGTAATTCTCAAGATAAGACTTTACAATATACCATCTTCGATTTCTATTTTCGGTTAGTGAAAAACAAAATTAAAACACTAATTTACAAATACAAACGACAAAACCCAGTATGTATATATTGTCAATTTTCATGTCTATATTAAAAAAAAAAATGATGTTACAGCCGTTATTCCTCTAAAAGGTAGACCATTCTTAGCACTATATAGACAATCTCTTAACGACGTCTAGATTTACGAAGGTTGTTCAATTTATTGACAACTTCAATGGTACCATCTTCCTTCTTGATCTGCTGTAATGTATAACCATAGGCTTTGTGGTCGGTGCTGGTCATCAATCGTTCGACCAATTTCTCAATATTTGGAGTGATTTTGTGGATATTCAGAGAGATGAGCTTTTGATTCTGGAATTTACTCTTGTGCTCTAGGTTATATTTCTGACAGAAGTGACCAGCTAAATCTCGAATATATTTGGGTGTTTCCAAATATGTCAAGGCTCCTTCGATCATTTCGTCGACTTGTGAGAGTTCTTCCATATCTTGACGGACAACTTCCTTTAACCATGGTGCCAATTCATCTTCTGGTTCACCTGTGCATGAAATAAATAAAATCGATAAAAAAAATATATACAATTTTAAGACAACATTCAGAGCCACAGTGGCACAGCGAGGCAGGAGCTTGCTCACTAACCAGGAGGTACCTCGGTATTTTCTTGCATGAAAAACATATGTAAGAACTAGGGCAGTTGGAAATCTACAAAATTAGGGAGGAAAGTCCACTGTCAGGGCAGGATTTGTGAGAACCTTAAACGAAACATAGTTTTAATCAAAATAGAAATTGTCTTCCATATTATGTTTTTATATATGCTAAATGCCTTGTGAAGAATATTAATCAGCTACCTTCTTCTTTCTTGGTATCCTCCTTGATATCAGTATTAAAATCTTCTTCAGCATTCTGGTCCATCACCTCATCTCCATCAAATAGCTGAGCATTGGTGATAGCTTCAAATACTGGAGCCTCTGGTTGTTTAACTTTTAGTGCCTCAGCTCGAGCCTTCAATTCAACAAACTTGTAGACTTTATTGAAGGACGAGGTATCTTGATCAGTATGCTACAAATAAAAGACAAAATTAATAATTATAATTTAATTGGCTTCTAGTTCTCTATTGTCATTGTGATAAAATTTATTATACAAATCATTTACTCGATCATCAGATATCTTGGGCATTCTATTTCAATAAATGGCATGCACTTAAGTTTTGACAGAGAGAGAGAGATAGATATTGGGTTTAGGTCATATCAGGATTAACACATGGTTCCATTTTATTTCAATAGGGGTCTTTAGAAGTGGGAGAAAAACGAAGGAAATCGGGAAAACCCATGAGGTTGGACAGCTAACCTGACTCCCTTGTCACACTCAAGTAGGGAATGAAAACCATGTCACTTGACTCTAAATCAACTGTGTACTTACGTGAAGCATAGTTTGTGTCAAACTCAATTCTTTTATAGCCGCAGCAGATGCCATTCTGGTGGCTTGATTTCTAGTTGTACCAGATCCATAACCAATTTCTCTACCTTGTAACAATACTTTACAGCTATACAGGAAAAACAAAACCAATACATTGATTAATTTAACAAGGGAAATATGTCATCAATATCTCAAGCCTTTGGACTTGTAATCTTTGAATGGTATTTGGTAATTGAACATAATATAAAATACAATTCTATAGATAAAAATCACTATATTATATACATGTGACATTTCAACAAATTTGTATGTTTGATAACCACCAGTGAAATCTTGTTGAAATGTCAATGTGTATATAAAATAGTGATTGTTATCCATAAAACTATGTTGTGTTATACATGTTTTCGAAAAGTACACAGATTGACTACCCCTGTTTTATTGCATACCCCCAAAAAAAACCCAAGTCCATTTTGTTTCCATGTAAATTTCTAATTACCAAATGGAACAACTAATACAGTAGACTGCCACTTTTAAACATTTTATGATATTTGCTCCAGAATAAATATTTTATACCAAAAGTTAAAATTTCCCCCTATGGTTCAGACATTAGGTCTAATTTTTGTCATAAACTTAACTTTCGTCATAAACTTTATCATCTTCTCTCTACACTTCTTTCTCGTCCAGAAATATTGAGAGTTTGAAAACCTTGTCCAAATAAATTAGAAATCGTTGTCAATAAGTATGTGTTATACTTTCACGGTAACCTGTGTATCGCGGCCATTAATTTCTTTCACATTTAATCATTATCAAATTAAATTACCATTTTAAATTACCAAAAATCGTCTAAGTACTTGTATTTGTATAATAATTTGATGTTAAAGAAATTAATGCTAAATGCACATCAAATGATACCTGGGGGTTACAGTGTTTGTTGCTCTATCCACTTAGTAAATAGACCTAGGATCATCTCAAAGAATGAACTATAAACATGCACACCACAACCATTGGTAGAGAATATAATTATGTTCACTGATCAGCAATAACCAAGCACCACATTAACATCAATAAATCAAAATGTCCGTACAACTTACTTAATTACGTTACACTTTTTTGTTTTTGCTTGCTCTATAACTTCTTTACGTTTCTTAACAGGATCAAAAGGTTCAAAATTAGCACCCTGTAAATAAAACATAACTATTAACTCATGTATCAAATTCCATTTTCTTATTGAGAATCCAGTCTTTTCATTGGCTCGAGTTATTCTTTGTACTCAGATTTCTCCTGAGTGCAGCAACATAAATGGCATTGGTACTTGAGCTGGGTGCTTGTTTTGGCCATAACTGTCTGTATCTTGCCTGATGGCAGTAAAATTGGGTGGCTGGACAATTTAACCTGTTATACATTTGAACTGTGCTATTTCAAATTGAAATGTTTTTAATGGGAAGTCAGCACCAACATGGCTATATTGCACCAAACATATGTTGATTGTTTTGATAACTTTCCAAAAGTATATATAGCTAACTTGTTCACATAGCAAGATGATGTCCTTTTCATTGACAAGAGTATAACCAACCTTATCAGTCTTGTCTTCATTCTTTTTCTCGTCATCATTTCCATTACTTTCTTTCTTCTCTTCTTCGGTTTCTGTGAAACAGAAAAACATAATTTAAGAATATTCCAATTTTAATGTGGAGATAAAATTGTTTTTCAAAAAAAGATATTTGTTCCCTCTCTTAATAGTTTCTAAATGCCTAGGGTGCTCTTTCAAGTATACTGCACCTATATCTTTCGTCCTATCTGATTAACCAGACACCACTCAAAACAAACCAGGTCATTTCGGGACTAATATATGGTTCAATTTTATTTCAATAATTTGCTTGCGCGTAGGGGTCTTTAGCAGTGGGAGGAAACCGGAGGACCTGGAAAAAACCTACACGGTTGGAGAGACGACCCTACTTCTTGTAAGGTACATGTGGGGAAGCGAAACCACGCCACTTGACTCAACGACAGACCTTATGATTCAACGCACACACAGTGATCGACTTACCCATGCTTTCCACCACTTCAGGATTGCTCTCTACATCCCAAATCCATTTGATTAACAAATGACAATAGGACGCGCTTTCTTCCAGAATTCGGAACTTAGATCCACGCCACAAGTTCTTCTCCATCAGTATGATCTCTTCTGGTTTTCTGTCTACAATGCTGTCCAAGTCTTCAATATTCTGATGGAACCGTAACTGGAAGGCGTTGCTTTCCACTTGACTACCACATCCACGATAACTCACATAATCAGGGAAACCACCATTATAATCTTTAGTGAATCTGTTAATAAAATATTTTTTTTATAATTTAAAGACCACATAAGATCAAAAATCTAAATTGCATGTATGTATAGCCCATGCTTACTATATCAACTTTACGGCAAGTTCACACCAATCTGATCAAAATTAAGTCCGCTGTTAACGTTTAAGTATCCGACACGCCAAAACGCTTTTCGATTTTTCAATTACGACCTTAATCCGGTTGATTGGCTGGTGACGTCACAGGCACTACACATAGGATATACATTATCTATACAATATCTCACTGTCGGTACAATATAGCACTATCAATACACACAGCAACTGGACAAGCGTCTATTGACGGTCCAATTACCACGTGACTGGCCTAATCATAATCACCGAATTATCGTCTTTCATTGGTATAGATAATACATTTGTGATTGGAATATTTTAGAGTGAATTTAAAATGCTGTATCATGCCGTAGATCAATTTAAGCTGCCTTTGTTTAAATAGGCCATGTGTCAAATGAAGATGACTCAAGAAATCAGCGCATTTACCGGTAATTTGGATAACCCCGTAATACTTGATATCCCAACCTTAAGTACAGAAATACAAATGGTGCCAGTCATTTGTCGATATATTCATTATTAGCTATATAAGAATAATAACCATTTCTATACATAAAGAACAACTACAGTGAATATGGAATTTTTCTGATAACTATGCATAACATGTACAATAGATCGCACTCATTTCTCTGCCAATCAACGCTTGGTATCTTATCATGTACCGTTCCATGTACTACGGGTGTAGTAAATGAGGTTAAACTTCGCCGCGAAAATTGCACGTGATCATTCGTGGAGTTCCTGGTGCCGTTTGGTGGTGATTAAACTGTCAATGCAATTGTAAAATACTTTTATTATAAAGAAGATAACCGATGTTAGACATTATAACCAAATCGTATCAAAAACGTTAATCCATCCATCAATTAAATGTTGTTTAAACGCCAATCAACAAATAATACGAGGCTACTTGATTACAAAAACACTGGTGAGTAATAATTATTGGGTATATAGTAATTTTAAACAACTTATTAGTAAAACTTAATTATTTTATACAATTAATATGTGTGTGTATGATTCTACCATTAGTTCGTTCGTGAGGTATTACGCACACGTTCCAAGAGTGATGTCTTTGATCTGGCCGGCGTAAAAATCGATAATTACCTAATCAACATTCTTAATCCCACTAACGCTCACTGCTAACACCAACATGTAAATTAATTTATGACCCAAGCCTGTATAACTTTTATAGTCGGATTGATTAATTAATTAACGACACTACACTTTATGTGGAAAAGCGAAGTGCTCGCAGTAAAAACCACATAGCTGGACCCGTATATATTATTTACATATTAAAAGTGTTCGTCCAACAAGTTCCATATTGTAAAAAATTAATTAAGAGTTCAAGACTTCAAAGTTTAAAAGTTGTAGGCACTCTAAATTGGATCTTAAATTAAAATGAATTACAAAACAAATTATTCCGTAGTCAATTGTTTTATTTAATCAGACGTTAAAGAATACACACGCCGGCTGTATATAGGTAATTAAGGAATCAACATTCCGAATATGCATTCGGTCACTTGCCGCAAAGTGGATATAGTAACCATTGGCTACACGTATCTCAAAGTTTCCAGACCCATCTTATGTGCACTTTAAACAATGATTGATTGAGAATGGAATTAAGAGAAATTTAACATAATTACAGCAATTACTAAACATTGTATAATCTAATCCTTAGGTGACATTCATCGATTGAAATGAAAAGATAGGTTGCCAGGCAACGAAACAAGCCCACAGCAGCTAAATTGCCTGGGCAGTCAACAAGCATCGTCGCATATTTTTACTTCTGTTGGTAATGGAACATTTATAATATAAAAATGAAATGGGGTTTAAGTACTGTTTTGCTCCTACTGGGCTAATGAAGACAGGCTTACGCAATACAGTGTGTTATGAGAAAAATTTTGCTCGGGCATTGGCACTATGACCTACTCTTATATCGATTTTCAACTGCCAAGGTATCTTTTACACTTTTTTTTTTGGTCCTATCTGAACAACTAGACAGCTGACCTTGTCAAGCCCTCCATCTTGCACCACTGACAAGGGGAAACCACCCCGGAACCTGGAAAATCCTGATAAATTTTCTCAACCAATGCAGGAATCATATGCGCGACCTCCATGTCGTGACTCAAATGTGCAGCCCCACCCATTAGTCTCCTCTATATAATGATATTTACCAGAACGTTATGCCTGTGTATAATAAGCCAGTGATAATTGTGATCTGTGACAGCAAAATGAGCCAGAAGTCGCACAATCTATTGTTTACGATAAATGAACGAAGATGTTGAAAAAGGCTATAAAAAGAACTTTTACCTTTCGTGTATCATTAAAAAGATATTTTTAGCCCGTTTCAACATTTTTGTTCATATCATACACAATTTGCTATTTCAGACGCATTTTTCTACCATGGCTCACAATTTAACCGAAAATACAAATTAAGTGAGAAATTTTACTAACTGTCCATCATTCTCCATAATTTCTTCAAGAGTCTTGTTTTGGAACAGTTCCTGGACACTTTTCATGGCCTGGTGTTCCACTCTCTTTCTCAAACGACCCTGTGTTGATGTCAGGAAAACATCATTGGCATACATTCTATACTCATGCTTATCAACTGCTTCCTCGGGATGAAAATGGTAAACACACATCATGTTGATGAAATACTTGGTGCAGTAAATCTTCAAGCAAACCATTATATGGTCTGACTTCTTGATCTGTTCAGCTAAAAGTTCTAATCTCTTCAAAAATGGTAGCTCAGAGAATTCCAAAGGACAAACAAGAAGACTTGGATCCTCTGATGGCTTCCTTGCAGTTTCTTTTTCAGTAGGCATGTGAGCTAGTTTTCCCATTTCCTTGGCTTTCTCATAAACTTCTTCAAGGGTTAGATTTCGTAGCTTATAAATGGTATCTTTGTATGCGAGCTGTTTGTAAGGCTTGGCAAGTCCTCGTCCAAATAATATACCATCCAAGTAAATACAGCCAAACTTTTGATAGTAAAAGACATCAATATTAAGACCACAAACTTTGATACAGCTATGTAGGGTAGCAGTTTCATCAGATTTATCTTTGAATGTTTTCATTTTTTCCATCAATTTTTTTATTCTCTGGTCTCTGCCTTTGGTATTAATTGCTTTAATGGCAGTTCTGGGAGCATTATGTTTTGTTCTATGAGTTGGATTATCTTCCGCATTCTTCTTACGATTGTTTAATCCACGTCTTGTTCTCTGACGGCCTTCACGTCTGCCTCGTCCATCACGTGAACCGCCCCTACGACCTTCATATTCCATTCTTCCTGCCCCCCATCGTTGTCCAGAACCCATTCTGCCCATCCTACCTCCTGTTGGTAAATCTAGCAAGGATCTTCTTCCATAGCCACCGCCACCTCCCATTCCACCGCCTCCATAGCCACCACCATAGCCTCCATCGCCATAATCTGACATTCCCCTCATGCGTTTCTGTTGTCGCAAATTCTCCAATCGTTGTCTAAGGAGTGCTTCTTCTTCATCTCCTTCAGCCTCTAGCTCAGCTATCTGCTGCATCATTTCCATTTTGCGGAGCTTTTTGGACATTTCGTTCATCTGCAGATTCTGTGTTGACAGGAAGCTATCAAATTTATCTGAAGTTCCGTATCTATCCATTGATCCCCCTCCACCATATCCAGATCCCGTTCCAAAGCTGGATCCTGCACTGGAATTGCCAAAATTACCACCGTATCTGGAACCAGCCCCACTGCCATACCCAGAGCCTGAGTTGGAACCATAGCCTGAACCCGACGTGGCACCATAGCCTGAACCCGATGTGCTGCCATATCCTGATCCAGAGGTGGACCCATATCCTGATCCAGTTGTGCTTCCATACCCTGACGAATTGTTACCATATCCAAATGAGCCACCACCTATCATAAAATCATCTCGTTTTCTTTTCCCTGTAATAATAGATTTGAATAATTGAAATGAAATAGAGACAGAAAAATGGGTAATTTCCGGACTAACATTTGGTACGATTTTATTCCAATAATTTGCTTGTGTTTTATGGTAGGAAATTTGATGGCCCGGATAAAATTCAGGACGTTAGACAGCGGACCCTACACCTAAACATGCAACTTGATTCAATAACTGACCTTATGAAATATAGCTCACTTGTTGTTAGATCACTCACCCACCTAACCCAACTCTGAAATGAAATGGGGTTTAAGATCCTTCTCTTCTGCACTGACAAGTTTACAGAAAGGATTTCTCAGGAAATCTGTTTTATACCATTCAAACAATTTAATTTGCTGATCATTACTTATATTTATCAAATCTTTCAGGGGTCAATCCCTGCTGAAATGTACCCAGTAAATATTCAAACCAAGACATTCGAATATCAAAGATACATAATCTCCCAGCTTGATTTCAATTAAATTAAAAAGAGCTTTGTACATAGACTACTGAACCATTTTTTGACTGATAATCCTTTTAAATGACAAATCAAGATCATAAGGCTTTGCCAGGCATAGAAACATATTAATTACCTTTTTTGTCATATTGGCCGTTTATGTGTCAAGTACAAGCTGAGAATCAAAACCACATCAGTTGACTCAATGTCAGACCGTATGATCTAAATTATACAAGGTAAACCATTCGCCTCACCCCCACCCCCCTGGCAGTTCATAAAAGAAAATACTTCTACTATACCTGAGGATTTATTACCATAACCAGATTCATAATCAGAATCTTGGAACCACTGTCCATACTTCGACATTGCGTCCGTTCACCCACTAAAAAAGAAAACAAAATGCTATAACAATTGTATCATAAAACATATTCTAATTTACTTACCTTCACTGGAAGACATACGTGTACACATACAATTGAGAATATTGAAATTTTTCTTTTTCTTCAGAAAATTACAATTTGTTTTTCTAATACAAATATGCTTTAATATCTAAGATTTTTAAGTTTTTGTGGGAAAGTCAATCCAAAAATTAATTGCTTATAACTTCCTTTAAGTACTCTGTACAATAACGAGGTTTACACAACATAAAAATTTAACGAAACAAAAATAAACCATCATTTATGTATCACAATTTCTGTATATTGAGTATTTTAAGTGAAATATAATCTTCAAGCTATTTTTTTTTTATTTCTAGAAAAATAGAGTGTACAATGTACAATAAGATATGTACATGGCACGTAATTAAAATTATCCAGTCAGTACAGTACTGAGGTGTACTTTCTTTCTAAAGTACAATAGTTTGGTCAACGGGAAAAACCCAAACATGGAAAAGATACCGTTTGACCAATTATTTAAGTGACAAGTCCAAACATTTGGATGTCTGCGATTTGAAGCCAGTATTTCCTATCATTTAACATGAACAGAAATAATTTCAATGCTATGCTTCTTATTTTTACATATACGCAATAATCAATTTTCCAAATGATATTGCTTGTATCGAAGTTACGTTTATATGTTTACAGAATTTGATATTCATCTCCTCTGTAACTCGACGTTAATAAACAGAAATAATACATTATGAAATGATCATAATATGGCCTCATGAATCTCAATCAATGTCATATTATTGCCGTGAATAAAGTGCACATGCTGAAAATTACTTGACAGGCATGACACTTTACAAATAAAATATAGATAATTAGCAGAATGATGTACACATGGAAGCTCTTTGTTGTTGGAAACATTTATCCAACAAGAGCAACTCCGAAGATCGCAATACCAGATTCTTCTGTACAAAATTCCACATTTTTACCTTCTTTGTGTAGCGTTAATACGGTAATTGACACAATAATGTGTTTGCCGTTTGCTGCTGAATTTTTTATAATTGTCAAATCCAACAGAAAGCTGTTGATCTACTTTCTTCGATTCTCTTCAAATCAAAAACTGCAACCTATAGAAAGTAATCAGATGATAAAATTAAATGGTAAACAATGTGGTTTATTTGGCTATTTAACCAACCAAAACGGGTCTGGTTTACCACATACTATTCTATTTACACAAAACAGACATTCTCTGCATTTCATTCCACCATTTTCCAGTACAGTACATGTAATCTAAGCTTATCAACCGACAACATTCGTACCAGTCCACATCAAAAATCATATGCAGGTTTCAAATATAACATACATTAGCCAGATATCCCAATATTTCGCCTACACACCAATGACAATTATCATATTGCACTTGCAGAAAGCAGGGGTTAAAAAAAGGGTGCAGATTACCAGTTTAAAAAAAATTATTGGTACAATTCTTATACTGCTCCAAATCCTTTACTAGTATCCATTTTTTTAAGAGGTTTGAAAATCATAGGGTAGTTTCCGTTCAAGGCCCCCAGGATTAAAATTACTGGTATTAGTTATTAGTGGTATTCCATACTTTGAGATTTTAAGGAATTTCTTGAATATGATAACCATAATCTAGGGAATTCACTTGGACCTAGAGAGCTGTACTAGCTAGCACAGGATAGTTTGCCCAATAGGCCTACAGAGTAAAGCGAGAACAGTAAAGTAGATACACATGTGACATATCAATTACGGCCAAAAATATTCCCAATTCTGCATTTGCAAGAATGTTAAGCACGAATAATGCCTACTACATGTAGATCATCTACAGATCCTGTAATACTAATTCCTGCATGACATTAGGTTTTTCTAGTAGGTTTTCTATTCATTGGCAATTGATTATTATATAGGCTAATAATGATTGAAAATTTTAATTTCAAAATATTAAATACAAATACAAATCTATAGACAAAATGAGTTATCAAATAAGGGCAGGTCCACATGACCAGCTAACCATTACACGTTTTTTTTAATTTTGAGTTTGGTTTTTTCTTTTCAGTTGTACCCGAAGACCTTTGTCTGCAAACAGCGAGTCGGCCATTTTGAATTTATTCATTTTTAATCGGCCCGATTTCTTATAAGAAAATTAAAAAAAAAAAAGACATTTTAGCCTAAAATAATGTGGTTGGTCCATTTCAAACAATACTCTACACCGTTTCCTAACAGCATGTGGACAAATTATCTGATTTCTTCAATTAACTTGACCGTACTTTTTGATTTTCTTGCTTGCGTGCTTCTTCTACACGAGTTCTGTGGCTTCTACTCGAACGCATTAAATCTGGGTCATTTCCTGTCAGGGGAGGCAACTACATGCCGCTAATTTGAATAAATCAATATCAAGACTTGGATCCTCCAATATATAATTTTTCAAAATGAAATATGCAACGCACCGAATCTATCAAATGTGTATAATGACTATGTATAATATTTACAAAGAACCTTCACCAAATTCTAAAAGTTACTCCTGGCCTATGACACATCGTCATCTGACCACTGTCAACCCTAAACAACAAACAATCCGCTAACAGGTGACCACCCCATTGCCCTTTACTGCTTGATTAATTCAACCTCTGTTTTACAGCCTGTTTTTGATTATTTAGAATATACATAATATAATGTTAAACTTATAAACAGTAAGTCTCTGTCAAAATGTGAAATCGATAATACATGCAATCAGCAGAAAATGAATTGGTACTGCTAGGGATCTTTTATAGGTACCGTAGTCTACAATAGAATGGAATGATGGAATGGGGTTTAACATCCTGTCATTACATTACTTTGGTCATTTTGTGACTAACAAGTGACATTTCACATTCAGTGAATGCGATGCAAAGGACTCTTTGTATATAGGGCCTACACACAGGTTTTACAGTTCCATCTGAAAGAAAATGCATCTTTTGCTTGTCAGCCTTGAAAAGTACTGAGTTCCTGGCCCACAGTGTGACCACATTCTATAAGGTATCAGTTCAACGAGTTTTGTCGTATGATCAGCCCACAATGTGACCACATTCTATAAGGTATTGGGTTCTACGAGATCTGTTGTCTGATCGGTCAACGGTGTGACCACATTCTATAAGCTATAGGTTCTACGAGTTCTGTCGTCTTACTGCCAGAGTAACAATAGAGAATTATAATATTAGCGAAACAGACTAAAACCGGTTCCAAAACATTTCAATCTCAAAGGACAATCAAGTAGAAATGTTAGATAAAAAATAATTGAGTTTTACAAGACCGATTCCGATAGTGACAAAAATGCTGCTGCTGGAAAATTATTGAATCCAATTGGCTTACACTTAAAAACCCTTGCACCAGATGGCATAATAATAAGATTTAGTCCCAATTTAGAGTTGAAAATCCAATCTACAAACAAACACATGGTTGAATTTTATTTCAATAATTCACTTGCATGTAGGGTTCTTTAGCAGTGGGAGGAAACTGGAGGACCCGGAAAAAACCCATGAGGTTGGACGGGCATCCCTTTTCCTTGTCACATACAACAGGGGAATCGAAACCACGCCAGTTGACTCAATGACAGGCCATATGGAATTGAAATGGGGATTTGGGGTAAAATGACTTTGCTGATCAAGATGGGTATATGCCATGCGATGTTCGTTTCCGTGCACGTGAATGTGTACATTACTAGACACTATTCCTTGCCAGGCCTTCTGTATTGCACTAGTGAATAGTGATACACTGATTTAATGATATATCGTGCCAGCACTACTGTCTATTGATTGTAAAGAAATGGTAGTCATACAATGGTTTAAGAAAAATTTAATGATTATACAAATGAATTTATACAAAATGACAAACATAATAACACAAAACCATAATATGGAACACAATTACTATTTAACAAAAATAAAACAATAATCATTATATCATCAAAATTTATCTTCATTACAGGTGCAGGTCCGATCCTTCCCTGTTTGCGATTGTCTCCTACAGTCATCGAAATAACGTGAACCAAACATACATGCAAAGCCTACATGTATGCACCTAAATGAGAAGAAATATTGTCTTAGAGCTTCTGATTTTATAAAATTCTTGGGTAATCCCCCAAGATCTCACACCAAACCTGGCATTGTCTCCACCTTTGACCCCCTGCTGCTCAAATTCCTGGACACCATCCTGCATTAAACATCTTTGAATCTTATTAATCATATCAATTTAGGATTTCTAACAGATTAATATTAACAAATAATTACAGAGAGAGAGAGAGAAATGGGGTTTAACGTCTACTCGACACAAACTAGGTCATTTCGGGACTAACATATGGTTTAATTTTTATTTCAACAATTCGCTTGTGCGTAGGGGTCTTTAGCAGTGGGAGGAAACCAAATAATTACAGTGTTATATCTCTAATAATGTGGCTTACTGTAACTAAACAACTAACTCTATGTTGGTTGTCAATTTATTTAAGAATTAGAGTTTTTAATCGCATAATTGTATGATTCAATTAAGGAGTTTGTAGATGGGCAACTTTTTAACTCCATGCAAAGATTTGACGCTGTATATTTTCAATAATTAAGAATACCCGGTAACATAGCTATGATATCTGACTCAATGACAGATCTTATGATCTGAAGTGCATGTGTTAGACCACTCGACCAAATAATAATAATATAACTATTGCTTCACTCAGAACCGTAATATTAGCGATTCAATTTTACTACTTTTGGTAAGATAATAAACAAAGTCTTAATTATCCATTTTTAAGTTAAATCATCCATCAGAAATCGTATTCAAATCCACTAAATATCGCAGGCTAACGACGGCATTAAGAGTTGATTATAGTTTTGATAAGTTAATAATGTTTAATAATAATATAGCAACTTTAATTATGTAGTGATACATAGATGATTAGTGTAAATGATGAGATAGTAGTAAGACTTGTACAAACAACCTAAAGCAAATATTACCTCAATCATTTTTAAAAACAAGTATGATAATACTATATGAGCTAGGAAACAAGCATGACATCATTGTCACCATGTTGGAAGTGTGACGTCATATCAAAAATAGAAGTCGTCAATCATTGCACAATTGTCAAGGAAGAATCATGACAATTTTCTTGTTGAGGGTATTTCATTTTAGCGCAGTTATAGACTTTTTTCCAAGGGTGTTGCCCCCCAAAAAACAACAAGATAAAGAAACTGATGGGTCGAATGTCTTTACATGTACCAGTAACTAGATTCTGATAAACAATTCATTTAGAAAAATATAAGCTTCACAAAATTGTCTAGTTTGTAAAAGATTGTCAAGCAGTAAAACAGTCAGTTATTGTTTTACAACATAGCTACACGTAAGGTCACTTCGCATAATTTATATCTTTTAGCTTATGTACACTGATAACTCTTAGAATGAAGTACTGGCTATATAGATTCTATTACCCCTGTCAAACCGGGCTGGCATCCTTAGTCCTTCCTGTGCTGAGCGCCTCAAAGTTTGCCAAAGCGTGGTAAAAACATAGTAGAAAAAACATATATCGCGCTGTGGTCTCCATTGTCGCCGAGCCACAGCATTTGTTTTGAGCTGTTTAAAGCAAACACCAAAGTTCTGCAATCTGGCCCGGAAAGCTGTGAGAACGTGACTTTTTTCAAGTTTGTAATTTTTTGGGACATTTTCTCTTGTTGTGTTCAAGTTTGCTGGCAACCTTGTGTATTTTCTGGTCGCCGTACAGTCGCAGCAGCACAGTAAGGACGCCACCCCACTCTGGCAGGAATAAATCTGGCACTCGAATTATCTCTGAATGATTACCCTTATTTATGATATCCCTCAGCTTGTCCAAACTGCACAAGCTTTCTTTTAGGAAAAAATTTCCCAATATTTAAAATAAAAGTACATCCACATGAAGAAAAAGTCAATTGTATATTATGCTGTAGTTTAAACCATATTATAATATTCACTGTCTGGAACACGAAATTGTTGATATCCACTGTCCTGCATGAAACCTTGATCAGAATAATCAGTATCCCATCCAACTGCTGGTGTGTTGGAATCAAAATAAGCACCTTCCATCATGGCCATGTTTGTATCCTGATATTCTCCTTGTGAAAAATCATAACCTGCACCTTGATCCATACTAAAATCTTCATAAGCTCTTTCAAATTCTTCACTAGGTCTGAGCGGAAGCATTCTCTTTGCTCCTCTATTTGCTTTGCCAATACCCTTATTTTGCACTGCACCATGCTGAGGATTGGTAAAAGATTGGTTCATCTGTGACATAGTAGATGGTATTTCATAGTATTCTTCTTGAGTGTCACCATAGTCCATGCCAAAGTGTTCATCGCCATAACCTTGATCATAACTTTGTTGAAATTGTTGATTGGAAAACTGATTTAAACCCCCTCTCTTTTGTTTTTTGGCCCCCTGATTCTGCATCTGGAAACCTTGATTCTGCCCTTGGAAACCTTGGTTGTGCCCTTGGAAACCTTGATTCTGCCCCTTGAAACCTGGGTTCTGTCCTTGGAAATCTTGATTCTGCCCTTGGAAACCTTGATTCTGCCCCTTCAAGCCTGGGTTCTGCATCTGGAAACCTTGGTTTTTCTTCTGAAATCCTTGATTTCGTTGCTGGAATCCTTGTGCCTGTTTCTTATATCCTTGAGTCTGCTGCTGAAATCCTTGAGTTTTCTGGAATCCTTTGTTCTGGAAACCCTGATTCTGTTGCTGAAACCCTTTATTTTGTTTTTGGAATCCTTGATTTTGCTTTTGGAAACCTTGATTCTGGTCCTGAACACCTCGATTTTGTTTTTGGTAACCTTGGTTTTGTTTTTGGTAACCTTGGTTTGGACTCTGGAAACCTTGACTTTTAACCTTTTTTGCCGAGTTTGGACCAAAAGTATTATTTTCAAACTGATTGTGGACTTGTGGAGGGAATTTTCTTTTGTTAGTGTAAGCTACATTGCCGGCACCTTTCTTAATATGCATAAGGGCCATTTGTTTATTTTTCTCTGTCTGCTGTTGCTGCTGTACGGCAGCATTATATGTTCTTTGACTGGATGCAAGCTCAAGAGCTAAATCACTGGACTTGGGCACTTCAGATGATTTTAGTGTATGATACTTTCCCATCTGTCCATTATTTTTTCTTAACAACTCTAAGATTTTCTTAGGATGATAACTTTTATAGAAGCAGTTTCCGCCTTCTGGTGTTGCAGATCTTCGAACATGTAAATATTTCGTTTTAAAAGTACCACAAGCAGAAACATAAAGATTGCTCACATCTGGACCTACAAACAGATCTTTCAAGGTATCCTCCACAAAGAATTCTTCAACAATTCTTTGAAGGGCATGTACAATATATTTATCAACTTTGCCTTTCAGATTATTTTCTGTCTTGCTCTCTTCTCCCTCTTCTTCAGTTTTATTAGTACCCATTTCTCTCTCTTCGATCTCTGGAACCTCCACACCGGATTTCCGAAGTTCATCAGCCTTCTTCTGTAGCTCAGCTAAAGTCACTGTTCTTGGGGACGGATCATGAGTATCGGCCTGAAAATTTTAAAGAAATGTGATAGAAAATCTTTGTTACTGCTTGTACCATACTTTCATTTTCCAGTTAAACTCCCCTAAACAGCATTGTTTTGACAGGGGGATGGGGCTAGACAAGGGCACTGCCACTGACATAGCTTCTGTTCATCATTTGAATCTCTTACTGGGAATTCAGTCCAAAAATGATTCAATTCCATTCTGCATTTACAAAGATATCAATTGAAAATTTCCCAACAATCAGCATACTAGGGCCACTTCTTTTTCACCGAACTGTGTTCAAGATAACCAAATATAATAAAATAAAATATCAACAGTAGATAATCTTGGATTCAGTTGGATTGAAAGGATTTAAGAGCAGATTACAGATAGAACTGGCTTTTGACCATATCCTATTGTTTGCATCATGTGCAGGGGACATCGAATGTTGACAAATCTTCAATTAATGACATCTTTGTAACTGCTGAATTTAATTGAACCATATTCAGAATGGTATTTCTTTTTGAGATCCAACTTTCACAATATTGTAGTTTTCTTGAGATTAAACATCTCACAAAGGACAATCAAGAGCTTTAACAGTTTAAAGTATCTGAGATTTAGTTCTGATTTCAACAATATGGTAGAAACATCCATCACATCAGGGACTTTAATCCAGCTCCTACCTATTGGGGGATGAAGGATGCAGTTTTGTCAAACCAATACTAGAACTGTTTGAATCAGCATTCTCAGACTTAAGTTCAGAATTTACTCAACTTTTAATCAGTTAAAATAAGGTGAACAATTGTCAGTAAATTCTTAACTTTAGTCTGAGAATGTTTTGTGAATTTGTGGCCAGATGAACAGGTTAAGATATAATTCACTTGCAGTAGGGGTCTTCAGCAATGGGATAAAACCAGAGGACCCGTGAAAACCCACCAGTTTGGACAGGCGACCCTACTCCTTCTCAAGTAAAACCGGGGAATCAAAACCACGCCAGTTGGCTCAATGGCAGACCTTATGATCCCAAAGGATTGTGCCCGACACAGACTCAATTTCTGCACGACATTGTCTGTGACAGGTGCACTTTTTCCATGTTTGCAGATAAAAATGCGGTATGACTGTATTAATTAAAAAAAATAAACATGTCGTACTTACAACTATGATTGGCTTGGTTTCGTACAGTTGATATAGTACATGTGCTGCCGCCAGATGCTTGGCAGAAGCTTTACTATTGGCTGCTGTTCGGGCTGTAGCTAAATTCTGGCCTTGGATTGTAATGAGACACCTAAAAGACATTGTCATTAAGCACAAAATAATTAGAACCATGTATGTCTTCAAATTACAGTTCAATCTATGCTGTCTAAGGCATTGATGGAATATTGGCAAAATGAAGACAAACACGCTTTGTACTTTACTCCTTGAATGAAGTTCATAGAGCTGTGGGGGATCACGTGGCTAAGTGGGTAAGACGCTAGCTCGCTAGCCTGGAGGTTGGGTGTTCGATCCCTGCATTGGCCGAGAAAGTTCATCCAGATTTTCCAGCGTGGTTCTCCCTTGTCAGTGATGCAGGACGGAGGGGCTGACAAGGAAAGCTGTCTAGTCGTTTGGATGGGACGAAAAACCGAGGTCCCGTGTACACATTGGCGTGCACGTAAAAGATCCGTTGGCAGTTGGAATTCGATATAAGAGTAGGCCGTAGTGCCGCTGTCCGGGCAAAATTTCCCTCATAGCACACTGTATGGCGTATGCCCGTCTTCATTAGCCCAGGTTAGGAGCAGAACAGTAGGACGTTAAACTCCATTTCATTTCATTTCATTTCATAGAGCTGTAAAGTGCTCAAATTGATATTAATTGTACGATTATCAAATAGATAATAAATACATTAATATTCAATGAGCCAGACCTCTTTGATTTGATTGAAAACAAAGTGATTCATTCAGCAGATCTTATGTGGTTTGAGCTTATCAATAAACTTTTCATAAGGGCAGAACCTGTCAAAAGTGGCAAATAACCAGGTAACAGCTAGATTAGTCTACAAACCAGTATTTTCCTCAAGACGTAAAATGATATTGCAATGAAAATGTATTTTAAAGTCAATTTTCAAGATGGACACAGGCTGCAGTGAGGTCAATTTTCAAGATAGTCTTAAGCTCTGCATTAGAATACGACATTCTCCATAACAAATTACCAAGAACTATTTTTGTTGAAGTCTGGTTATATTAAAGGGAATGGAAGTTTATAATTAACCTATTTCCTACCAGGACCCCCATTGACCCAATTCTGGCTGGTTTGTTTCAAAATGGATTAAGAACCCTGGGCTCCAGCAATATGGCATGAAACAGTATTCAAGGATTTCCAAAATGAAAAATTTTGCAAACCAAGTTTTCCGATTGAATGAAATTTCAAACAACTAAAATTGTTGCATAATCTGTAAATATTTGCCTACTATTCATATACCCGTATCATTTGCTTGATAAAGACAAGAATATCCTTGTCGAAACGCCGCTTTGTATTAAACTCAGTAATTGTGTCTCCATAAAACTGTACCTTGTGTTAACTAAAATCAGTTTGTTAAAATACAGATGACTCAAATTTTACATTGCTGAAGTGTATCATTCATTTTTACAACCTAATATGGTACACAAAAGATTCAGTCAAACCAATCCTTTATTTTTCAAATCAATTCAAAGAGATCGTGACCTTTCTAAGCAAGAATATAAAGTTCAACCATTGACTTTTGATTATCTTCTGATGATGTAAATAACTAACAGTTCAAATATAAGTTGTTTTTTTGAACTTGTCAATATTACATGGTCAAGTAACCATAGGAACCACAAGACAATAACATCATAACATTATGTCTTGTTTTAAGACTTCTGCACATGTTTGAAATGTAGGTCTACATATCAACATGTGCAAAGAAAAACATTTTGTAAAATCGAGGTATTCAGTATTTATTTTGCACACATCATAGAAAACTCTGATTCTTCAAAAGTCAATGGTATATATATATACTCAATAATAGTCATTCAACATCTTGGCTTTACCCATGGCAACTATGTAATTATTGGATACCGATCTTAAAAATAGGGTATAATAGTTGTATTGAAATTGCTGACAAACTTTAAATGGCCCATGATCAGAAACATATTTACTATAAAAACCTGTTTGGATGTTCTTTTGGAAACCACACTGAACAACTCTCCCAACCAGTGCTAGGTTTGAACCCAAGATCTCCGGGTTAGTGAACTTGTGACTTACTCACTGAGTCACTGTGGCTCTAACAAGTGTTTCTAACTGGAAGGTATATTACTGGCTCTAATTATGACCAGGTATATTTAGACTTCACAACAATTCCATGATACAATCATTACATAGCCTCACTGTTACTATGGTAACCAAAAATATAGTTGACCATGGGAAGGTTAAGATGGACATATACTTTATACAAATTTAATCTTTATTCACATTATCAACTGAGTGATGATAATTCAGAATGATTATAGAATATTATTCCGAAACAATAGTTTTACCATCAATAATATTCAAAGTCTGTTTTCTGAATTGTAAACTGGAACTACAATTGAAACTGATAATCAAACGAATATTTTCTTGTAATAATACATTTCATGTTATATTATATGACAAAAACAAACACCTCAGTTAATTTAAAATATGAATAAAGATTTAAATATTATTTCATTATCTATTAGATTATTACAATACAAGGCCATTTTTTCCAATTCAATTTTAATATCAAATTGAATGGATTTATAAAGTCGCCAAGCCGTAACCATTTTTTCCAATACAATTTTAAAATTAAATTGAATGGACTTTTTAAAGTCACCGAACCATAACCATTTTGTCCAACCCAATTTTAATATTAAATTGAATGGATTCATTAGGTCACTGAACTACATATGCTATACATATATTAGCATTATTTTTGTGTCTTAAAAGTCATCGCCATTTTTTCTAATTCAATTTTAAGATCAAATTGAATGAATTTTTATACGTCCACATTCATAATGTGAACGTATTATGCCGTCGCCCCTGTCTGTGTGTGTGTGTGTGTGTATGTGTGTGTGTGTGTGTGTGTGTGTGTCTGTGGTTCGCCTACAGGGCGCAATTCTTCATGGATTTTCTTCAAACTTGGTATACTTATTCCTTATACCCCAAGGAAGATCCCTATTGTTTTTGGTGCATGCCCGACCCCCCGGGGCAGAGCCACGCCCATTTCTAGTATTTGTTTGTTTGTCGTCTACAGGCCACATTTCTTAACTAATAATCTTGAAACTTTGCATACACATTCTTTGTACCCTAAGGAACATCCCTATCGTTTGGGGTGCATGCCCAACCCCCAGGGGCAGAGCCACGCCCATTTTCTTTTCGTGTGTCTTTGTGTCGCCTACAGGGCGCAATTCTTACTGGATTTTCTTCAAACTTGGTATACTTATTCCTTATACCCCAAGGAAGATCCCTATTGTTTTTGGTGCATGCCCGACCCCCAGGGGCAGAGCCACGCCCATTTCTAGTATTTGTTTGTTTGTCGTCTACAGGCCACATTTCTTAACTTATAATCTTGCATACACATTCTTTGTACCCTAAGGAACATCCCTATCGTTTGGGGTACATGCCCAACCCCCAGGGGCAGAGCCACGCCCATTTCCCATTTTCTTTTCGTGTGTCTTTGTGTCGCCTACAGGGCGCAATTCTTACTGGATTTTCTTCAAACTTGGTATACTTATTCCTTATACCCCAAGGAAGATCCCTATTGTTTTTGGTGCATGCTCGCCTCCCCGGGGCAGAGCCACGCCCATTTTTTGTATTTGTTTGTTTGTCGTCTACAGGCCACATTTCTTAACGTATCATCTTGAAACTTTGCATACTTATTCTTTGTACCCTAAGGAACATCCCTATCGTTTTGGGTGCATGCCCAACCCCCAGGGGCAAAGCCACGGCTATTTTCTTTTTTATGTCTGTGTGTCGCCTACAGGCCACAATTCTTAATCAATCGTCTTGAAATTTTTTCATATGAATTGCTTATACCCTAACGATGATCCCTATTGTTTTTTTTACCCCCAGGGGCAGAGCCACGCCCATTTTCTTTTCTTTTTCTGTCTGTGTGTCACCTACAGGCCACAATTCTTAATCGTCTTGAAAAAATTTCATATGAATTGCTTATACCCTAACGATGATCCCTATTGTTTTTGGTGCATGCCCGACCGCCAGGGGCATAGCCACGCCCATCCATTATATTTATTTATTTGTTTGTCATCTACAGATCGCATTTTTTTATCGTATCACCTTGAAACCTAGCATACATATTCCTTCTGTCCTAAGGAACATCCCTATTATTTGTGGTGAATACCCAACCCCCAGGGGCAGAGCTACGCCCATTTTCTTTTTTTATGTCTGTGTGTCACTTGCAGACCGCATTTCTTAATCGATCATCTTGAAAACTTTTTTATACTTATTCCTTATAGCCTAAGGCTACTATTTATACTTATTCCTTAATCCTAAGGCCGACCTCTATTATTATTTTTGGTGCATGCTCGACCCCTTGGGACAGAGCCACGCCTAATGTTTGTGTGTCTTGTGTTTTGCCTACAGACCGCAATTCTTAACAGATCCTTTTGAAACTTTGCATACCTATTCGAAACGCCATGCTTTTAGAATAAAGACATCGATTGTTTTAAAATAAAATTGTGTTCTGTTAATGTGAACGAAGTGTTAAACTGATAGCAGTCCTACAACCCAGTTTTATTTCACAGACCCTCAATGCAAACTGGACCATATCAAACAAAACAGGAATGTGGACGTATATTGCTGCGTTAGCGATGCTCTTGTTAAATTTGCCGAAGCATATATGTTAACAAATGAATATCAGTATTTCTTTTTTTTTGGGCGGGGGGGCCCCAAGAAAATATTTAACAAAAGCTAGTTACTCTCCTGTTCATATTGATTCAGGCATTTCAATTTTTTCCAGGTTTTAACCAAAGTGTAAACCAGGGATGTTAATGGAACGTTTATAGTCATCAACAGTCTTTCCATGTTTGAAAAAGCTGATTGATAAAACAATGAACCGGAAACTATGGCATCATAAATCTATGCAAAAAAAGCCACTCAGTCTGAAGGTGAATGTCCATCAAGGCTAACAATAAATACATCACTACAGAAAAGAAATGAAACTGGGTTTAACATCCTATATTTCGGAACCAACCAGGCTAATGAAGACGGCAATATGCATTATAGTATACTAAGAGCAAGTGTTTGCCTGAACAGCTGTATTTGCATTTACACTTTGACGAAATCCAAAGCCAATGTTTAAACAAGGTCTAGGTTTTTTTTGTTCCATACAAATAACAAGGCAATGTTCATTTCCATATTCTGGAGTGATGTATTTGTGGTAGATAAGATTGGTAGATATTCACCTCAAGAAACAGTTCATTTTTAAGTGGAGAAATCTCTATGAATGTATGCCAAACCATAGATATTTCTCCAAAATAGTAGTTCACCCCATATGGTCTAGTATCCTATGATTTGGTATCTTTACAGTCAATGACTACATACTAACTACAAATAATACAGCTCTTTTTGTATACTGTATTATATATGTGAAGACTCTTCTGATATCTTCACCAGAATACAGTAAACAGCAGTGTTATGGCACCCACGAAGAAAAAGAAAGTTTGCATGAGCTCTGTTAAATACTGTATTCTATAAGACAAGATTCTTTCGATATCTTCACCAGAATACAGTAAACAGCCGATTCATGGCACCCATGTAAGGGAGGGTTGCCAAGAAGAAAGTTTGTGTTGAGTTCAGCACACGTGTGAGTAATCCTTTGCGTCTTGAGGCAAACCCTGCATGTAATAAAGCTGAATGTCTCAAAATAAATAACAAAGATGATAAAATCGGAATGAGAAGTGTTATGTTTTATACATTATTTGCAGGGTTTTGATTTCATTCTTATAGCCATTCTTGATACAAAATTCTAAACTGACTGGTAGCGAAATTGACTGACTGGAAAACCTACCTGTCAGTCAATTTAACTTTAAAATATAATAATACAGTTACAGGTAAGTTTTTAGTTTTTGTTTGTAAAAACACTGAACAATCTATGGAGGATAATGGGAATATTTGTCACATCGAATCGAAAATTCGACATGCTGACCAGAGGTGAGCCAAATACATCAAAAATTGACCTACTGGTAAACTTTTGAAGTGAAAGCCCTAATCATGTGAAATGGGGTTAACGTTTTACTGTTCTACACCGACTAGGCTAATGAAGACAGGCATACGCCATGCAGTTAGTCTGGAGGCTCAGTGCCGGGGGGTGTCCATCAAATGGGCACAAAACCAGACCCAATTTTCCTAGAATACGATGCCGAGTGGTAATCAGTCTGCCGTTGGGGCATTTTCGAGATATTCAGGGTCAAAGATCAAATGTGTGTATTTGCACTGAAAGTGAATGCGCAGTCATGAAAATAAACAGAAAATGATTAAAGGTATTCACACTTTCAATAAAAATGTAAACTTGCTAAATTCACCTTTGTTCTTTGTGACCCCAGAGGTCAAAAGGTCACATTTTCCGTTTTAGCACTAGGAAGATTTATAAAGTAATAAATGTCGGCGTAAAATATAAAAACTAAAGCGAACGGCGGTCTGATTACCACTCAGCATCGTATTCTACGCAAAATTTTACTTTAGAAAAGTTGGGTCTGGTTTTGTGCCCATTTGATGGACACCCCCCTGCGCTGAACCTCCGGTCTAAGTGTTCCATGAGGGAAACTTTGCCAGGACTGCAGCGCTAAGACCTACACTTATTTCGAATTCCAACTGTCAAGGGTTCTTTTTTTTACATGCATGCCAATAAGTACACAGAAACTTGGTTTTCCCATCTGAAGAACTATACATTGTCCCTCCTAATCATATGACTAGATAGTCTGGTTTTTCTTTAAATCAACCTGTTGGTTTTTTTTGTGTAGTTAGGATGCAATCATGAGATACCAAATCATGTTAAACCATAAGATATAGATGAATTTTTTAAATGATCTTACTCAAAAACACTATTGGAGATTTTCTCAAAATCCCATTCCATAATCAGACCATTCTGAGAACAGGAGTACAAGAGGATTCCAAAAGCTTGATTGTATCGGTCATCTAACCACTTCATATGTTCCTGAAAAAGATAACTTATATACATAAAATTAAGCCCTTAGGACCAGAACTGCCAGAAACCTACCCATACTACAGTGTACTTGCTTTCAGATCAAAATGTAGGAGCCATTTACATGTACATGTAGTGGCTCAGTGTAGTGTGACATCAGGGCAATTTTGTAAAGACAGCAAAATTTCTGACCAATGTTCATCAAATTACCAATGTCTGTGATCATATTTTTGGAAAATAAATGTTCAAAGCTGTACAAAGAAATGTTACAATACTGAATAAAGCCACACCAAGTCGGATTTCTGTTTTTCAGGAACACCCATTAAATATGTATTATGTAAGATTTAGATAAAGAGCTGGCAAATCTTGCAATACTAGGTCAAAAACAGATTATGCAAAATGAATATAGTGAAAATTCATTTAAATTACTGGTTTGACCAATCAGATTAAAACACAGATCCTATTTTTTATAGTTTAAAATTTCGTTTTACTTGTCTTTACTACACTAGGATCTGGAAAAGTTGTTATATAACCCACGTTCTGGTTGATGTGTGGTATTAGCCAATGAAACAGTCTGTTACGGAGAGTTTTTGGCATGTGGTGCACAGAACTATGGGTATCTCACTAGAAACATCAACGCTGGTTGGTTAATCAAATGTCTGATGTCATAGGGTCAAAAGCCGCTCGTATTACCTGACGCGACTTTCCACTACAACCGGTCACATCTTCATGTAGTGGAAGCCATCGAAAGTATAAAAAAAATGAAAAGAAATATAGATCTGTATTTTAATCAGATTGTGGTCTGCCCTAAGCCAATACAATACCTGTATAATGATATCATCAACAGTAATATCTTTACAGTCTTCACTAAACACTGGCCAGATGTGACCTTTAAGTTTCTGGATATTAGACTGTGATCTATTATTGTTTGTGACCACTACATACTGTATGACATCCGGGGCATTCTGATCTTCTTGTTGGAGTACCTTATGTTCAGCTAGAATCTTTTCTGCTGTTGTTGTGTTAAAAAGTTCTTCAGCATTTTCATAAGCAAGTCTCTTGGCCGATACCTTTGTTTCTCCCTGTCCACTGCTCAAAAGTAACCTTCCAAGGTAGAGCTCGCAAATGACGTTGTTCTGATTTAGGCATCTGCGATACAATAAAGCGGGGTTTAATTTCAGTTCGTCAATCGCAACAATGTCAAAATTGATGGAAAACGGCTGGTTCTCGGGTAGTGCCATTGTGGATATTATACACTGAAGGTTAGGCAGAGACAATTGTTCTTCTTGTAGCGCTGTCAAGAGACCAACGTCTTCGGTCACAACTCCAGACAATTCCTTGGTGGTCAATCCTTTCGATAGCGTTTCTGCTGATAAAGACATTAAACGGTTAAAGGACATCTCGTAACATGAGGATTTGGTCAACTTCTTGTTTATATTGCGTGCTATTCCAAAATGGATGCCGTTGATGTACAGCGAACCTTCGTAGACATTTCTATCAGCTGCATTCTTGCCTTCTCCCTCGATATAACTAGCCGTACTCTTAACGCCCACCACAGCCTGTTCAACTCGGCTAATAATGTTCAAAGTGAAAGACAATTGCTTCTTTAACAATTCTTGCAACTCTTCTATGCGTTTAATAGATTCGCCCATATTCGGGTCGATCTCTGTTACAGGAGCTCTGCCTTCTTCGCATGCTTTTGTGAGCTCAGTGTGTAATGCTTCTGTTCCAATATCTTTAAGGTTCATTATTTGATCTACGGTGTAAGTCGTTAAAATACCCACTGCCTTGGTATAGCAAGAACTCTTCAGTCGTTTCTTGTTATTGTCAGTACATCGACATATGAAGAAATCACCGATAAATAAAGCCCCAGTGAAGACAAGTTTATTTTTCACCATTCCCAGATCTTCACATAGAAATTTATCCTTCATTCCTAATTTACCGTTATATAAAGCATTGGCGATCAGCTGAAAAACAAGAGGAGAGAGTAATTAAAATAATTACAAAGTTTAACAAGTTACTAATTGGACAGCCCAAAACCCACCTAACTAGGTCCTTGAGATTTGTGGATAGCTGTGGTGACTGCAAGAACAAGTATGCAGTGCTTCATCTTCATGTACATGTACAACACAGAGAGTCGAAAGTTATGGGTGGTTTCTAGCTCTTAAGGAAAAATTAACCAGTATGAATTGTGTAACACTTTCTCTAATTTTCTTCAAGGAAGTCAATATTTACAAATATTTGACCCCTGGGCTACTGGGCCATGGATTGATGTAAGTAAGGTTCAATGTTTTTTCCAATAGCCTTTGCGTATAATTTAAGAGAATCAGCATTATAGTGAAGGCTTGTTGTATAAGAGAACTGCTTTACAGCGAAGGCTTGTTGTATAATTTAAGGATTATGCTATCAGCAGAAAAACATGGGATTTTGTGTGAATATAACCTATGAATGAATGCATGAATGAATGAATGTATGAATGACATATTGTTTAATGGCACCAATCATATGGTGATTTTTCTTCGAGAAGGGAGAAAATATATCACAAAAACTTTATTCGCATAATAACAAGTGGTTTCCATACAAGATACGCCCACATTTTGCAAGAGATGGACAGGGACCCAGCTAAATAAAACCGATTTTTCGTACAATCAGGGGCCGTAATCCATGAAGTAAATTTGAACAGACGCATGAAACAATATCACAGTAAATAAAATACAGACAGTATCGGAAGAAAATAGACGGTTAAAAAAAATCTGTTAAAAAAATCTGTAGTGTTTACTGAACCGCTGTACCATACTGTGAACCAAAACGTGGCATGCATACCGTCTCACAGTATATTGTTGCAGCCCTACTAATGAAGTCCTAAGTAACTCCTATACTTACAGCTATATCATTAGTTTCTGTGGTGTTGTACTTAACAAATTTACAAAACTGGGCCAAGTTTGTTTTAATATTTCCTGTATCTGAAAAATAAATTAAAGAAATTTTAACAAAAGAGGTATGCCCTTTGAAAAAGATACCCAACAGATTCTTAAGTGAAAATCAAATGAGAAGGCATAAAGGAAACATGTAACACTGATCATATTTGATGAGGCAGGTGCACAAACATGCATATGTCTGTTGTGTTTTGTTCTAATGACAGGAGACGCAGTGGCTCAGTGCCTAAGGTGCTTGCTTGCTAACCACTACATGTTCCTGAACCTTGTGTCTGACATGGCCTGAATTTATGCCTAGCTGCCTTATTTCCAGCCTTGTCTATAGGATAAATACAATGCAGTACTTTTAACTAGTCAGCAGACCTTTGGAAATGCTCAGTGCTGACTCTCAAATATCAAAATTTACAATCAACAATTTTCCGTTTCCAAGCATTTATAATTTTTGGACCAAGCACTACTCATCTAGTTTTTCTTTTTGGGAACAACGCTCTGCCAATTCAATTAAGATCGTTATGAAACTGGGCATGTTCTTTAAACAATTGCCAGACTTTGATTTTTGATATGTCGATGACATTACAATTCCAAGATGATGTCATGCTCTGTTCATATTCCATATATTAGTACTTTCATACTTTTTTTAAAATTTTGTTCTTTAATTAAGGTACCTTGCAACAAGCCACCCTGGTCTTGAGTTTTTTTAAACCCTCCTGTTTGCAACATTCCGCCTCTCTGGTTACCACCCCGTCCTCTTCCTCTTTGTCCAAAGTTACCATTATTGGTTGCTCCACCTCTAGCTCCATGGACTTGATTTCCACCTCTAGCTCCATGGACTTGATTTCCACCTCTGTTTCCACCCATGCCCCCCCGGCTCCCACCCCAATTTCCTCTAGCACCACCTCTATTTCCCCCAATTCCTCCTCTCATCCCCTGACCACCTCTCATGTTCTGAATTACTCCTCTGCCTCTCCCCATTCCCTTTGCTTGCTGAACTAGTTCTGTAGCAACTTGCATTTCAAAAGATGAATCATCATAATAATTAGAATCCATAACGGATTATCTTCTAATGTTTGAAGCGAATATGAAAAGTTTTAAGTTGGTTGGCTTTGTATCAAAATCACTTTCTAGTACTGGCAGGCTACTATGACTGTCAATTTAAGTTGTAATTACAGGCCTATTTTCATTGTTCTCTATTGTATCTGAAAAAAAAATCAAATTTTTTTTATTAAGGTAGGCCCATAAGCTTCTTATACTTATACCGGTATACATTTTAGGAATTTGGGCTGATAAATTCAATGTTGTTGTTGTTTATTACAGATTTAATATTCAATAAATATGATATTATGGACAGGAGATAAATTCAAGGCAGATACTGGTACATGTGTATATGTATATCATGAGAACTAACATGTAGCCTATGTAGGTGATATTTAGAGCTTGCCGTGAGGTAGTAACTATTCACACTAATGCAACGTTCGCTTAAAGCCAAATGCATGCCGGTAAATTATCATTTTAACTGTAATGTGAAATGAAATGAATTGGGGTTTAACATCCTACTGTTCTGCACCGACTGCTAATCAAGATAGGCATACATGTACAGTGTGCTATGAGGGAAATTTTGCTTTTGAATTCTACATTTAACTGCCGTTGTTCTTTTAGATGATGCATGCCAATGTGTCCACAGGAACTCGTTTTTTTTTATATCATTCAAACGACTATACATGTATGTTGTCCAATCCTGTCACTGATATAAGGAAACACGCCAGAATATACACTGTAACCCATGGCCAGGTATCTTTAATCTTGTGTACAATTTACAAGTGTTTAATTTCTCAATCACTGTTAAAAAATAAACAACCCAATTGATTAATGATGTATAATGATTAATTTTTGAACAGTGGTCAGGAAATTAAATACTTGTAAATTGGACACTCATTATCAAAATTAATCAGTCAGCTTTAAACTGGACACAAGTACAAATTAGATGATTTTTTGTGATTTTAAACAGTTTTTACGAATTTTTAAACAAAGATTTGATATGAAACGAATGTAAAAGAAATTAGTGCTAGATACACAAGATTAAATGATACCGGTACCTGGCTACAGTGTTAGTACCGGTACATGTGATGTGTAAGTGATAAAGGTAAACGTGCATGAGAAATAAGTATAATGGCATATAAAATAAATCATAATCTTTGAGAAAATTAGAATCTTCTGTCATATGTTGCATTACCGACATTTTAAAACATGTATTGTAAATTTGTGTCAGCTGTGTCGAGAAATGATTCCTTTTGTCGAACAATGAAGAATCACTGTGACTATGAATAACAGACGGTAAGGATTCCAAAATTAAATAGCCTTAGAACCGAGGTGGTGTAAAGCGTTGTTTTCATATTATATGTACATACAAATGTAGCCTACAAGTTATGTACACTTTAATAGGGACGGACAGTCACTGAATCAATAACAGGGAGCCTCATCTCGAGGACATAGTCCGAACAGTTAGGCCTACCGTTACAAAAGTAACTTTGACAGGGACGAAAAAAATTCAACAAAGAGCTGTTAGAAGCGTTCCTAAACATACAGGTCCAGTGTAAGGCGATTTACATTCTGAGGTGAACTGGATACGGTACAACGTTTGGGATATTGCCTATTCTGACTTTTTTCTTGGGGTTGGGTTGTTTCCCTTTACTCATGGTCACCGGTAATAAGTAGTGTTTTTTTTTTATTTTGAGTGAAATCCAAGAATACGACTTGTCGCCGGCCCCTTATATCTATACACGAGAAGTACGGTCGCCAGTGATCATATCCGACTTACAAAAAAAAAGTACGCGCATGACAAACTCTTAAAAATTATAACACAAAACACCAATATTTACAATCTTACCGACTTACCGGTACAATTTTACCTTTTAGAACTTCCGGTAGGCACCAATCGGAAACGGAAGTAAACTCAAGCGTGCGTGAAGAAAGAAAAAAAAAAAGAGTCCGGCGTCTTTTCTAGACAATTTGTTGGGGTTTTATATTTAACATTACAAATTATGCAGTTCAAACAAAAATTAATGGTAATTTTGATTTTCAGTATTTCAGTCCATGTGTAAAGACAGTTATGAGGTTCAAATGGGCATTCAGTTTTGATGTGAGGATGGGGCATAAATAAGTAGCCTTGGAAGTTGGGTTGGACCTCCCGAGTGTAACATGCACATGGCCACAACAAACAAATTTATTATCTGAATATCTGTGTAGGCTGAACATTGCTCAGAGAAAATGATGACACTAAATGTGCTATCAAAATCTTATTAAGGAATTTGTAATTTAGGCTGATCAATTGTTTTTTTTTTTGGAGATAATATAAATATTGGTAATTTTAGAATAAGAAAGTATAGTGTATAGGTCAAGGTGTCGTTTTGACGTTGTGTCATATGTAATAAAGAGTTCAGCAGGGCCAACAAACAATTACACAAGACAAATCTACGGACAGGATACAATAATATTGTCAATATACACAGACACCATAAATTTTACGGTATATACAGACAACTCATCCCAAACACAACTCATTCCAAGACAACTCATCCCAATATAAGCCAACTCATCCCAAGATAAAAGACAACTCATCCCAACTTTAAAACATGGGTCGAAATATAAGACAACTCATCCCAACAAATATAAGTGCTAGTTATATTTGTTTTAATACAATTGCTTTCTTTGAAGACCATTATGATTTTGTTATAAAAATGTCTTAAAATTGATATTGTTGTTTTAATAAAATTGATATTGTTGTTGCACCAATATTGTCCGCCCGGCAAAAATATCTTGACGCAGATTTCCGCCCACCTCCATTTTCTTGTAAAGAAAGATAATCTAAATTGGTAAAAGCGTTTTATTTTTGTTATAAAAATGTCTTAAAATTGATATTGTTGTTTTAATAAAATTGATATTGTTGTTGCACCAATATTGTCCGCCCGGCAAAAATATCTTGACGCAGATTTCCGCCCACCTCCATTTTCTTGTAAAGAAAGATAATCTAAATTGGTAAAAGCGTTTTTATTTGTTGCTTTTAACCTCATAAATTGAATAAATTATTTTGACTCGCGTCAAACTGACCTCGTATCATGGACATCTAAATATAACGTTCGTTTTCGACGAAATATATTACTTTCGATTTCTTATTTGACGGGCAGAGTTATCTGATATTTAGACTCCTGGTCACATCAGTGCGATGTAACTAGCATGACTGGTTAAACTAGCCTACAGCACCGTTATTGTTTAAAAATAGCACTAGCAGATGACTATTTTTGCTATTTAAACTATTTTTATAGATTCGTGCAATTCTATAATTCGTATCCACGTAAATTCCACCAAGTATAAGTATCATGGTACCAAACTTGCCTTTTAATTAAATGAATACTGCGCCGTTGAGGTGTTGAATTCCGATTATAAAATATCCGTAATACTGTAATTTGATTATCAAAAGACGATTTCACACATGTGCATGACATTATATTACATGAACTTCGTGCGGTGGACATGTAACGCCCCCTGGAATTCCTTTCTAACGTCCCGACTAAAAATTATATTAATTTATATGATATATTTTCCCGACCTAATTATTTGATTTGATCATATTTTCCAGTAAATTATTCATAGCCGTTATTTCTGGAAATTGTTTTGAACTTTTTAAATGATTAAATAAACCAGTCAACGAGCCGTGTGCATCTCCATTCCATTCACCAGCATGTGACGTTACAGTAGAATTAGGTCAGATGACTTGGGGGGAATACGTGTTTTATTTATTTAGATATAAATACTTCATAATGCTATAAACTAGTGACAAACAGGTGAAAACATGCGTAGATGGTCAGTGTGAAATTCATAATTGTTACAAAATTGGCTGCTAGTGCTACCTGACTTCCAACTGCGTACGACGACAATGGACCGTATACGTACCATGGTATGACTGAACGAATGCCGACTTGTATTTTCGATAGAAAAATACAGTCACGAGAACTGTTGAAAGAAACAAAACAATAATTAATAAATTCCTATTTTCGATTATGCCGCGGATTACGCAGGTATACAACGGTGGTTTCAGTGTCAACATTGGCAAATTGGCGTCGTCATATTCTTAAATAAATTACCACGGCTAAAGATGCCGCCCGTAGTTCTTATTTATTTTCTACGGTAATTTCACTAAATACTACGGTGCGGTGCCGTCGTGAATTTTGACCCCTGGACTCGTGAAAATGCGCATTTTCGATCAAAAAAACCCGATAATTTTCTACCGAAGATTACCGCCCGGCATGAATATTTTTTGGGGCACATCCCTGATGTATTATACATTGTAACTAAGGTCCATGGTATTATCCTGTCTGCTGTTGGTGTACATGTACATATGACTGTTGACAGCTATTTTGAACAAAAAATCAACCATTTTACACATTTTGTTGTAAGCCATGCTTAATATGGTAGGCGAAAAATTCCTTGCGACATCGAGAAAGTGCCATTGTAGATGGGAAATTTTTGTATATAGTCCTAAAAGATGTAGTTTCAATACGGTTTAATTGGCAGCGATTCAGCAGTGTGTTTAGCAAACAGTGAAACTAAAAGTCAAACATATGTAATTGTATTAATATAAATTGAATGAAACGACTACAGATTTTTCTTAATGTGAATCGGTTTGAGCTAGAAACCGAATCGACTACGACTCAACCATAAATTTTACTGGGTGATTTTCTACGGTCAGTCTTCTGTCATTCTCTGTGAACACCTGTAGGCTACAATATAAAGGAAAATTTCACTGAGAAATAAGACCTTATTACCTCGCTGGAACCAGTACACTGTATGTGTAACACAACACACTTGTAAAACGGTACAGTGTACACTTCCGCCAAATAGCTTTTTACTTGCAATTGCAGTCTGAAAATAGACCAACACACAAAATTTAGACCGTCAGCGGCAAATCAAAATTTAGGTAACCAGAGGAAAAAAAATTATATTCTTTGAAAGTATTAGTCTGTTTTGTTATAGACCAAGCAAAAAGAGACCGGAGACTCTAGTATTTTCAAAGATTTTAATTTGTTTTAATTATTTACAACAAACAATGGAACAAAATTTAGATCTGGTATCATAAATTGCTATTTTGTAATACAGCTGGATGTATCTATACTAGTAACCAAAACATATGTTAAATGTGACATTATGAAAGAATAGGAAAAGCACATGGGTACTATACTCTGATGCATCATATGTCTTTAAATGACTCAGTATTTTCTATGTCTTTTATTTTTCCATTTAACAGATTTAACCAGTTAAATCTAAGGATTGAATTATTCACGGTAAACAAGGGTAGATAACTTGTAGATTACTTGAATCATTCTCCTTAGATTCAATTGAACTTCAAGATAAAACATATTCAGCTCTAAAAACCAAGAACAATAAAGCTGAGCTAGAGCTAGCTAAATTAAATAACCAAGAAAGGTAAAAACTGAACTGTTTGATTTGTCCTAACTTGTATCTAGAAGAACTCTCAATGTATCATATGTTTCAAGACTTTCATTTTAAATTTACGGTCATGAAACAGTTGTTCTTTGAGATACAATAGTTATTGCATGTCAATCAATTCAGAAATCTTTTATTTTTTCGCTTACTATTACAAGCAAATGGTCGAAACACTTTGCCCTGTTGCAGTAAAAGATTTGTACTCATACAATGTGTCGAGGTAGATCAAGATATGTTGGGCTTGCGTGTTATTGATAAGTGGGATTTGAATCTGGTGAAAGTTTAATCTCCAAAAAGGAAATATCAGTCCAAATATGGTTTATTTCTGTTCAGTATTGATGAAGATATGATAAATTGAATTTGCCCTAAAATTAAAATTTAGCATACTAATAATACTATGCACCGTCCAGAAAATATTTGATTAGACATTTTGTAAATTGAATCCAAGCTGGAAGATTATCTACCATTGATATTTTTTAGTTTATTTTCTTTATTAAAGGTCACCGGAAAAGCTTCATAGATTTTTTACATAATGCAAGTAATTATGTCAACATATCCTTTCCATAAGTATAACACAAACCCGAATGTCAACGTTAGTAATTTCCACCGTTCTCCACGGGTAGTTGTAACTTTCAGTCAATAAACAATCTGTTAGGTCATTTTAGTCCTTCTGCTTATAGAAATATAGACTAGAATATGAGCAGAAATACTAAAATGATGTCACAGATTGTTTACTGACGAAAAGTTACAACTACTCACTGAGATCGGTGGAAATTACTAACATTGAAATTTACCTGTTGCAGCTTGCAGGTAATATTGACATTTGGTTTTGTGTTACTTACATGTATGGAAAGGATATGTTGACATAATTACTTGCATTATTTAGAAAAAATTTGAAGCTTTTCCAGTGACCTTTAATTATTAAAAAATCATGAGAACATTTAGTGTTGATTAAGCATTGACACTTTAGAGAAATCTGGAAAACAAAATTGAGTGATCAATTAAAAATAAGTTAAAGAGGTAGGCTTTAGTAAACGATTTACATCAACAATTTAAAATCCCACTATCAATATTTGAAAACAAAAATCTACATTCAAATCTTATCTGGAACAGTTCATTGTGTTACAAGCCATTTGTTCTTAATAGATAGCAGAATTTCTTTTAAATGTTGTAACTATGGAGTAGAATAGAGAGAGAAAATGGGGTTTATGTTCACTAGTCACAGACTAGGTCATTTCGGGACTAACATGGTTCAGTTTTATTTGAATAATTCGCTAGCACATAGGGTTCTTTAGCAGTGGGTGGACACAGAGTAAACCCAAGACGTTGGACAGACAATCCTTCTCCTTGTCCGGTACAAGCGGGAATCAAAACCCTGCCACTTGACTCAATGACAGACCGTATGATCAAACACGCACACGTTAACCATTTGGTCCCTACCCCCCCCCCCCCAAAAAAAAGATATCCTGCTTGTACGTGACAAGGAGCAGAGTCTACATTAGTGGCTTTTTTCCGGGTCCTCCGGTGGTTCCTTTCACTGTTAAAAACCCATATGCACAAGCGGATCAGTGAAATAAAATTGAACCATTTGTTCGTCCTGAAATGACTTCGTTTGTATCGAGTGGAAGTTAAACACCATTTCTCTCTCTGTCTATACCGTACATCATAGTCTATACAAAAAAAGCCATGGTGGTTTAGTGAGTAGTACATTGTCTCGCTAATCAAGAGGTTCTTTGTTTGACACCTGCCAATTGCAAGAAAGTTGGTGGTGTAGGACGGAGAAGCTAGCAAGGGATAATGTATAGTCGTTCGGATTGGATGAAAAACCATGGTCCCGTGTACACATTGCTGTGCACGTAAAATAACCTTGACAGTTGGAATTCAAAAAAAGTTGGCCATAGCGCCACTGTTAAGGCAAAATTTCACCCATAGCGCACTGCATGGCATAGACACGTCTTCATTAACCCAGCCGGAACAGAACAGTAGTAGGACTTTAAACCCCATTTCATTTCTATACAAATTACGACAATGTGATCAAAGTTCCATCCAATCTAGGAGAGCATAAAATTTTTGAGCATTGAAGTGTCCTATTTCAAAGACAATTAATAATGCATGAAAGTATTCTAAAGGAAATTGTTTCCAGAATATCATTTCATTATTTTAACTACAGCTGACTTATTTCATAATTGAACTGGATTTTTGCTGTTTTGTAGTATATCTATCACGGTCAACATGGATGCTTATGGTGGATATGGAAATCTTGGCAAAAACAAAATGGAGGATAATGGCCAACATCAACAGTTTTATCAGCCTTCAGCAAAGAAAATGAAAGTAGAGTATAGTGGCGATGGTGGAGTATGGCAGCAACCGGAAGGTTACGGTAATTATAATTCCTATTATGATACTGGTGTATATGGTGCTGACACAATACAACCACAAAATCAGCAGCCAATCAGTCGACAAACTCCTGCCACCAGCTATGGTCAGTCAGGTTACGATACCAGTAGCTATGATAATACAGGTAGCTACGGTGGTGCCAGTAGCTATGGTACCAGTAACTATGACACCAGTAACTATGACACCACCAGTTACGATAACAGTAGTAATTATAGCTATGGAGCCTATACTAGTTACTACAAGTCAGAGACACAGCCTGCTCAACAACCATCACACCAAGCTACATATGAATGTCCATTGTATGATAAATCTAATACCAGTAGCTGGTTTGGTAACGGTAACCAACAGCAGCAGACACAGCCACAAAGCACGCAGTCCTTGAAACCTAGTGGAGGCATGCGGCAAGGATCTGGAAATGGGTTCAGTAGAGGAGGTCAAGTTCAGAGCAGAAGTAGCATGTCTAGAGGCGGACAAGCCATGCGCGGAAACCGAGGTTCAACTAATTCTAACAATAGTTCAAGTTTCCGAGGAACTGGTAATGGAAGCAGGGGTTATAACAACAGTAGTCCCAGTAATAGAGGAAGAGGTGGAGAAATTGGTAGATTTTCTGGGATGACAAGTAGAGGTGCTGGAGGTGGGCCTCGTGGACGAGGAGGACCTGGTGCTGGAGGGAATGCAACAAGAGGGTCTGGATCATCCATGAGAGGGGGATCACGTGGTGGTGGTGGAAGAGGAGGCAGTAGAGGAGGAGGTGTTGGAACTCCTGCAAACAGTGCTGGTGGTGCAAGTAAGTTATAAAAATAAATACAACTGACAAAAGGTTAAGCACCACCTTAATGTAAAACAAGACGAGAGAAATATTTGGTCATTTAAGTAATAGATATTTTTGAATTGAGGATCTAGAAAGAAATAGGAGTCCATTAGGAGATGATCTGGTCAGAAAAAGGATGAGGATTGAAGACAAGAAGAGTAGTGATAACCATCATTGTCATGTGTATTCCTCTCTCACTTGGATCACGTTTTCAACACCTCTTGTCTGATTAGTACCATGGTACCAAAGGAACCTGACATACTGTTCTTCTTGGAGTGGCAAGACTTATGTTGGAAGTATTTTGTGATGGAAATTGCATGGTTCCAAATAAGAACCATCTGATTTTATTGTTGATGGTTAAATATCAAACCGACATTATTTTAATCGGTGGTGCTTATCTTTTTGACACATATAACTTTTACCATACTACTGGTCTAGAACTTCTAATTTTGTTCATAAATTCTCTTAACCAATTGATAATTTCAATGTCATTCTGTCCTCTAGTCATGGTAGTCAACCAGGTACGAAATGAAAGTAAATCATTAAACTTTAAACCTGTATGCTTAAGTTGGAACCTCACTTCTATATTGTTTGAAAACGAGGGCTGTAGAAGAATCATGTTCGTGCTGATTCTAAATGTATAACCTGTTTTTCCCCAGCTACTGATGAAACCCAAATGGGCAAAGTGAACCTGGACATAACATATTTTCTTTTTGATCTAGTATTGTAAGCTAAGCAACATTACATTCTTCAACACATGACACAATTATTCAGAATACAAGTTACTTAAAAGTTTATTTTGTTCGTTGCTTGATAAAGACGATAGAACCCTTTTCAAAACATGGGGATCACGTGGGTAAGACGCTAGCTCGCTAGCCTGGTGTTCGATCCCTGCATTGGCCGAGAAAGTTCATCCAGATTTTCCGGCGTGGTTCTCCCTTGTCAGTGATGCAGGACGGAGGGGCTGACAAGGAAAGCTGTCTAGTCGTTCGGATGGGACGAAAAATCGAGGTCCCGTGTACACATTGGCGTGCACGTAAAAGATCCCTTGGCAGTTGGAATTCGATATAAGAGTAGGCCGTAGTGCCGCTGTCCGGGCAAAATTTCCCTCATAGCACACTGTATGGCGTACGCCCGTCTTCATTAGCCCAGGTTAGGAGAAGAACAGTAGGACGTTAAACTTCATTTCATTTCATTTTTCAAAACATTGCCAGAAATAAAATTTGAAGTAACTTGTATTTCATACACCGGTATTTGTGTCATGGGTTATTCAATCCAGTTATTAAATGCAGCTTAAACACCTTTTTCAAGTTACATGTTTGATGTTTTATTTACAGAGAAGAAATGGGAAACATTACCAGGCGGTCAGACACGCCCCATTGATAACAAGGCTCAGCCTGCTGCCACTGTACACAAAACACCCAAACCAGAACCAATCGATGCCACAAAATTACCGCTACCAGAAAAAATTCGGCGACTTTCAATGTTTTTACGAGGTGAAAAGAGAGAAATCAATGAAATTATGGTGAGGTTTTATTTATTAATTTTTCACAGATTCTGCTTTATATTTTTACACCTATATTCAAGCTTGAAGAATATGTACCTCTGTTACTTTGTAGCAGAATTAGTTTACTGAACTTATATTTGCTGAAAAAAAGTCTTTTATTGGCCCATTTTCATAAGACCTGGGGGGGGGGGGGTTGAATGGTTAATGCATGTATGTTGCATCATAAGGTCTGTCATTGAGTCAAGTGGTGTGGTTTTGATTCCCCGATTGTATGTGACAATGAGTAGGGTCGTCTGTCCAACCTTGTGGGTTTTCTATGTCCTCCGGGTTTCCTCCCACTGCTAAAGACCCCTACGCACAAGAAAATTAATGAAATATGTTAGTCCCGAAATGACCTAGTTTGTGAGTGGACCTTGAACATCATATCTCTCTCTCTCTCTCTCTCTCTCTCTCTCAATCCCATTTTATTTCATTTCAGTTATTTGAGAATTCTCTGATGAGTTGTAAGGTTGGAATTAGACCAGATTTTTTGATTGACGACATGGTACAAGGGAAGAACGGTTCCTTTTTCACTGGCCGACTTAATTTGGATGGTGTGTTCCTAGCCAGAGCTATCGGCAGCAACAAGAAAGGAATCAAATTGTCATGTTTCAAGAAGGCGGTGGAACTTTGTCGTACCCTTCCCGTCTCTGATATTATGTCCCAGACAGATTTGACTCCAGAAGTCATCAAGGAGAAACTGGAGAATCTTAACTCAACCGTTGCTAAGGTGGAGAAAGAAACTATTGCAGAGTTACCAACACCAGCCATTTTGAAACAGATCCAAGATATTTTAACCAATCCTAAATATGCTTCAACCAATTCAATCAGCAAAATGGAATTAGCGGCCTCTGTGGCTAAATGTCGAGTCCGCTGTCGATATGATGTAGAGAGCTGTAAAGCTGAATCGGGGAAAGTTTATCATAAGGGCATGTACTTTATTGACAACATACTCCAAGGTGCTGGTGTTTCCGTTTCCAAAAAAACTGCCAAGTCATTGTGTTATAATATGGTGGTTGAACGACTGACCACCATGAATGTTGAACATGGCGATATCTTAGATGGTGTCAAACAGTCTGTCATAGCAGAAGCAGAAGCACAGGTTCAGAGCACTTTGGTAAAGGCAGCACCAAAACCTAGGGCATTTGACCTCCGTGAAAAGTTCGTAAAAATGAACGAACTTATCAGTGCTGCGGATCCTGCATCTAACATTATTACTGTCCTGGATGGAATTTTCAATGAAGTAAAATTGACGCCCATATGTCTGTACCGTCGTAGCATGAACACAGAAATAGAAAAGGAGAAGATTTTCTGTAACCTCTATCTAGCTGGTCGTCTCATCATCATTGGTGAAGCAGAGAACCGAACAGATGCCCAAGCAGACGCTTACTCCAAAGCCCGAGAGGTTTTGACGAACTCTGACCCCGAGTTCATCCTTACCCAACACAGTAAACTTCAACCACACGACCAAGCGGCACCAGATGTTATTGACTTTCGCGTCAAGGGCAACTGCATTTTGAAAGATAACTGTACAAATCTCCATCGCTTACAACGGACCCGGCAACCTATATCAACACTACCCGCCAAGGATATCGTCGTCTTTGAGCACGTCAGTTGGAAAGTAGATCGTAAAGTTCAAGGTTTCTGTATTTTACAACATTCATGTTTTGTCAACAACATGTTGTTGGAATGGGAATTTTTCGACAATGATGATCTTGTATTCAGGTAAGTTGCCTTAAGGCCTAGTCTTGTTGTGTCTCCCGGTCATAACCTTCAGGTCTAGTATTGTGTTTTCCGGCCTTAACCTTAATGCCTAGTCTTGTGTCTTAAGACATAACTGTAGTCTTGTGTCTTCCGGCCTTAACTGTAGTAAGGCTTAGTCTTTTGTTCTCAGCCTTAAGACCTAGTCTTGTATCGTCGATCAACATTTTGAAATGTTCGATTTGTGATCAACATTTTGAAATGTTTCATTTGTGGCCTTCTGAGAATTATTTGCACTGTCCACAATGGTGTTTAGCTATGAAAGTTACTTGAGATTGATCGTTTGGTTTCCCCTTGTCAGTGATGCAGGATAAGGAACAGTGCCTTGTTGTTAGGATGGAACGAGAAACTGAGATCTTGTGGACATGTGAGCTTGCATGTAAACCTTTGACTGTAGGAATCCGAAATAAGAGTAAGCCATATGGCACAATGCATGGGATGTCAATTTCAAATGCCCAGATGGAGCAGAAAACCTACATTTGTGACCAGACATTGCTTGTAGACTGTGCGAGATAAAAACAAAATAAATTTTTGAAAGAAAAAAGAAATATTTAAATTAAGAAATCTTTGACTTTTTGTTACTCTTCTTTTGGTTTTAGGGGTGGTTGGGTGACCAAATGGTTTGAGCATGCACTTTACTTCATTAGGTCTGTGAATGAGTCAAATGGCATGGTTTAGATTGTATGTGACGTGGAGTAGGGTTGTCCGTCTAACTTCCTGTCTGTTAGTCCCAAAATGATCGTTAATCCTCATTTCTTTCTTTTTCTTTTAAGATGTCAGATGAAGATACAGAAGGAAGATGTTGGAACCGAACCTGCATCGTCTGTTAGTAAGATAGGCTCCAGAAATTTAGCAGCAGCTGATATCTTGTTTAAGCTCTACGAAACACAACCAGTCATAGAGGTAACTTATTTTATTTAATACTTGAATTGGCTTTAGGGCTTTGGACTGCTGAACTAAATAGGCCTACATTATATTAAAAAAAAACTATTTAACCAAGCATTTCTGCACCCTGTCACTGAAGCAATGATCCTATCCCTTGGCCAATCATATCCTGTCACAGCACCAAAAGAGTGAGATGTGGGTGGGCTGATCTAGTGGTCTAATGCATGCCCTTTAGATCATAAGATATGTCATTGAATCAATTTGATCCCAAGCTTGTACCGGACAAGGAGTAGAATCTCGTGTCTTTTTTCCCGTTCCGTCAACATGCTGCCAATGGCTATACAAGGGACCTTGGTTTTTTGTCCTATCCAAATGACTAGACACTTTTTCTTGGCAGTCCGTCTCCAATGGGACCTTGGTTTTTTGTCCTATCCAAATGACTAGACACTTTTTCTTGTTGGTCCGCCTGGGCCTCACAAGACGAAAAAAAGGCTGGAAAAACCTGAGGAACTTTATTGGCTAACACCTAGATTAAACCCAAATACTTATCCACTGAGCCAGCTTGGCTTTCATTCTGCTCTTCTAGGCACAGATTTGATCTTTAATTTATGAATGCCAATATATAAAGCCAACCTAGATAGCATGTCTTACTAAATCGTTTTCCTTTCCAGGTTTCCGCTTACACTAAACCCGATCAAGTGACAGAATCTGTCAGTTTTGATACGTTGCTTAAAGAAGCGGAGGTGTTGAAAAAAGCTGCCGAGGATGCGGGAGAAAACGTTACAGCTACTACAGCTGAGGGAACTGATAAACCTACTGAAGAACCAGCCACAGAAGCTACTGAAACTAAGACAGGTAACACAGATGTTGAAATGAAGGAAGAAGTAACAGATCTACAGACTAAGAAGAAATCTCCTAGAAAACCACATTACCGTCATGCCGATAGATTTATTTTAAAAGCTGCCCAGGCACGACTAGACGAATTCATAAAAGTTAAAACGCTGAAGGATCTACTGTTCGGACCTGCTTTCCCTCATCATATCACACGCCAGATTAACGGCTTACTGCGTAACCTCCCCGTTCCAGTTCGCTTTATGGTTCGTTCCATTAGAAATCAGATGTACACCATTGTAACACAAAGTATGTCACCAATCGAAATTGTCGCATTTCTCAAAGCCAATGGTGGACAGTCTGGTCGCTTCCGTTTAGTCGAAAAATCAGAACTTCCGACACATAATGACATTTTACCAGAACTTAAAAGTGGGGAAATAAAACCCAAGAAAGACAAGAGCGGAGTGGACAACTTTTTTGAAGATGTCTCTCTCGAACGAACGGAAGATTTCCACACAGCTATGTCACTAGGGGACAACAGTGCTTATGCTGCTAATTTTGCTGAGACAACTGAGTCCGATGAATCGATGGTGACACCGAAAAAAGAGAATTTCCAGTCAAACAGCGGTCAGCCAAATACTTCACTTAAGGGTAATACCAGCACCCCAATTCAGGGTGGTTCGGCCAAGAAAAACGCTAAAAAGAAATAACTTTAAATTAAGATACAAGACCATTTGTTTTTCCATTTTGATCAAAGCTAAATGAGTGTTTTACAGATTTTCATCATATTATTTTGGACTAAGTCCCTTATATCAATTTATTTTTCATCATATGTGAATATTTCAATTCATGTTTGTAACTTTTGTTATTTTTTGGTCAGTATCGTACTGTTGTTCAAATTGGTCCAATACCAGAAAATGCAGTGTTCACCAGGGCATTTTTTAAGTTTTAGGCTACTGAGCCAGTTTTCTAAAAGGTAACCTTTTCTGTGGTTCCAATATCAGATTTGAGAAACTGTGATGTAAATGTAATTTAATATTAAAATCATCTATCAATTAGTTTCAGCATGCAAGTGTAATTTACTATTCACTATCCAGGTGGTGAAGACAGTTGTTTTAGTTCTGTGTCCTATTAAATGTACATTACACGTAGATAATTTTGTGTAAATTGACACATGTAGTTAATCTCTTTTGTGTCACATTTGTCCACACAAGTAGCATTTTACTTTGTCATACTGTATGTTGAAAACTTTGTTATAATGGGCTTGGATATTATGGGCTTTTATTTACAACTCTGGATTATTGGGGGTGAGTGGTCTAGTGGTTAAACGTGTGCGCGTGAAATCACAAGATCTGTCATTGAGTCAAGTGGCGTGGTTTCGATTCCCCACTTGTACATGACGAGGAGTATGGTTGTCTGTCCAATCTCATTAGTTTTCTATAGGTCCTCCAGTTTCCTCCCTCTGAACCATATGTTAGTCCCAAAATAACCTGGTGTATGTCGAGTGGATGTTAAACCCCATTTCTTTCCTCTATGGATTATTGATGCAGTGATATAACTTCTGTCTGAGAGCACTAGTAGAGGAGTGGATTTGCGAGAACTATAAAGTGAAAGATTCTTGAATATTTTTGTTTAAAATACAGAAAAATACCTAAAACCATTTGTTAAAATGGTATTTATTAGTTGAACTATATATACAATTGGAATACAATTACTGTTGATTAAATATAAACATTTCAAATAGTCCTTAGAGAGCAAATGATAAACGACCACAAAGATCAAGTAAAAATAACACCCCCTACCACCATCCAAAAAAAACCTCTAAAATATACAACTCGGACTAACACTTGTTAAAGATACATTATTCAAGAGCTAAATTTGTCCATTGCAGGTCTTGAGGCCTTAAATGTTATATAAATTATTAATTAGACATTTATTAACATAAGACCATAACAAACTGTTGATGCCATCAGATGCTCAAGATTTCAACTAGAGTAGAACAGTTCAGCCATTTAATGGTTTAATTTAAAAATTGAGGAGCAAGTCTAATTCTCGAATATACCAGTACTGTGGTTACGATAATGCACACATCTTGTCAAAATTACAATGATAACTCAGAAAAAAGTAATTTGAATGAAATTTTCAATGTATTCACTTTGCATTATCTATTTTTGAACTATAACATAATGTATCTTTAATAAACAGTAATTGTATTCCATAGTGTAAAATTTGTCAATTGTGTTTATCCTAAATGTTAGAACTGGAACATGTCTGTTTCAATTTGAAGAAACTTAGGATAAAAATTGTTGTTTTTTTCAATCAGTCATCATGTAGTGTTTCAAAGCTTCTTAGTTTTTAAAAATTGAGTTTTGATTCCTGTGCTGTTAGTAAAACATGAATTTTATGTGTTTGCTTTTTACTAAGTAAATATTTTAAATAAGAAATGTTATAGTAATGATATAGCATGTGTTATACAAATGTGCTGCTAATAAAAGTTTATAAAACTATGTCATGTCACTTTATTATTCACTATCCTGGAGTGGGGGGTGGGGGGCACCACAGTGACTAAGTGAGTAAGACATTGGCTCGCTAGCCTGGACGTACGTGACGAGGAGTAGGGTTAGTTTAGTTTAAACAATATTTTATTCAATAAACTGAATTGGATTGAACAACAGGCAAGGCCTATATAAGTTCTCTCCAAACATATAAAATAGTTAAATCTTATGTTTACAATACAGTGGTGACATATGTACAGACAGTGAGTAACAAACATATATACATTTTGAAGTGTAATTTTAAGTTTTAAATGTTAAAGTTTTAAAATCTCTTGCTGTCTTTTATGTATTTTTGCACTATTTCAAATATGTTGGAATTGGTATTATCTGAAAGAGAGGGGTTGCCATATAGGATCAGGTCAATTGTAACATTTTGATTAAGGTGGTGTAGATTATTTTTTAGAATTTTTCTTGGGGCAGAGTAGGTTGGACATATGAAAAAATAATGGTAATTATCTTCGTCTGCAGAATTACACCTAGGGCACATCTTTGTGTCACTAATAAAATGGTAGAATAAGTGATTATTTAAGTTACTAGCTTTATTTCTTAATTGGCAATGGATAATATTCTCTTTCCTATTTCCAGTATTATAATATAGTAGTGGTCTAATTAAAGGATACACGCGTGAAAGGCCTAATTTGAATGTACTTAACGTTTGTGAAGTTTTAATATTTTCAGGTAAGTTGTTCCAAAGTTTAATTGTGCAGGGAAAGAAACTATTAGAATATGAACTCGTTTTACAAAATGGTAGATTGAGGTTCAGATTTTCGTTTCGAAGGTTATAATTTGATACAGACGGTTCAAATTTTTTAAAGGCTTCAGATAGATAAGTGGGACTTAGGTTATTCTTTATTTTGTATAAGTAAATTAATTTGTGTTTTATTCTGCGATTAGACAATGATTCCCAACCAAGCTCTTTGTATAAATTGTTTTTAGATGAATTTCTTCTAAGGCCAGTTATTATTCTACCTGCTTCAGTTTGAACACTTTCTAATAGATCAGAATCCTTCTTTGAACAGGTATCCCATACAATATCGGCATATTCTAAAATCGGACGAATAAAAGCAATATATATTTTGTTAAGTGAAATTCTGTTAATTTTGTATTTCAGTATACGCAAAATATTTAGTCGACCACAAGCTTTCTGGTATATATTTGAAATGTGTTTTGACCATAATGCATTAGACTGAAATGTTATTCCCAAATGACAATGAGTAGTTACGTTTTCAACTTTTGTATTTTCAAAAATAACGTCTGGATGGATTGTATTTTTCCTAGTAAAAATAATATCTTTAGTTTTATTGGGGTTAAAAGTTATACACCATTGTTTAGCCCACGATGAGATAATATTCAGATCTTCAGTCATAGAGTTCGCGCTACTTAGAGGATCATTATGAATAATGGTAAAAAGTGAAGTATCATCGGCGAATAGCCTTATGTTGTTAGTAATATTATCGGAGATATCATTTAAATAAATTAAAAATAGGAAAGGACCCAGCACACTTCCCTGGGGGACTCCAGAATCAGTATACAAATAGTTTGATTTGAAACCTTCTAAAACTACGCATTGTTGTCTATTACTTAAATAGTGTTCAATCCATTTACATAATATTTCATTAACTCCATATTGTTTTAATTTAGACAATAAGCCTATATGCCAAACTTTATCAAACGCTTTTGATACATCACAAAATATAAATCGAATTTGCTTTCCTTTATCAAGATTACTAATTATAACATCATAAATTTCTAAAAGTTGGTTTATTGTAGAATCGTTAGGTTGAAAACCAGACTGATACTTATATAATAGGTTATTTTCTTTTATAAAATTATAAAGATTTTTGAATAAGATTTTCTCTAGTATTTTACACAATGAACATGTTAATGAAATTGGTCTATAGTTTTCAGGGAACTGCGGATCACCCTTTCCTTTATACGCTGCAATGATATGTGAAGTCCTCCAGATATCAGGTAATAATTGGAGTTCTAATGAAAGATTAAAAAGTTTAGTGAGAGGGCTTGTGATTGATGGAGTTATCTTTTTCAATACAGCTGGACTGATATTATCGGGACCAGTAGGTTTTGAACAGTTAAGAATTAGTAACTGGTCTTTCACTTCTTGCTCACTTACAATAAAATTTTGTAGTTCGTTGTTACTGCGAGAAGCAAAGTATGGAAGGTCAGGTACATCATTTAATTTTGAAATCGAAGCAAAATAAGAGTTTAGGATGTTTGCCTTATCAAGTGGGTGTGTGTAAACACAGTTTTCAAATAATAATGGGGAGGTTTGTACCTTTACATTATCATAATTTGTAATAGATTTAGCTATTTTCCACCATTTATTTGGTTGCAAGGTTTTATTATTTATTTGTTGTTCTAATTTCTCTTTAAAACTATTTTTAGCTTCCCTAATTAATGTTATTACTTGATTTCTTATTTTTCTAAATAATAGCCAATGATTAGGACTATTTGTTTTTTTGGCGCGTCTGTGTGCTCTATTTCGTTTTCGAATTTTTATACGTATGGCGTTATTCATAAATGGCTTATCATTTGGTCTTATAGTTACTACTTTTGTTGGGATATATTGTACTAATGCTTTATTTAAAACATCTAAAAAGCTTTGATAAATTTTATTAATATCATCATTTTTAAAAACATTTTTTGACCAATCGACAGTTAATAATTCGTTATTTAAACCTTCATAATCTGCAAGTTTATAATTTCTAATAGTTCTTTTGTATGTTAATTGTTTGTATGTTTTTATATTTAAAGATAAGGTTATTGGTGAATGTGTACTGCATATAGGAGCATTAACATTAGTATCTGATATAAGGGATTTCCTATTGGTAATAAAAAGATCAATGCATGAACCTGGGAGCGTTGTGAAATTAGTCGGTTCTTTTATCAGATTTTCAAGATTTAATCTTTGTAATAGTTTTTTAAATTTAGCACAATTACTTGAATTACTTAAAATGTTGATATTAAAATCCCCCGTTAGGATAAAAGAGGAACCTCTATCTAATGCATTAGATAACGTATCGTAAAATATGTCCCAAAAGGCAACCTTTGTATTTGGGGGTCTATATATTACCCCGAGTAGGAATTTGGTGTAATCAGTAAATATGTCTATAAAAATTAATTCAATATCAGAGTTTATGAGATCATGCCTAATCTGAAAGTGTAGATTATTTTTTATATAAACAACAACCCCACCCCCATGCCTGTTTCTATCAATTCTAACTGGACTTCTATAACCGGGCAGTAAAATCATTGAATCATTAATAGTGTTGTCTAAATGAGATTCAGTAATACATATTATATCATAGTTGGAGAATTCAGCTTCAATTATATCTAGTTTTGGCAATAAACTACATACATTATTGTGGACAATGGAAATGTTCCCTGTATTTAATGTATTAAACGGACCAGGGTTTTGTTCTATGCAACCGACAATTAACAAAGTTTTAATTACCAGCAATAGATGCATATTTATACCATAACACGAGATAGGATGTAAGATCACATATAAGGCATGTTGATCGTTCCGTTTGAGAGGCCAAATAGTATTAGTTTTAATCGTGGCTGTCATTAAGTAATATTTTACGTTCACATGTAAGATCGGAACAATCGTGGGTTTTCTCCGGGTCCTCCGGTTTCCTCCCACTGCTAAACCCCTACGCGCAAGCGGATTATTGAAATAAAATTAAACCGTATGTTAGTCCCGAAATGACCTAGTTTGTGTCGAGTGGACGTTAAACCCCATCTCTCTCTCTCGCTAGCCTGGAGGTCGCTAGTTATCCCTTGTCAATGGTGCATGAATGAGAGCCTGACAAGGACAGCTGTCTAGTCGTTCTGATGGTACGAAAAATTAGGTCACATGTACACAGTGGGGTGCATGTAAAAGATCCCTTTGCAGTTGGAATTCGATATAAGAGTAGGCCATAGAGCTGGTGTCTGGGCAAATTTTCCCTCATAGCACACTATATTGCGTATGCCCGTCTTCATTAGCCCAGTCAGAGCAGAAATGGACTCCATTCTTCTGTTCCATGAAACTGTCATATGACTTTATTAGGTATTATTCCATGCTGAAATTTAATCCTTTCTTACTTTCTATGAAAACGGGGTTGGATGGCCGAATGGTTAGCACGTGCACCTGTATCATAAGGTCTCTCATTAAGTCAATTGGTGTGGTTTCTATTCCCCAGTTGTTTGTGACAAAGAGTTGGGTCGTCTGTCCAACCTCGTGGGTTTTCTCTGGGTCCTCTGATTTCCTCCCACTGCTAAAGATCTCTATGCCCAAGCTAATTATTGAAATAAAATTTAACCATGTGTTAGTCCTGAAATGACCTAGTTTGTCTGGAGTGGACTTAAACCCCATTTCTCTCTTTCTATGAAACTATGTCATGTGACATCATTATGTAATAGCCCTTGCTGAATGGAGTTGAGAAGGGGATATTGAAATGGGCTCTTGTTTTTGTGCCCTAAACTACATCATGTGACTTCCTTATGATATATCCTGCACTGAACAAAGTTAAAGATGTTTTTATGAGACTTTAAACTTACATCAACCTATAATAGTAGGCCTACCTATGTCTGTTGCTAATTATAATTGTCTTAGATTTATTAATAGGCCAAACTGGTTGTTCAATCTGTTTTTCATTGCATCATAAAGACTAGACACAGTTAATGCAGCACTGACAAGTCCTTTGGATGGGAAGGAACAAAAACAACGTCCTGTAAACACGTTGGTATGCACGTAAAAGAGGCCGTGATCATTTGAATTCAGTTCCTCTAGTAAAGGTTATTAACTCGTAGCATAATGAAGGGTGAATGCCAGTCTTCATTGACAGGTTATTGCAGAAAAGTAGCCTATTTCAAGTCATACATAATTATTAGGCAACAGATGTCTAGCTGCACATTATTAAAGAAAAGATAATGGTCAAGATGTCGCGTAGATTGAACAGTACGCTTTCCATAGAGAGTACTGTTCATTTCCGACAAGCGAACACTTTTATACAAGAAGGATGAAAACAAACGCCTAGAAAGTCATAAATTTTATTACAAATAAATTTCAACGGACGAACCATCCACCGATGCACACTTCACCAGGATTGACCCACGCTGTGCAGCGTCCTTTACATTACGTACCGCAGGGGCGGATCCAGGAATTTTTGCGGGGGGGGGAGGGTTGCCATGTTCCTGAGACAATGTACCCCCCCCCCCCCCGCATGGTCTATATCGTTATTTTGGCGTATATACATACACATTGAGCTTTTTAAACAGAGAAATTAAAAACCTCGTTTGACGTCAATTTTTATTATGAATTAATACAGTGGGTCAATTCAAGTCCCGGGTTACGCCTGTGTTAAGGTTGTGTTCTAGTGGTGTATAACTGCATGGTGTTCTTTTTAGTGCCTTCACCGGAGCCTCTCGATTTAGCACCAGTGTTTACACCAGTGTCTAAACTAGTTTAATACCAGTGTTAACACTGGTAGGGTAAAAAATATAAAACTAGAGTGTTATTTTTAAATGTTACACTTTGTTTTTGTGTTCTGTTCTAACGCATTCAATTCTTTGCATGAGCTGGCCAACTAAAAAAAAACACCAAAAGAAAGGTAATTGGGGGAAACTAACCGCTTCCAGGAAGTTAAGTAACTAGGATCTATTTTGAATTTTTGTAGTCTCATTTGATTATTATTCAGTCGAAATTTCCTAAAATTTCTCGTAAATTAGCAGGTCTGCGATCAACATATTCTTTGTCTTACGTTTTGGCTGTATATGGATAAAAAAAAAAAACATTTTAAGCCTTAAAACTAAATCTAAGAACCGTAAAAGAAATTTCCTTCTTGTCGTCTGCTCTTTTACACCAGTGTTGTAATAAACGACTTGAACTGAGATTTTTTTTATCACCAGTGCTACACTGATCTAACTGGTGTTAGACACTACACAACCTTAACCCAGGACTTGGATTGACCCAATGACATTGTGATTCAATTTCATGGATACAAAGCATTAATTGTGACATCAAATAATGTCTATATCATTATCCTTTATCAGATGTGGGACAGGGTGGGCACTCAGGGGCCTGTTTCTCGAAATCTTAACTAAAGATAAAATCCAATTTTAGTAGATACTTCAAGTTTGATTGGCTAAGCACTATAATCAATCTAATATTATCCAATCAAATTACTGAAATTTGGATTTTATCTTAGTTAAAATTTCGTGAAACAGGCCCCTGAGTGCCCACCCTGTCCCACATCTGATAAAGGATAAAGCACACGACCGAGAAACTTTTATCATAAAAAGTGTTGATTTACAAAAAAAAAATTATGTAGCTGAGCAGGGGGGGGGGGGGGTCGACCCCCCCCCCCTTTGGATCCGCCCCTGTACCGTTTAATATAAATACGGAGTGCAGTCTAAAGAAAAACACGTGACTGTTTTACGCTCAGGGTAACGCAGCAAGACGCACGTGTAAATACGTCTCTCTACTGCGAAATCATTCTACCACGAAATGTAACGTGAGGCACGGAAAGGGATAAATGAAAGAGCAGAAAGTATTTGTCACATTTCGCTTGACACGACTCGATAATAATAACTATTTTTCACATTTCGCTTCACAATACTCGATAGGCGTGATGTAAGTGACTTATTAGCACCTTTCCTCGGTGTATCGGTGAAGATCAGGACAGTTTTGGTCGGGCTCCGCCTCGGCTGGGCCCCTCGACCGAAACTGTCCTGATCTTCACCGATACACCGAGGAAAGTGTGCTAATAACCCTGGAAAATCGAGCCTGAAGATAAGAATCACTCGGCAAACCTCGGCAGATTCGGGCATAGATATCCTATAAAGACATAGGATATCTATGGATTCGGGTACCCTATTAGATGCGTAGAATCTGTCGATGTTTGCCGAATGGATAAGAATTTCTCATAGAGTTATCTGTCCATTATTAAAATCGGAAGTGACCGAGAAGACATGCAGACTGACTCGACTGACTGGCACTGTTGTTAAAAAGAAAAACAATTTAGTTATTAATATTCTAATTAAATAATTGTACTATCTGCCAGAGCAATCGAGCAGGTAAAGATAAATCTGTTCATTTGGTTGCACATTAGTGCAACTAGAACTTGCAATAAACATTTGTCGATGACTGAGTTCAGTGATTTGTCTCGGTGGCGGTCAACACATATCTGAACTGAGATTACACTGTACAGTGGTAGTTCAGCTATGAACGTAGGTCTCATTACACTCGCCCTGTACGTTCAGGAACCGTACGTCCTCTTGAATCCTTGTCAAAAAAGAATCGTCCACCAGTCAATTTTACTGGGCAACTTTTTATGCTGAACGGTGGGGTGTCAATCCGTGTCAACGGCTGTACAATGTAATTTGTAAGAGAACATTTTAGTGAGAAAATAAGACCTTGCTAAAAGTTGCTTACCTTACTAGAGTCAGTATGAGCGACACTACATGCTGTTAAAAATACGTCCCCTCCTATCAAGTTGCCTTTTCGCCGCCATGACACTCTAAATATTGTTCAACGTCCATATTTAGGAATGTCGGCCTTACAAGACGAAAAGAAAATTAGGTAAAAATTGGAATCTTTGAAAAAAATTAGAATCTTCAGTCATTTATTGCTTTGCTCACATTATAATAATATTACAACAGAATAACACAAACATTCCAGGTGCATAATAAGGGATAAAACAATTTACTTTCATATTCAGTATTTATTGTGGGACTTGGTGACCGATAATGTTTTTAAAAAATCATAGTAAAACATACACCTTTGAGTAAAAAATAGGTTACATGCCCTTGTTTGAAATTAGTCCCGCTTAACCAGTCTACCGACTATTCTACATCTGATTGACAGGCCAAGATAATCAAGACTACTTTTTTACGAAACATAACAGAAAGCTGAAACAAGAAATTGAATTTAGAAACATGCACTTTGGGCAACTCAACAATTATTTTAAGAACCTTGTAAAAGTAAAATGAAACTACTGCTACTAGTATCATGTCCTTGCCTAACCTGAGTGTTTCAGAGATATTATTTGTACTAAACCAAAATATGCCGAGCAACAGTACAGTTAATGATAAATCAATTTAAAACATAAAACGAACGTAATTTCTAAACTTGCTGTAACCAAAAAGCTAAATATTACTGCTATTCAGAATCATCAACAATAGATTTTTTACACCTGTAATATTTGATAGTAGAGAATTGCCTGTGCAATGGCTATTTATAGACTCATAGACTCTTCTGCTGAGTATTATCGCACTGTGTGATTAGCCAGAAATCACTTCGAGACAAGCCACTGAAGCATGCACATTCACTGTGTTGAGTTCAACTTTCTGTGAAATCTGTCATCATTTTCACGTCCCGATTTATTTCCTTATTACTTCAACCAAAAAAGTTTTGAGTAGTCTGGATTCTGAATATTCCGAATTACGATGCCACTCAGCGGTCCTGTCATACGATTTGCGTTCACTTAACATTGGATAATTATCCAGCCTTCAGTCAGTGGGTATTAACCGACAAGCAATCACCAATCAATTATCTGTGAGCATAAAATACATACATGTCGGTCTCTGTTGATTACTTTGATAATATTATAATCTCTTGTAAGAGAGCGGTTTTTCACATCAATAACTAGTGCTCCTACGGTTAGGACTTTTTGTTATTCGAATAACCGTAGCTATTAACTGGTTAGTAACCGTTAACCGTATGGTATCAATTTTAAACATAAAACAGAGCTTGTCAGGAGGTGCGAGTCATTACTCGTGCACACGCTATACTCGCCTGAAAGGCATTACACGCGCAAAAATTTCAGGAATTTTTTCAGACATGTACAATTCTTTAATGAAAATTTAAACTATCTAAGGCCGTAGTTATTTATTTACCTGGATAACTTGGTTCATTTGAAACATTTTTTAATTCAATATAACGATAATATACAAAACAATACTCTATTTCCCTTCGTACGTGACAGATGGCGATAATATTACGATTACACAATTTTACTAAGAATAGAATAAAGTAAATTGGAAGGCGTCTATTGATTGGACAATAAAGAAATAATTCCTCACTTGCAAGTAGAATTTTTATGATTGGTTAATTTAACTAAAAACCAAACTAGAATTCTTGCGAGAAATTACGAGATATGAAACTTGTTGAATGTCGTAACGAATCTAGTATAATGTCATTTTCTAGGCTTTATGATTATATTTTGAATGGTGGTTACGTTTTGAAGTAAATAATAAACAAGGTAGAATATAGTTAGAAATGCCGAGAAGTATTTAGATTGGATTAACAGTAGCAAAAGTCAGAACAAGGTCCGTTGACTTTGCCGTATGACTACGACGAGTGCTATTAATATTATTATTTTTTAGCAGTCGACATCGTAGGACGACTGTTACATTTTAAGATTTTCAAACATCAAATACAAAATGACAACGGGCAAATTTTGTTATAAAGAGGAATATAATCAGACACAACTCTATGTAATGGGGGACATCGCCGAATAACTGTACCGTTGAATTCGAACCGTTTAACCGTCCAGTTCTAACCGTTTACGGCTATCCGACTAGTCGTAGGAGCACTATCAATAACAGTGACATTATAAATTGTCCAGATGAAGAATCACTATCCTTATAATATTGTGTTCATAATGTGTGATCCTCCTGCAAAGTGCGCCGGTACACATTTGATATTGGATATCAAGCAGCAAATTATAGCAGCCCTCTCACTCTTTCTCTCCAGTTCCTAATGTAAAATGGAGGGCACCTACTATAGATGAAATATAAATTTTCAGTGGACGGTGGTGTTATTTAACCCATTGTGATTTGTTAAAATATATTGCATTTGCAGCCTGATCAATTGATTGAATTGTGTCAAATGCAATAATGATGATAATGTACTTTTAATCCACAATAATGCATTGAAATATAGTCTTAAAAGATATGTTTTAAGTTTTATCTGATGTAACTTATTTTTGTGGAGTTCTTTAGGCTCTCTGGAAGATGGTTCCACTTGGTTGTTGGAGTTGCTGTCTGGAATGATCAGAAGCCAAATACTTGAAATTTAATCCTGAGAACTGTTATCATTTCTTGAAATTGTGAAAGACGCCTTGATTTATTAGCCAACATCAAGTCACATACTAAAGTGGTCTCACATTGGAAGTTGGTTCCACTCGTTACTGACTAAAATTTAATTACAGGAACCTTTAAAATTTATTAGCCGATATTAAGTACGATAAATGTATACGACTTACTTTTATTTGCTTGAAATCGTGCTGAGACATCTTTATAAAAAGTTACTGTATTTTGATGTATTAGCTATTATTAAGTCGTCTTGATGTAAATATCAAGTCTGATAGGTTTATTTGACTTACTTTTATTTTCATAAAATTGTGCTTTGATGTCTTTGAAAAGAATTATTGTATTTTATTGAATTTAGGTTCCATGCTACTCTAAATGTGGAACTTTACTCTCTTATATTGTAGATAGACGACACAATCATTATGTGGAACACTAAGAGTATGATTGTAAGGACAGATGGAACCAGAAGACAAGTGAATGTTGACGAACAAGATTTTGGTGGTCCAGGTAACCATGATCGGCAGGATCATCACCTGCGACATTTAGAAGGTGTAAATTTTGATAGAAATTATGATGGCCGCTATCCTGACAATTATGATTATCATAGAGAAATGGCCATGAATGAGAGAATGGACAGAGACACCTATCATGACCTTAATAGAAGGCATATCGATGATTTTAAAGTCCAAGACAGACCTGATTACAGATCTCCATCTCCATACTTAAGGATTGAACAACGAAGGGAATGCTCACCTGAAGTAGACTTGAGAGCCACAATGAGAAACAGAAGAAGTGTTTCCCCTCATTCCCAGATCTCACGAAACCAAGAACCTGACCTGCGTGTTTATTTACAACAGCGAAAATCAGAGAGGACCTATTTTCCAGCTGCAGAAGGTGTGGCCCCTGTATTCCACCTCCATTCCACTGAGCGGGAATACTTTAGTGGTGAAAGGAGTTCATTTGGAATTAGAGAAGATTCCAGAGAAAGATTCATGGACCATGAGAGACATTTGAGTTTAAGATCACCAGATATGGGCGATAAATATCACGACAGGCATGATAGCACCAGAGATCATGAACCATTTGAAAGATCGGGAATAGACAACACCAGAGATCGAGAACAGTTTGAAAGATCAGGAATAGATAACACCAGAGATCGAGAACAGTTTGAAAGATCAGGAATAGATGGCACCAGGGGTCGAGAACTATTTGAAAGATCAGGAATAGATGGCACCAGGGGTCGAGAACTATTTGAAAGATCAGGAATAGATAACACTAGAGATCAAGAACCATTAAAAAGATCAGGAAGAGATAGCACCAGAGATCCAATTGAAAGATCAGGAAGAGATAGCACCAGAGATGCATTTGAAAGATCAGGAATAGAGAACCACAGCAATCAAGAACCATTTGAAAGAACAGGAAGAGACAACACCAGAGATCGAGAACCATTTGAAAGATCAGGAAGAGACAACACCAGAGATCAAGAACCATTTGAAAGATCAGGAAGAGATAGCACCAGATATCAAGAACCATTTGAAAGATCAGGAATAGAGATCCGCAGAGATGAAGAACCACTTGAATGGCCAAGAAGGGAATCGTCTTTAGAGAATTATATGAGAAGGAATTCGCCACAATCAAGAATCTCTGATCCTTCACCGTCCAATAAGAGAAACAGATCACAAGAAAGAAGTCGGTCAAATCACCGAAGGCGTGGTGACAGAAGTAGTTCTCGACACTCCAGAAACTCTGGAAGATCACGTTCTACCGGGAGACATGAAATGTCATCACAATCTAGGAATGAAAAAAGAGATGGGAACAGGAGTCGTTCTCCACATCAGAGAAGATTTGAAGAAAAAGCAAGATCCACAATTCTGCCAAGAAGTTTAAGTGATACGATTAGGTCTCCGAATCCTAACCATAGTAAAATGATTGAATCAAATGTTAGGCAAGATCTAGTGAGACATGAATGGATGCATGAAGATCAGAAACATAATCACAACTTTGATTCAGAATCTAGAAGACTAGGAAATAACTTCAGAAAATCCCCAGAGAGGAGGGGTGCATCTAACAAAGAAAGCAGTCCGTCTAAAATAGCTGCTGCAAATGACAGGCCTAGAAAACACAGAGATGAGTCAGAGTCATGGAGAGAAAGAGCTCCTGCTAGTGACAAACCAAGAACACAAGGGAATGGGTTGGGTGCTGGATCTAGAAGAGAAAGAAGTCCCCCAAGAAGCGCTCCTTCCAATGATAAGCCTAGAGCAATAAGAGATGAGCCAAAAACTAGTAGGGAAAAAAGTCCTTCAAGAAGAGGTCCTGCCAATGATAGATATAAAACACACAGGGATGAGCCTGATTTGGGATCTAGAAGAGATAGCAGTCATTCTAGAAGTGCTCATGCCAATGAAATATCAAAAAAACATCTATCTGAATCAACTCGACGAGTATCAAAGAAGGATGAATCACTTAGTAGGGTCAGTCGTGAACGACGTACACCAGAATCAGGTAAAATAAAAGGCAGAAATTCTGCCTCCAAACAAAGACCTAGAAAGGCAAAAACACCACCATTGGAGTTTCTTGAAAAAGCTGTATTAAAAGAGCAGTTGAAAAGAAAATCCAATGAGGGAAACACAGCAGAGATATCAGCAGATTTTCTTGGCAGAGGACTGAAACGTTCTAGGTCACCATCAGCATCTGTAGACAGACAAGATTTTGGAAGACAAGAATTTGACTTCTTGGATGATGATGCTATCAGCAGAAACATTGCAGCATGCAGAATATCATCTGAGCAGTCGGTAAAAGTTATTCAAGATATGATAAAGAAGAATAAACCAGTGTCAGAGCTGATCAAAACAATAGAATCTCCACATATGACACCAGATGCTTCAAAAAATAACCCCAAACAATCATTTGATGATAAAATAAAACAATTTGCTCTCAGAACTGATACTGGTTCCTTTGGCATGCCGAGCCAAGGTTTATCATTCGATGGAAGAGAAGTTATTCAGAGGAGTGAAACAAGTGATACCATCCCCATGGAAGACATTGATGGTGTTCCAATTTCTAAAGCAGATTTCAAAAGTATAATGAAGTCAAGGAAACCTGCTGAGACGAATACAGATGCTGTTGAAGATCCCAAAGATAGATTCAGAAACTTCCAGAGCAAATTTCCTGATTTTCCCATAAGGAGTGAGTTTAGGAAATCGGAAAATTTATCAATTATGAAAAAGCCCCCGGCTGTTGAACAAGTTAAGCAAACACGGGACAAATTTAAGTCCCTGAAAGATTTTACGGCACATTGCATCAACTGTGATGAAGTGTATGACCCAATGAACCCTACCAAAGACACCGGTGAAATAGAAATCCAGTCTAACCATCCCCCTGAAAATATTGCCCCCAAATTGAATCTTATGGAGAATATTCAACTACCAGATTTTGAAACTGAATACCCATATTCAAGATCAGATATACAGGGCAAAAAGGGATCAAAGTCTGCTGAACCAAGCCCTGTGAATACCAAAGAATCTCAAATTAAAGAAGAAAGTAAATCCGGCTACTGGAAGTCTCCTAAGTTAGAGTCCTTAGATATATTCAACCTGTGGAATAAGGTTCCAGCTGTCTATAGTAATAATAAAGAGTCAGTAGAGATAAAAGAAGAACAGAAAAACATAATCCCTGCTGATGTTCCAGCATCAGTTCCTCCAACTGCACCAGCTTTTCAGTTGGATGATTCTTATTTCAATTCCCTAAAGACAACTTTATCCAATTTGAAAGACATTGAATCTGGAAAAGGAACTGGCAACTTTGATATGATGACTGATCTGAATGCTAGTAAGTGTCAACAGTTTCAAGTCCAGTTAATAATGCATACCTTGTTTTGAGCACCTAAGATTGGGACTATAAAACATGTTTCAGTGTAAGCACTGGGTTATAGTGAAGACCTTATGAAAAGTTTCTTTTTTTATTTGTCTTCATTAGCCCGGTTGGTGCAGTAAGGTGGGACATTAAACCCAATTTCATTTTATTTCTCATTTATTATCATATAATATATTGTATCATGGCTTTCCATTGGCATATCACTGTCCCTGTCATGTCATATGAACAGCTGTATGTTGACAAGTGTGATTCGTTGAGTGACATATTTGTTTTGCATTGCTTTCTAGATGAGCCTGGTGAAAATGATAATAAAGTTGAACCAGAACCAGATGAATCAGAATGCAGTGAAGTAAGTGGGGTTCTAGATCCGAGTCTAGAAGAGAAGTTGAATGCCCTTCGCTTCTATATCAGATACTGCAAGAAAAGCGGTGGTGATGTTGCAGTAAGTAGTTGAAAGTTGAAAACATCAGCACTTTGCTTTGATCATTTGTCTGAGTTGGAAATTGACATAATAGAGTAGGACAAATTTGGCTGAATCAAGAGTCCTGTCTGACAATTCCTGCAGAAATATTCATTTATCTAATTGACAAAACATCAGCATTATCTCTTTAACATTTATATTTGATTAAGAGCAAATGTTCTGAATTAATTTTCTGTTTCAAAGTGATGTTGACTTTGGTTATCATGAATTAAAACTCAAATTTCCATCCGTTTACTCATTTTTCTGATGTTAATCTTTTGTCTTATTATTCAACGAGTTTAATTAATTAAACCATTTGCAGAACACTTCTAGTCTGGAGGAAATTTATTTGTTGACTGAAATTTCTCAGTTTCAAAAATATCTGAGCTCTTGTTATCATGAATTACATGTAAAACTAACATCTCCATTCATTCAATCATTTTTCTCATGTTAAACATTTTTAAGGAAAGTAATTTGTCTTAATTCCAAAAGTTAAATTATCCAAGCAATAAACTGTTTGCCGAAGACATTTAGTTTAGTGTGTAATTCAAATGATTATGATTTCTGTTAATTCAATTCAAGTCTGTTTCTAATATATGTTCGAATTAATTATCAGAATTGAATTGATGTTATAGTTTGTGTATGAAATGTGTCAAGTTTGTGTATGTCTGAATGTTCAATACTCTAGAAAATGGTTATTATTATTTATTATTATTACATTCTTCTTGCAGTTGATAGATGCCGCCATCCAAGATTACCAAGGGGAAGACAAACTGAAAAAAGAGTTCAGAATAAGAGAATTACATAGAATTAGAGAGAAAGTGTTCTATACGGGAGCTTTGTATATCGGCGGACAGTTCTTTGCCGACGTATTTCATCAGTTTAAGTACGAATGCAAAAGTTTATGCCATGAAGAGGCTGTAAAAGTTTGTCGTAATTGTACGATGGAGGAGATTCGAGCGCGAAAACCACGTTCGATGGACGAGTTGAGAGAATTCTTAATTAATCAAATTAAAGAGTCAGAAAAGAAAGAGTGGAACACGCCTGTAAATATCTTTAAACGTTTTATTAAAAGTTTGAAGAATGCTAAAAATGTTCCTCTGAACGTCTCTGCGAAAATTGGGAATGCTGTTAACATCTCTAAAACATCCACATTCTTCACTTACAAAGATGAGTGGACGTTTAGTAAAAAAGGAGAAAGGATGTGCCAGGGTCAATGTTCTCTAGCAGAAATACTCATCGGCGTCTCGGCAGAAAATTCAAAGAAGGTTGCCAAGCAACAATGCATGGAAATGGTGTACACGCGATTCATGTTGTTTCCGGCTGAGCAGTTGGTTCAGGGTCTCTCGGCGAAGGAAATCGAGGAAGGGTTGAAGAAATTGAATTCTTCTTCTGCAGACACAACACAAAATACAAGTTTAAAGATCGTAAAAGAAAATATGGATTTGCTGATCGACCATTTAAAGCGGACTGTTGAAGATACAAACTTCATTGAAAAATTGGATAAACTGGGTACCCGCCTGAAAGTTCCCACACTTTGTGTCTTCAGGAAAACCAACACCGTTGATAAAAATAACGTTATGATCATACGCTGTGAGTTGTATGTAGCTGATTATCTGGTTGCCGTTGGTTCCGGAAGTTCAAGAAATGCAGCGAAAGTGGATGCGTATACTCGGTGTAATCAGTTTATGATAGCTACGAATGCCCAGCATATCATTTTAAATCAGAAGAAATTGGCTCCAGCAGATCTTACTGCTGCAGACGTCCTCTCTACAGATAAAGGCCAGCCTGTCACCAATCGAGAATCGAACAAGAAACATCTAAAGAATTATAAAAGTGGAGAACAGACGACCACCGTTCGTGACATAGTGATCTTGGAAACAGCATCCCAAAAGAAAAACCATTGGCAGAATGCATTTAAAATCCTAGAGTACAGCTGTAGACATAATCAGATGTTGATGGAATGGGAATGTGTTACAGAAGGTTCTAATTTTAAGTAAGTGTATTAGGCCTAAAGTTGGCTCTCTATTAGGATTGCCCTGAAGACAATATTTTGAAAATATTTAGCGTTAATCTTCAGGTCAGCGATATAATCTTCAGTTGTTCAGGTCGATGATAATCTTGATAAAATATTTGGCGATTGTCTTAAGATGTTCAGGACTGCGATAATCTTGGCCTATTTTAGATTCGATAATTTTTAAGGCTGGAAACTGATATTTGTCACATTATTTTCAATCAACATTTTCTTCAGCAATGGCAAGATATATAAAAAAAGGGGTACCAGTTAGTACTGCAGATCGATCTGTCTTCAAAATTGACGCGAGACAGCTACAAGGGAGTGCTTTGTGCTATGAAATAAAGAAATATTTATACTATGGGGTTTTCTGGAACAACGATAGATAGGGTTTTCAAGAACAATCATAATATCAGGTTTTCAAGAACAACTATAGTATGAGGTTTTCAAGAACAACTATAGTATGAGGTTTTCAAGAACAACTATACTATGAGTTTTTTTTAAGAACAAACATAGTATACGTTTTTTGAAAACAGCTATATTATGGGGATTTTGATAACAGCTGTACTATGGGGTTTATGGAAACGGCTATAGTGTGATGTTTATGAAAACAGCTATCATGTCGCTATGTTTTTACCACAGTCACAATATTTATTTTTTATATTTTAAATAGGACAGAACATCAATATGCTATGAGATTTCTAATACAACATAAAGCGTTATACATGTATATAAAGCTTACTATTTTAATATTAACCTGCAATAATTAAGGTCATTTATTATTTTTTTACCACAACAAAATGGGTTTTAGCATAGCTGTCATGTCTCTCCTCAAATGGCATCATAGTGAAGTCTTGGTGATGTGTATAATGACTATATTCCGAGTGCTTAATGGAGAATTCCTATTATCAACATACATAAATGCAAATATTCATTCCTTTAAACAAACAAGTATTCATGATAATCCATGTGTTCATTCCTTTAAATATAACAAGTATTCATTTCTTTAAACAAAACAAATATTCATTCAATTAAATCCAAAAGTATTCTTTCCTTTAAACATAACATTATGCATTCCTTTAAACATAAAAAAAACCATTCATTCCTTAAGCACATCAGCTATTCATTCCGTTGAGCACATCAGCTATTCATTCCTTTAAGCTCATCGGCTATTCATTGTTTTAAACATATTCCCTTATACATAAAAGTATTCATGCCTTTAAACATTATAATACATGTAATGTATTCAATATTCATTCCTTTTAACATAACAAGTATTCATTCCTTTAAGCAAAACAAGTGTTCATTCCTTTAAACATAACAAGTATTCATTCCTTCAACCAAAACAAAGGTATTCATTCCTTTAAGCAAAACAAGTGTTCATTCCTTTGCAAAACAAGTATTCATTACTGTAAACATAAAAAGTATTCATCACTTTAAACAAAATACATACATGTATATATGTATACTTTTAAACATGTATCAATTCATTTATTTTGAAAAAGAATAATTTTGGATATTAACCAACATTGTCAATTTATGATGGTTGTTTCTTCTAGGTTTCCGATCTATATTCAAGGTGAAGAAGTGTCGTCACGTAATATTACAGCTCCGACAAAACATCGAGCAAGAATACTGTCCTGTGCTGATACTTTATATAGCTTATACGAATCTCGCCCAGTTATTGAGGTAATATATGCAAATTATAAATTAAATGCAGGTTGGTAGGCTGAAGCCTAGTGCCTCAAGATCAAGGAGTCGTCTGGTCATATACATTTAGTACATATATTCTCAAATATCCTTCATCACCCTCTTCATTGTTCATTTGTGTTTAAAACACACATTAATCTTCCTCTAGTCATGAGGATCAGGGATTGTGAGTAGCAGGCTTCATAAGTGGATTAAATTTCTTTTGTTTCACTGTCAGGTGTCTAGACTGGATTATCGTTATCTGAATATTGTCAACAATTCATTAATCATGGTAATAAAAATGGGAGTCACGGTGGCTTGTTGACTCACTAACCAGAAGGGCTCTGTTAGCCGTGAAAGTTCCTCAGTATCTTCCAGCCTGGTTCCCCATTTAGATGGTGCAAGGAAAAGGTGTCTTGTGGATAATTAAAAACCTTATGTCCACTTGTGAACTTACACTAAACATTTATATTTCAACCCATCCTAATGACTAGGCACTGTTCCTTGCACTACGAACACCATGCTGGAACCTCCTGGGTTTTTTAATGAACTTCAAGTACTATTAAATGTCTAAAATATATTCCTTGTATCACTTATTCACAGGTTATGAAAGAATATGACACAGAGGGTGCTTTTAGCAGCGAGGATATTGAACAACAGGCAAAGATGATGCAAATGTCCGGAATGACGGTCGAAGAACTTCCAGAAGACATCCTAGATGATCTGGAAGAGGAACAAGACACTTCTAATTTCAAATGGTTGTATGCCGTATTAGAAAGTATGTTTTCTATTTTTGACAATGAAGAAACTTTAGAAGAACTGACATTTGGGCCCAATTTTAAGAATTTTTTCTTGGTCAAGTATTTTAAGAAAAAATATAATGTGCGCTACAATATGTTGCGAGAAAAAGATGGAAATGTTTATCATGCTGTTATACCTCAGCATTCACCAACAGAAATGTATGAAATCCTGAAAAAATGTGGTGGGGTCAGCGGTAGATACAAAATAATACCCAATTCTGAGCTGCCACTTCGTGACGATAAGAAATTAAACGAGGAATTGGCGTTGGCTAAAAATGCTGCAGCTCTTACAGACAGTTCTCTCGTGGAAAAATTCAAGACGGAAACGGACCGATTGAAAAGGGTGATAAAGGATATTGTCAAACCTAGTCAATCCGAAGAAAGAAACAAGGATAGGAATATAACTGCTAAGGCAAAGTCTACTAAGGAACAGCAAAGAAATGTTAACCGGTCTGCAGGAGTTAACCAGTCTAGAAGGGTTAATCCACCTGCAGGGGTTAACCAACCAAGAGGCGTTAATCTGCCTGCAGGAGCTAATCAACCTATAGGAACTGGTGGATCAGTTATTGTTTATCCTACCCATCATATGAATACAGTGATCCCGGACACCAATGTGCCGCCACCCGGCTATGGCTCAGGCTATGGATCAATGACACACGATCCACATCCATCAAATACAAATTTCCTACCAACGCAAGGTTTCCCAAACAGTTCATTGAATCAGATGCCAAATGTCATGCAAGGTTCGGAAGCACCTTTTCGACCTCCTGGAAGTAATTTTCTACCACAACATTATACCACACCCCCTCCCATAAGTTCCAACCGCTTCAACAACTTTGATCGCAATGGACCAGAAAAACACAAGTCTGATTCTACAGAATTTCATAGACGGGATCAAGGCAAAAGTAAAGATAATTATAGAGGGGATCATTTTACTAGTACACAGTCTCGACAGTCCTCATCATCATCGTATAATCAAGGTCAGGGGTTACAGGATTCAAGGTCATCAAACAGACCGATACCTGGATACGCCGATAGACGTTTCAATGCCAACTACAGGCCTTACTGATTATCCTCTCTCTTTGTTAAGTCCTGGGAAGGACATTGAACCATTTGTTCACATTGTAAGAAAAGAAATTGTACCATTTGGGAGATTGTTTTTGTGACTGATGTCAGTTGAATTAATCTGAAATATGTCATATATTAACAAGTGTTAGGAAATAATGACATAGGAAGTTAATCAACTGAGAACTTTAACAGTAATTTCCAATTGGTGCATGTCTTACAGTAGAACAGGTGTGTGACATCAGATTCTGTCTCAGGAAAGCCAAAAATGTTTGAAAGTAACGTTAAAGTCCCATGACGGACATTCTTGTTACTTGAAAGTGTCTAGAAGGTTCCAGGACAGACAGATCATCTTGTTTGTGAGTGTTTATAATTTTTCAGAAGGTGAAGATCATCTTGTGAGCATCTTTTTTGGGATCCAGAAAGCTTTGATCATCCTGTTTGTGAGTGTCAACCAGATTCCTGAAAGAAAAGTTCATCTTGTTTTTGAGTATCTAGCAAGGTCCAAGGGATTGAAATGTCATCTTGTTTGGAAGTAACTACAAGGTCCCAGGAAGAGAAGATCATCTTGTTTCCAAGTAATTACATGTCCCAGAAAGTGAAGATCATCATCTTTTGGAAGCTAAAAAAAAGGGTTGTGGATCATCAGTAGTGAATTGAAGAAAGCGAATGTATATAATGTCCTCTATGCCAGAGATGTGTCACAATCATTATTTTGATAATTGTATATAGTAATAATCATGGGGCAATTTATAGATGAATAATAAAGGGCTGTATTTGAAACACACCCTTGTGAATGTATCTACCAATGGACATGTGAAGCTTTCAGAGAATTATGACTGATTTCTTCTTTGAAATTGTTAGTTGTTAAATTTGTGAATGTGGACCAAACAATTGTTAGTGTGATAGGAGTTAACTGTCTAGTATGAATTGATTGGTGCCTCTTAGAATGCTGTCCAGAAAGTAACAAGTAAATTGTTTCTGGAGAATAGTCTACAAAGAAAAGGTTATTTGGAGTAGCATGTGAAGAAAATGTTTCTAGGGAACAGATATTTGAAGAAAAAGTTTCTAGGGAGCAGTCGATGAAGAACACGTTTCTGGGGAGCCATCTGTGAAGAAAAGGTTTCTCAGTAGCAGTCTGTGAAGAAAAGGGTTTCTGAAGAGCTGTCTGAAAAAAGGGTTTCTGAGATTATGAGAGAGCCATCTGTGAAGAAAGGTTTTCTGAAAAGTAGTCTGTGGAGAAAAGGTTTCTGGGAGGCAGTTTCTGAAGAAAAAAGTTTGTGGAAAGCAGTCTGTAAACAAAAGGTTTCTGAAGAACCATCTGAAGAAAAGGTTTCCGGAAAGCAGTCTGTGAAGAAAGGGTTACTGGGGAGCCGTCTGTGAAGAAAGGCTTTCCAGTAAGCAGTCTGTGATGAAAGGTTTTCTGAAAAGTAGTCTGTGGAGAAAAGGTTTCTGGGAGGCAGTTTCTGAAGAAAAAAGTTTGTGGAAAGCAGTCTGTAAACAAAAGGTTTCTGAAGAACCATCTGAAGAAAAGGTTTCCGGAAAGCAGTCTGTGAAGAAAGGGTTACTGGGGAGCCGTCTGTGAAGAAAGGCTTTCCAGTAAGCAGTCTGTGATGAAAGGGTTTCTGGAGAGCTGTCTGAAGAAAAGGTTTCTAGTGAGCAGTCTGTGGAGAAAAGGTCTGCCATATCTGTTATATTTATAGCACGGCTTTCATGAGTTAACAGGTTTAACCAGAGGCCGCAGGCCGAGATGTTAAACCTGTTAACGAATGACTTGTTAACGAATGCTATGAATGACTTGTAACATTGATACCTGCTCAACATGCTTGTTGTTATTGCACAGAAAACCCATCCTACTTCTCTATATGATTTCTACTAAAACTAGTGTAAACCAGCAAAAGTGTGCAATAACATTGAACATGTCCAGTTTTTGCACGGTTAAGCACCACCCAATCTCTAAGAGGGAAACAATCTGCTTATTCAAAGAAAAGAACAAAGGAAGATTTCCCGTCCATGTTGCAAAGCAAGTATGGATACAGAGATAATGAAAAGATTTGGGGGTGAGGGGTCGTAAGTAACAATAACCCATCTGGATCTGACCTACCTCTGATTTGGTTGGAGAGTTATTGTGAATGAAATCAAATATTTTTGAATATGGTGTGTATATATCTGTGATCTATAATTTAGAGAAATTATTTACTATAGTTACATTGAGGAAATATTGAAATACATCAAATAATACCCAAAATTGTTACATATAATTGATACTCCACTTATAGAGTACTTTCCAGTGAAATACAGGTTTTGGGATATGTCCTGAATAAAGAAGGCAATCAATAGAAATAATTGGATCTCAGTATCGATCATCCTTGGTATCCATGCACAGGGGTGACACAGTCAAATTATCCACCCTTGATACTTCTGCTATGTGGGTGAAGGGAAGTAACTAACATTTTATTGCAACTAAGATTATTGTGGTGTACATAAACAATGATGCTAAGACTGGTATGTAAACTGTTTTGTGATTGGTTCGTAGAATCAACATACGATCAAGGGTAGACAATTTGAATTCGCGAGTCGGAAGGAACAATATCATTGGGGATACCAAAGATGAGTATCGATCAGAAAGTAGGAAAATTGGCTCCACTGTTTAATTGTTGAACAAAATTTTACTGTCTTGTGTGTATATATTTATAAGCTTACCAGATTGTTAGTTATTTTAATTGAATGATTTGGGTCACATCAATTTTTTTTTGACAGATGAGGATAGTGATGCCGAACTTTACTGTTTGTTTGATAGATTGAAGCATTGTATCTAAAGTGATTAAGTATAGTGAAGCTGAAAATTATTTTGGTGTTTGAGTGTCTTTAGGAAAAATTCCAATAAAAGAATCATGGTCGAAATTTGTGCATAATCACCATGATTGATCAAATTTCATGCAGGTTAAAATTATAATTAATCATATGAGATTCAGTTTTCACAAGGGATTCCAAATCCCATATTGTAAAGTGAACCGTTTTAAAGGACAATATTGGGGTCAGTCATTATTACATATGTGATAGAACTGGTTAAATACATTCCAAATATAATTTCAACACAGAGATCATTCTTTTTTTGAATTGTCTGATATCCTCTCACCGTCTCATATAACGTTTCATCTTCAACTGAATTATCAGTCAAATGAAATTCGATCGCGTGTCTGTTATCGCTTGTTACTTCAGTCAGTTATATAGAAGGATAACTCGTGTTTGTCATGTTGTCGTCACTTCCCGTTTCTTCACGTGCTTGTTACACATCTCCCGTAGCAATGATCTCTGTGTTAAAATTATATTTGGGATGTATTTAACCAGTTCTATCACATATTTTATAATGACTGACACCAATATTGTCCTTTAATGAAATGAATTGGTTATTTTCTCTTTATAAGCCTATTGTATATTCCACCATTGATAATGTATAGATATATACTCTAAAATACACCATTGTTGTCCATGTAATTATGGAGTTTGCTTGGTAGTTCGAATGGTTAAATGAATGTACTTTAAATCATAAGGTCTGTCATTGAGACAAGTTTCGATCCCACATTTGTACGTGACAAGGAGTAGGGTAGTCTGCCTAATCTACTACCACTGCTTAAGATACGTATGCACAAGCCAATTATTGAAATAAAATTTAACCATAACAGTTTCACGATGACCTAGTTTATGATGTCATCTCTCTATGTAATTATGGAATGTAATTTTATCAGTGCTTGTTAAATGACAATAACAGCATGACCATGTGATTTTACATATATGATAGAAATTATTGAAAAGATATCCGCCATTGCAATTGGACACCCCCCCAAAAAAAAGAAAAAAAAAGGAAATCAGTTATTGTTAAAGATTGTCGTAGAGAGTGATAGCGGCTCTATACGGTGGTTTGCAGCTCACTGATAATTCTGCTGAAGATTAAGAGTAGCTTTGTGAGACTGTGATCCATGAGAGGATATTATTTGAAATATAAGTGCAAAATTTATGTTTTTTGCATCTTGTATAATCAGTTCTTATAGATGTGTATAACTAAATCTTGTCATAAAATATATATCTTTTTTAAAAAATAGCTGTATGTTTATCATACTTAAAAATAAAAACACCGAAGTTAAAACATTTTTCTTGTGTGTTGTTTTTGTTTGCCCAGGAAATGACAGACGACCCTCTCTTCTCCCCCACACTTTCTTGACAGAACCTTGCTGGAGTTGGAGCACACTAATGTATAAGACAAAAAGGTCCTAAATCACTTCTCTGGATACACAATTGGCATTTATATAAGAGAGGACCCCTGGTATTTTGAAGAGGTCTACATGTAGACACCCCTATCATAGTTCCCTTTAGGGGCCCTAAATATTAATGGGAAATAAAGTCTCTTACTTTCCGAGTTAAGAATTAAACATCTCCTCTGCATGATGCCAGAAGTTCAGGCAAACTGCCCGAGTTGGGAGTACAGGGGTTGTCTGCATGTTGATCTACTCTTACTGTGCAAACTTTTTTTAATGGTTCGCATTTCGTAACCAGATTAAACATATAGCCCGCCACTAGCCTGGTCATATTCGTGTAAGGCCTTCGAGGAAAATCGGGAGATCATTTCACTTCTTTCTGAACCACTGGCTCATTTTTGAAGATAAGAGATCCAATGTAAAGGGGTTTAACATTCTATTGTTCTGCATAGACCAGTCAGCTATGAGGGCAATTTTGCCTGGACAGCAACACTCAATGAACATAGGTATCATTTAATCTTGTGTATCTAGCACTAATTTCTTTCACATTTGTTTAAAATCCAATCTTTGTTTAAAAATTTGTATAAACTGTTTAAAATCACCATAAATCGTTTAATTTGTACTTCTGTCCAGTTTAAAGCTGACCATTCAATTTTGATAATGGGTGTCTAATTTCCAAGTGTTTAATTTCTCAATTACTGTTAAAAAAATAAACAACCCAATTGATTAATGATGTATAATGATTAATTTTTGAACAGTGGTCAGGAAATTAAATACTTGTAAATTAGACACTCATTATCAAAATTAATCAGCTTTAAACTGGACACAAGTACAAATTAGATGATTTTTGGTGATTTTAAACAGTTTTTACAAATTTTTAAACAAAGATTTGATATTCAACGAATGTGAAAGAAATTAGTGCTAGATACACAAGATTAAATGATACCTGGGTTACAGTGACTACAGCCAACTCTTATATTGAATTCCAACTGTCAAGGGTTCTTTTACATGTGTACATGAGTCCTTGGTTTTTTGTCCCATCCGAACAACTATACATTGTCCATTGCCAGGACTGTGTCCTGCATCGCTGTCAAGGGGGAAACATGCCAGAAAATCACGATGAACTTTCTCATTCAACGCCAGGTTCGAAAAGCCCGAGCCAATATGGCTACCGATCAAATTCAAACAATGGATGGTGTTATTAGGGCTAAAATAACGAAACTGGGGAACTTGAATCAAATTCTGGATTTGAAGAAGACTGATCTGCAGTACACAAGACCTTAGTTTTTCAAACCATCTGAATGACTATGATTGGACACATGGATTGAATCCTGAGCCACTGTAGCTCTGAACTCTGCAATGTTACAAAAACAGTCATACACTAAAAAAAAATATTTATTAAAATTTAAAAATGCCCAAATGATCGGATCCAAATAATATTTGACATAAAATATTAAACATCAAAATCAACAGTTTGTTCAAGATATAAAAATCAGCAGTTTGTTCAAGATATAAAAGCTATCAGCAAAACAAGAAACTCTAGATGTTGAGCGATTTTGGCTGTCAACCACTCTGGTTACATTTAGAGAAATTGACACATATGTCGCTTAAAGATACTTCCCCACAAAAGTATTTATCGGGTGGTTATTTCCAATAAAAGTATAGCAATTTTGGTATATATGGAAAGTAGAAACATCAAATCTTATTGAAAAAAACTGGATTCCCTGAAAAACCTGCATGGAGCGCATAACCGACAACCCCACGATTTGGGATGCCTGTCTGAGTGACGTCAAAGGTTGCACGCAAAGATTGTCCAATCTCTCAGCGCTAATTATTTTTAGTCCAAATATATCATCAAATTACACAGTTTATACGCCGGAAAGTATCTTTAACTCCACTTAATTATATATTTAATATATACTATTTCAGTAAAAGAACAGTTAATATATAATTAGAGATGCATTATGTAAGATTTAGATAAAGACCAGTTGGTTTTTACTATAGTGTAAAAACATAGATTATGAAAATGAATATATTGACAATTTCAGTCAAATTACTTCTGAGCAAAGTTATGAGTGTTTGAGGTTTTAACATGAAATGGTCTCCATAGAAGGCCAATTAACAGTTCATATTCTCGATTGTCAAGTACCATTGCCACTGTAATAAACAACACCTCTATTTACAATCCTTCTATCAAAAGTCCCTGTGAGTTGTGGCAGCCATATTATGGTTTAGCATAAATATGATGGGGCACTGTCGCATCCACTCAATATCTAAGCCATCATATAGCCTAGGGTGTTAATTATTGGCTTGTCATGTGAATAATAATTTATGTAACATTTGAAGCCAGAAAAAAAGACCTGCAATAGGCAGATTTATCTCTTACATTATGCATCTTTTAATAATTCTATATGTGATTAAACAGTTCAATAAAATACTCAAAAGAATATTAAGAAATTAATGTAGCGGTGTGCATATAGCTACATTTACATAATAGCATTCTATATCTATTCACTGTTTTATTTTCCTTATAATCTCCATTTTTTTTAGTAAATTTCCTGAAGAATGGGCCCCCGAAAAACAATTTTAAACTTTGTGGAGCCATGGTTCCTCAGTGCGTAATATGTTGGCTCATTATCCTGGGCGACCTTCGTTTGCACGGATTTTTGTACAAATCAGTGCTGGACAAAAGACAAGACTTAGCCTGAATATGTTGCTTATTTTCCAGATTGCCCCAGAAATGAAATGAAACGTCCTACTGTTCTGCTCCAACTGGGCTATGGCCTACTCTTATTTTGAATTCCATCTGTCAAGGGTTCTTTTACATGCCAATGTGTACACAGGACCTTGCTTTTTTGTCCCATACGATTGACTATACACTGTCCCTTGCCAAGCCCGCTGTTCTACACCACTAACAAGAGGGAACCCGATGAACTTTCTCGGCCCACGCAGGGATCGAACAAGGGACCCACAGGCTAGTGAGCCAAAGTCCTACACACTGAACCACCATGGCTCCTCAGCTTGCCCCAGTCTAATACACTACATTAAAATACACTACCACTTCTAGCATTTACAAGAAATGTGAAAATATAGACTTTCACACAGCCAGGGGTGACGACTTTATATATACAAGAATTGATTGCCTGGGAAATAGAAATACAATCACAGTCTACATACTTATACCACAAGAATTATGAAAAGAATAACATTACTGTTATATAAAAACATAGATAAAAATTTATAATTGTATAAAACTTGCTATTGAGGTATACCACAAAGTTAAAAATATGAAAATAAATTAAATACCAACATGATGCATATGTTTTGTAAGATTTAGATAAAGAGCTGGGCCCGGTTTCACAAAACATTCTCAGATTTAAGTTAAGAATTTACTCAAAATTTAACTAAAAAATAACCCTTTATAAAACTTTTGTTGTTTTAATGTATCAATAAGAAACTATGCGCAAAGTTTTGAGTTTTTGAATCAAAGATAGGCTATTTCTCATAAACAGTGACTGAAAGTTGAATAAGTTCTTAACTCAAGTCTTGAGAATGGTTTATGAAATCGGGCACTGGCTGTTTTGGCTATAATAGTTCAAAAACAGATAATGAAAAATTAATATAGTGAAAATTACTTAATTCTTAGCGAAGTTATGACTGTTTGATGAATAGTGTAGTCTTGATTTTCATTACTACTATTGTTACGATAATAAACAAAATCTTGATTATCCATTTTTAAATTAAATTATTAAATGAAGATCTTATGTCAGTCCATTAAAAATCACAAGGTCTTGATTATGGTCTTGTCATGTGAATGTATGTATAAATAATAATTTAAATAATATTTGAATCCAAAAGAAATACCTGCAATAAGCAGATTTAGCTCTTTAACTATTAAACAAATATAATTTATTTTTACCATAACAAAGACAAAACAACAATGGATAGCAGAATATTCCAAGACTGAGTTATTACAAAATTATATGGGAAAATCAGAATGTACTTATAATATTAATAATAATATTAGTCTATTTGTATTGCGCTGTATCATAAGGCCTGTCATTAAGTCAACTGGCGTGGTTTCAAATCCCCAGTTGTACATGACAAGGAGTAGGGTCGCCTGTCCAACCTCCTGGGTTTTCTCCGGGGTCCTCCGGTTTCCTCCCACTGCTAAAGACCCCTACGCGCAAGCAAATTATTGAAATAAAATTAAAACCATATGTTAGTCCCGAAATGGCCAAGTTTCTGTCAAGTGGATCTCTCTCTCTCTCTCTCTCTCTCTCTCTATATATATATATATATATATATATATATATATATATTGCGCAAAGCACAGTCCAAAATCGATCACAACTGCCATTAAGTGAATGTTTTCTTTAACAAAAAAGTTTTAAGTCTGGATCTAACCACAACAATATTTGGAGAGTTTTTTTTATTTCCACTGAGTAGGAAAAGGTCCTTTGACCAAAATGGACTGTTTTTACTTGAAGTATAAATCTAATTTAAATCTGCTGATTTTCATAAACATGTGTATGGCATTTTGAATCCCCTACAAACAATAACAATATTAGAAAAAATTCTGGAATAGAGCACACTTATTAAAATTTGGCTTTCCCTGTCTTGGGTTAAAGAAATTACTGGTAGCCTTATATAGCTACATTTACATAATAGCATTCTATATCTATTCACTGTTTTATTTTCCTTATAATCTCCATTTTTTTTAGTAAATTTCCTGAAGAATGGGCCCCCGAAAAACAATTTTAAACTTTGTGGAGCCATGGTTCCTCAGTGCGTAATATGTTGGCTCATTATCCTGGGCGACCTTCGTTTGCACGGATTTTCGTACAAATCAGTGCTGGACAAAAGACAAGACTTAGCCTGAATATGTTGCTTATTTTCCAGATTGCCCCAGAAATGAAATGAAACGTCCTACTGTTCTGCTCCAACTGGGCTATGGCCTACTCTTATTTTGAATTCCATCTGTCAAGGGTTCTTTTACATGCCAATGTGTACACAGGACCTTGCTTTTTTGTCCCATACGATTGACTATACACTGTCCCTTGCCAAGCCCGCTGTTCTACACCACTAACAAGAGGGAACCCGATGAACTTTCTCGGCCCACGCAGGGATCGAACAAGGGACCCACAGGCTAGTGAGCCAAAGTCCTACACACTGAACCACCATGGCTCCTCAGCTTGCCCCAGTCTAATACACTACATTAAAATACACTACCACTTCTAGCATTTACAAGAAATGTGAAAATATAGACTTTCACACAGCCAGGGGTGACGACTTTATATATACAAGAATTGATTGCCTGGGAAATAGAAATACAATCACAGTCTACATACTTATACCACAAGAATTATGAAAAGAATAACATTACTGTTATATAAAAACATAGATAAAAATTTATAATTGTATAAAACTTGCTATTGAGGTATACCACAAAGTTAAAAATATGAAAATAAATTAAATACCAACATGATGCATATGTTTTGTAAGATTTAGATAAAGAGCTGGGCCCGGTTTCACAAAACATTCTCAGATTTAAGTTAAGAATTTACTCAAAATTTAACTAAAAAATAACCCTTTATAAAACTTTTGTTGTTTTAATGTATCAATAAGAAACTATGCGCAAAGTTTTGAGTTTTTGAATCAAAGATAGGCTATTTCTCATAAACAGTGACTGAAAGTTGAATAAGTTCTTAACTCAAGTCTTGAGAATGGTTTATGAAATCGGGCACTGGCTGTTTTGGCTATAATAGTTCAAAAACAGATAATGAAAAATTAATATAGTGAAAATTACTTAATTCTTAGCGAAGTTATGACTGTTTGATGAATAGTGTAGTCTTGATTTTCATTACTACTATTGTTACGATAATAAACAAAATCTTGATTATCCATTTTTAAATTAAATTATTAAATGAAGATCTTATGTCAGTCCATTAAAAATCACAAGGTCTTGATTATGGTCTTGTCATGTGAATGTATGTATAAATAATAATTTAAATAATATTTGAATCCAAAAGAAATACCTGCAATAAGCAGATTTAGCTCTTTAACTATTAAACAAATATAATTTATTTTTACCATAACAAAGACAAAACAACAATGGATAGCAGAATATTCCAAGACTGAGTTATTACAAAATTATATGGGAAAATCAGAATGTACTTATAATATTAATAATAATATTAGTCTATTTGTATTGCGCTGTATCATAAGGCCTGTCATTAAGTCAACTGGCGTGGTTTCAAATCCCCAGTTGTACATGACAAGGAGTAGGGTCGCCTGTCCAACCTCCTGGGTTTTCTCCGGGGTCCTCCGGTTTCCTCCCACTGCTAAAGACCCCTACGCGCAAGCAAATTATTGAAATAAAATTAAAACCATATGTTAGTCCCGAAATGACCAAGTTTCTGTCAAGTGGATCTCTCTCTCTCTCTCTCTCTCTATATATATATATATATATATATATATATATATATTGCGCAAAGCACAGTCCAAAATCGATCACAACTGCCATTAAGTGAATGTTTTCTTTAACAAAAAAGTTTTAAGTCTGGATCTAACCACAACAATATTTGGAGAGTTTTTTTTATTTCCACTGAGTAGGAAAAGGTCCTTTGACCAAAATGGACTGTTTTTACTTGAAGTATAAATCTAATTTAAATCTGCTGATTTTCATAAACATGTGTATGGCATTTTGAATCCCCTACAAACAATAACAATATTAGAAAAAATTCTGGAATAGAGCACACTTATTAAAATTTGGCTTTCCCTGTCTTGGGTTAAAGAAATTACCGGTAGCCTAATATAAGAACCAATTTTTTTAAGACAATTTTGATTTAAGGGTGCTTATATCCCCTACCTCCCCAACCCTCATTGTCTACGGGTCTGATCAAAGGACTTCATATCATTTATAAAATGATATAAGCCAGTATCAACACAATAACAGCTAATATAACATAGAAGATCAAGGACGATTTCTGTTCCACTTTTACTGGTCGAGTCTTTAACGGATAAAATGTCCTCTCCCAGGCTGTATAGATGGCTTCCTTTGCTTCCGGCCATTTTCCTGGACCAAACAATCTGTATTGGTATGGTGTAGTAGGCCCAAAGAAACATGTTAACGCCAGTTTAGGATCACTCTTGAATAACTTTTCTGAAGATTATAAAAAAAAAACATAGGTTACCAAAGCAATGAAATATATATATATATGCCTTAAGCAACTTAGTTGTCATTTTAATGTTTTGAACATATATTTGAACGGTGTTTAAAATCGAGCAACAGTTGTGACCATCAAACAGTCTAGAAACTGCAATGCGATTTTCTGTATAATCAGGGGGTAATAATAATCCAGGAAGTTACCATCCAAGATCTTTGGGATACAAACATATTTTTAAGTTTCATCAAAACTGAATGAAAATTGTGATTTCTAGATAGAACACAAGCTAGAAAAGTGATTTTTCATACAAACAAGTGCAACACACCAGAAAGTTTTGAACATACATTTGAACGGTATTTAGAATCAGGCAACAGTTGTGACCATCAAATGGTCTAGAACTGTGATGCGATTTTTCGTACAATCAGGGGTAATAATCCAGAAAGTTACCATCCAAGATCTTTGGGATATAAACATATTTTAAGTTTCATCAAAACTGAATGAAAGTTCTGATTTCTAAATAGAACACAAGCTAGAAAAGTGATTTTTCATACAATCAAGTGCAACAGACCAGAAAGTCAAGGTACGATACATACATATGCCAAAATCTATTCCCAAAGATCGTTGGGATATTAACATATATTTTACATTTTGTTAAAATTGGATAAAAAATGTGACCCATAGAGTGAGAGAGAAATGGGGTTTAACGTCCACTCGACACAAACTAGGTCATTTCGGGACTAACATATGGTTTAATTTTTTTTTCCCAATAATTCACTTGCGCGTAGGGGTCTTTAGCAGTGGGAGGAAACCGGAGGACCTGGAGAAAACCCACGAGGTTGGACAGACCCATAGAGTGTTCACAAACAAATCTAAACAGACGTACAGGGACGATGGCATAATACGTCCACATGAAAATGTGGACATATAAAAATTGACCATATGACCCCTTATTTTTCATGTTGGGTTGGTGACATGAGGTGTAAGAAAAGTATGAGCGTGTATATGTCGGTTTGCGGAAAAAATTTGGAGTATTCAGCTGTGAACTTAAAAGATACTTTCCCACAAAAGTATTTATCAGGTGGTTATTTCCAATAAAAGTATGTCAATTTTGTTATATATGGAAAGTGGAGACACCCAATCTTTCTAGAAAAATACCGGATTCCTTGAAAAACACCCATGATGCACACACAAGTCAAATATGAGAGGGTGTCGCTAATTGGCAGCCTGACAAATAAGGGCTGTCTTCTCGAGTGACGCGAAGATTGTCTGATCTCTCAGCATTAGGGAGCGCTTGATGTATATGTTGATAAATTTGATGGTGAGCGGATCAGGAAATTGTGAGAGATTTAACTGTACAACAGTTTCTGAGATAAAAAAACACGCAAAAAGACATGGGCAGTGGATATTCCGAGAATTTAATTAGGCTTCAATATTTATGATAAATGGACAGCGATAAGACAACATCGTCTTTTATATGCAATGAATTCCCCTCCGACTTTGCACCCGTTGCTAGATCCCACGACAGCCAAGTCATGTGACATAAACATGAATTCTTTTAATACATTTTTTATAGCTTGAGGTAGGTATTTCCTCGCGAATACAATGTTTTGAGAAGGATTTGAAGCAAAATTTTGATAGATAAATTACGCTGAATATGTTAAAATCCTGCACTCAACCTCCTCTAAATCTTCTATGGTAACAAGGTCTGCCATTGGGTCAAGTGGTGTGGTTTCGATTCCCCGCATGTACGTGACACGGAGTAGGGTCGTCTGTCTATCACTGTGGGTTTTGTCCAGGTCCTCCGGTTTTCTCCCACCGCTAAAGACCCCTACGCATAAGCAAATTATTCAAATAATATTGAACCATTTAGTCCCGAAATGACCTAGTTCGTGTTGATTCACTCAATACAAACTAGGTCATTTTGGGACTAACTTGAGTGGAAGTTAAACCCCATTTCTGTCATGAGTTTTCTCTGGGTCCGCCTGTTTCCTCCCACTGCTAAAGACGCCTACGTGCAAGCGAATGAATGGAATAAAACTGAATCATGCTTTAGTCCCACAATGACCTTGTTTATGTCGAGTGGACGTTAAACCCATTTCTCTCCCCCTTTCTTTCTATTTGGTAATAAAGAACAGGTTAAAATATTCTTACTGAAATCAATTCTGCATCCATTTAAATCGGCTAGTTCATCCATAAAGGCGCAATAATCAACTTGAATAGTGTGCCGTGGTGATTGGAAGTATCTTTGCATCATACGAATTTCTTTACCTCTAACATCCTTCCACATATCTTCTTTAGAGGGTAGCTGTACATCACCCTGATAAACAAACAAAGAACAAAAATTAGGATTTCCTTTTAAGCATGACAGGAAAGAAATCCAATCAGTTGATCGAGAAAACACCAAATTTAAAGTAAATCATAAAAGTAGGCCTTCGAATTTTCACAGTGAAAGACTTTCAAAATTTAACAGCATTTTTTAAATTTATTTCCTATATCGCGATATTAATCGTATCGTAGACTATGAATCATGACGCGCATCGTATCGTGGCCTGGCGTATCGTTGCAGCCCTAGTTGGGACATAGAGAATTACATCATAATGCAGTGGTACTTATATTAAAGTACAAGATGTATAGTATATATAGTCAGAACTTCATTCAAAGTAGTATACACAATTACACAGCGTCCTTACCTTTTGTGAATGATATAAAAAAATATATGGAAATTATTAGCAGTGATTTTCTGCTGTAAGGCGCTTGAACCGAGATTCTGGTTGATCGAGTTTGATCAAGTGCATTACTTTTTTGTCCCATTCAGCAACACACGTGCGAATGAGACGCCTGAAAAGGGATTTTTCTTACCTTGAAGACCCTTGTAGCAAGACGACATTGTAGTTCTGATATTGGCATGATGGCACCAAGAGGTTGTATACAGCCAATAATAGCTATAGTCTGTTTCTTTAAATCTGGTGGAAACATATACTTAAACAACTGTACTCTGTTGTTTTTCACATCAACCACAGACCTCTCCAGAAATGGAAAACCAAATTTATAACCAGTTGCCAACATGACAATGTCTATGTCATCTTCTTTCGTACCATCAATGAATTCTGCACCATGTTTGGTGAATCTTTTGATGTCAGTTTTAACTTTCACAGATCCACAGATGATTCTGTTTGGTAAATCATCGTTTACAGTTGGGTGCTGGGCGAACGGTGGGTGTTCTGGTTTTAGAGAATAAGTAGCGTGATCAAATCGTTTGTTTAATATTCCAGCTGTGATGCCATTTATTATCGACAATGGCAACATTTTCACAATTAATGCAGTTAAGCGGTTTGTTTTACTCATATCAATTGGAAGGCCATTATCAGATATTCTATTAATTACCCAGCATCCTCGTCTTGTACTGAGGAAAACCTGCAACATAAAAAAAATTCATACACTTGGATAGGGTGCCCCACCATAAATAAATATCTCCAAATATCTCGACAATTACACCTCAATATTTATATATACTGAGCGCCATGGAAAACGCATCACTTAGTTTTTCGTATAACAAAATGATCCTGTAAACATATCTTATTTATTTTGCTTCTTATTGTGAACAATATTCAAATGGGAACGCATCAATAACAACACATTTGTACACTTATGGATGTTTAATCTGTCACGGGCTCTTACGCACGCTGTGCAGCGACCTCGCATGGAATAAACCAATGTTTGAAAGAAGGCCTGGGGCAAATTATTCCATTCTTGGACAAGAGCAGCTTCTAAAGCAGCAATGGTGTGCATCTGTGGTCTCCGATACAGACGGTGTTCAATCTCATCCCAGACATGTTCTATCGGTGCCATGTCCGGAGACATGGCTGGCCAGTCCAAGACATTGATGTTGTTAGCAGCCAGGTCGTCCATACTAAAACGGGTGGTATGCGGATGTGCATTATCCTGTTAGAAGTGTTGAAGTTGTGGGTGCGCTCGAAACATCGGAACAACAATTGGTTGCAAGAAATCATCACGATAGGCTACAGCATTAACGCGACCCCTGCAAATGTGTAGGGCGGTCCGGTGATGAAATGTGAAGCCTCCCCACACCAATACACTTCCCCCACCCCATCGATTTGTTTCGAAGATGCAGCAGTTTGCAAGACGTTCCCCAAGACGTCTCCACACACGTTGACGGCCATCAGCGTGATAAAGATGAAAGCGACTCTCATCACTGAAGAGCACACTTTGCCAGTCTACTCTTCTCCATGTCTGGTGTCCTTGAGCCCATATCAAACGCCGCTGACGGTGATGATCCCTGAGGATAGCTCCAACATAAGGTCGTCGTGCACGGAGTCCTACTTCTCTTAGACGACATCTTATGGTGTTGGCACTTACTGGTCCTTGTCTTCCGACGACTGCTGCACCTGTTCGATTCGCTGGGCGGAATCTGTCACGCAGATGAGTGACCCGGATGTAGCAGTCTTGAGTCTGGGTTGTAACGTGTTGTGGACCAGGACGTTGACGGTCACGTGTTGATCCAGTAACTCGAACACGTTCCACCAACCTTACAATAGTGGACTGATGACAATTGAAGTGTCTGGCAATAGCACGTGTAGACATGCCAGCCTGGGACATTCCCATGGCTTCATTCCGTTGATTTTCAGTAAGTCTCGGCATCTCTAGCTCGATTCCTTCACGCGTCCAACAACAAATTACGACAGATTGATGTTTCACAGTTCATGTACTGCACATTAAGTTGAAAACATGCTTTTAAAGGGCTCACACACAATGCTGCACGTGAATATTGGGTTTTTCATGTGCATCTCGTGCAAATTTTTTTTTGTGCACACGGGCCGATATTTTTTGCATTTGGGAGCATTGTGTGAAACAATAGTTCATAGTATTGCATAATATTATACATACAAAACCACCTAGTAATAAAATATTTGGGAAAAAAAGTGATGCGTTTTCCATGGCGATGTTGCACTTAATAAACTATGACCATTTAACCATCCATAAATAATAGACTGAAAAATGGTTACGAGTGTCGGTCATAACATCCAGGAACTTTAGAGTAAAAAAATAGGTGTCGAGTCAACTTTCTGTTGTGAAAATTTTCTCTGCACAGGGCACCCTAAATTGGATTAAAGGAAAAAAATAAATAAAATAAAGCTTAATGTCCTATTTTTCTGCACCAACTGGGATAATATGTGCTATGGGTGAAACATTTTCCTGGGCAGTGGCATTCTTGACTGTGCACCTCGATTACTTATCCCATGCAAATGACATGGGGTAACGGCAGCGAAAATCCTTTAGGAAGATTCTAAGCCAACCCAGGAGGGATCAAACCCGAGATCTCCTGACTAATGAGCCAGCATCTTACTCACTGAACCTCTGTGGCTCCACTAATTTGTGTTTATCAGTTTGAAAATTGTCAGAGTGAGATATCTTTGTTATAAGCAATAAAATGGAAAATAACGTTAATTATCGTAGCAATGATGCTTGAGATTTAAGACTACGCTTTTTCTTGTCAAATCTTCAAACATTCATAATTTGACTGAAATTTTCAAAAAGTTCATTTCTCATAATCTAATCTATTATAGCAAGAAAAGGAAGCTCTTAATCTAAATTTTATATAATGCATCTTTAATTAAATGCTACATAATTAAGGGGGTGGATGGCAGAATGGTTAGCGGGTGTGCATTGTATTATAAGGTCTGTCATTGAGTCAACTGGCGTAGTTGCCTGTCCAACCCCAGGGGTTTTCTCCTTTGGTCCAGTTTCCTCACAATGCTAAGGATCCTTGCGCGCAACCGATTTTATTGAAATAAAATTGAACCATTCCCGAAATGACCTAGTTTGTGTGGAGTGGACCTTAAAACCCATGTCTCTGTCTCTCTCTAAATAATTAAGTGGAGTACATATTTTTATGTGATGAAGCTGTCTAAATCAAATATTGTCCAAAACATGCTAGAGTGAGATCGACAATTTTAATGAACATAATCTTAAAGATACATTATGGGAGATTCGATAATGAGTTGGCAGTTCTCACTATAATAGTTAAAAACTAGATAACGTAAAGGCAATTTGCTGAAAATTTCATTCAAATTGATCCACTATGAACCGAAAACTAAGCGAATGAAATTTCTGCCTAGCCTCGGTCATCATTACTAAAGTCAGTACGATAAACAGCATAGTCTCGAATATCTATTTAATCGTTTAATCGAGAAGGAAAGTTATGCAGTAAATCGGCTCACAATCCACTTAAGATCACAGGCTAGCGATGCCATCTAGAGTTCATTATGGTCTTGATAAGTTAATTAATGTCTAATTAATAATTTAGATAACATTTCAGGCCTAAAGAAAGACCTGCAATAGACAGATTTAGCTCTTGCATAATGCATGTTTAATTAGGCCTACCTGAGAAGCAATACGACTCAGTTCTACAGCAGCATCACCTCCAGAATTACCAATGCCTACTACCATAACTCTTTTATCTTCATAACCATGAAAGTTTCGATAATCATGTGAATGTAAAACTTTACCTTCAAATTCATCCAAACCAGAAAATTTGGGTTCATTTTTGACAGCATGGTGTCCCGTACAAACCAAAACACCATCAAAAACTAAGTTTTGTGTTTCTCCTGTATTTAAGTCTTTCACCTGTATATCCCATCTACCTGTTTCATCAAAGTCGGCAGATCTTTTTACACTGACTACTTCTGTTTCAAATCGTATATATTTGCATAAATTGAACTCATTTGCATATTGTTTGAAGTATTCCCAAACCTGTGTGTTATGCATAAAGATCGGGTATTCTTTAGGTATAGGGTAGTCACTATAACACATCATTTCCTTACTGGTGTTGATAACAGTACTTCTCATAACGCATGACTGACCATCTCTGACTTCCTTGGTGTAACGCCACAAACCACCAATATTGTCCGTTCTTTCAAAACATACCGGTTCTAACTTTTCGTCTAAACAGCATTTAATAGCCGTTAGTCCACTGGCACCTGAGCCAATCACGGCTATTTTCTTCACCATTTTAACCTATAAAATACAATTATGGATAATCATTTAGAAGGAGGACTGCACAATAAAACACAGATATAACAAATGATACAATGGCATGGAATTTAATGTCTATTAACACTTTAGGTCATTTTAGGACTAATATATGACAAGTGTACTATTTAAGTGTGACAGGATGGTCCTGTTCGGAATCAAACCCACAACCCTAGGCATAGAATCCACACACGTACCTCTACCGGTGAAGTCACGTACCGTAGGAAATGAAATTAAATGGGGTTCAACATCCTGCTGTTCTGTTGTGACTGGGATAATGAAATTGGGCATACACCATATATAGTGTGCTATGAGGGAAATTTTGACTGGAGAGAGAGAGAGAGATGGGGTTTAACGTCCACTCCACACAAACTAGGTCATTTCGGGACTAACATATGGTTTAATTTTATTTCAATAATTCGCTTGCGCGTAGGGGAATTTTGACTGGACAGCGGGAGCCACGGTTACGACGGTGGCTCGCTAGCCTGGAGGTCAGGTGTTCGATCCCTGCATATTGGCCGAGAAAGTTCATCAGGATTTTCCGACCTGGTTTCCCCTTGTCAGTGGTGCAGAATGGAGGGCCTGACAAGGACAGCTATCTAGTCATTTGGATGATACGAAAAACTGAGGTCCCGTGTATATATTGGAATGCACGTAAAAGATCCCCTGGCAGTTGGAATTCGATATATTAAGAGTACCGGTAGGCGATAGTGCCGCTGCCCGGCCAAAATTTCCCTCATAGCACACTGTATGGCGTATGCCCGTCTTCATTAGCCCAGTATTGGAGCAGAACAGTAGGACGTTAAACCCCATTTCATTTCTGCTCTCATATCCAATTCCAACTGCCAAGGGGTATTTTATTTATGTGCGTGCCAATGTATATGGAACCTCAATTGAATTTTTTGTGCCATCTGAATGACAATACATTGTCCCTTGCCAGGTCCTCGTTAACAGCAATAAATCAAAATTCTACCACTTCCCTGCATCCAATGAATGGCTGCTATGTAATGCAGGTTAATAAATAGGTCTACTAATTAGCCATGCCCATATGCAACAACCCCTCGTTAAATACATGTTGGCTTCATGGATTCAATGTACCTTTCAGTTTCACATCGTCCTTACAGTTACAGGACTTTATACTTTATAACGTCGAAAGTTCAGCAAGTTATTCAGTTGATAATATACTATTCAAAAAAAGTAGGGGATATTTGATTTTTAAGTGTTATTAAAGTCACCTAATGAAACTGACGAAGAAACAAATGACAAAATGAAATGAAGTTCACATTCATCGATTTATTCCAAATGATCGTTAGACTAAGTAAGGCACAGACTGACCATTATAAGGGTAAAATGATACCCGGGGTCAAACAGCAAAGTTACCACAGCATCACAACCAAGTCAGTAACGGGTAAATCCTCCTCTGTTTGCCAAACAAGCATTGATCCGACGTGGCATACTCCTAATGAGACGTCTAAGGTCATTTTGGTCCAGATTGTCCCATTCCTGTTGCAATGCAGCAGCAAGTTCTTGGACATTGGCAGGACGTTGTTGACGTTGACGTAACCTCTGTCCAAGCATGTCCCAGACATGCTCGATGGGGGAGAGGTCGGGACTCAGTGCTGGCCAAGGTAATGTGGTGATGTTCTGTTGTTGGAGGTAACCTGTAACGATCCTGGCCCTGTGACATCTTGCGTTGTCATCCTGGAAGATGAAACGGCGGCCATGACGTCGTGCGAACGGCACAACATGGACTGCCAAGATGTTGTCCGGGTAGTACTGGCCTGTAACACGCCCTGCAACAACATGTAAAGCCGTTCTTCCAGCAACAGTGATGCCTCCCCACACCATAACAGAACCACCCCCAAATCGATCATGTCTGATGACGTTAACGTCTTGGAAGCGCTCGTTTCGACGACGCCACACCCTCCTACGTCTGTCCAAAAAATCAACAGTGAACCTTGACTTATCTGAAAACATCACATTGGGTAAGCCGATGCATATCAAAATTTGTTTTCTGGTCACTAAAACAATTAAACTGATGTTTCCACCCTGGAATTCAATGCCACAATGACTGTAACATTCAAAGTCAGAGTCGTGCAAATCTTGGGTTGGACCCCCATGATGATCCCAAGCATCACCTGCATTCCATGCGGTAGCTATTGGTGCGTTTGGGCGTCACATGTAACTGGAAATGTTTCTTCTGTTAGGTTCTACAGTGACTTTTTTCGTAGTCATTTGCATATTTTAGTATTATGCCCCCAAAATCAAATATCCCCTACTTTTTTTGAATAGTATAGAAATAGAACCAACTATCCTAGTAATCCTACCTATTTGGCCGCAATTTATTTCAAATGAACTTTTGTTGACACATGGACGGACCTTGTTCTAAAGTCTATATAAAAAAAAATAGGGTCCAAGGTTTACTTCACTAATAATATAACATAACAGTAATGCCAATACGATAAAAAGGCAAACAGTTCATGCAAAACTGTTCTGGAGCGATTTGTACTGACACTGGTTCTTGAATTCGTGTCAAAAAGAATGTCTTCCATTAATCCAACCTATTTTAATTGTAAACAATACAGGGGAGACAAATCCAGTTTAATTTCGGAATCAGACCACAGTTTCTTCTGGCAATGCAAATTTTATGCCCTTCTGCACCCTTAAACTACCCAAATCTACCATTATTTCAATAATGTATATCTAATTTTTATAATTATATAACGTTATTTGTGTCAAATTGCCCCTCCCTAAAAATGCGATAACCAAGGGACAAATCTCCAAAATCCACAAATCCAACCAAAATCCACTATTATTTCAACTCATATTACAAATACAATAATTTATATCGATTTTTGATCATTTATCGTTTATTTTGGCAAATTGACCTTTAAATGCGATTTATATGGACATTTGGAAGCCACAACAAAGGGACACAGCACGTGTTAAACACAAATCCACCATTATTTAAAGTAGTTTAAAGTCCGTAACTCAATATCATCCAATCTTCGACATTGAAAACACGAATTTTTTGGCAATTTAAATCAGCATTGGTGTTGTGATCTTACCTGCAAAAGATGGGCTTCTGATATCCAATATTTAAGACAAAATAAACATTTTACCATAGGTACACGAATCGTGTACCATAATGCGTTTCAGCGCCATTTGTAACAAGGTGCTCAAAGAATGAGGCTAGACATATTCCACAAGTCATGTCAAACGGTGATATCATATTCTTATTTGGAGAGCATGCGCAATAAATAATATCGGTGTTGACTGGAATAACCAGACGCTAGAAACTGACTTGCGGTTGAGACTTCTGGCGTATTTCGCCGAACATAACTGATGACAATTCACAGTAAAACGGACACGATTGAATGTAAAACAGTTTATATAAATTCATATTACACTATTATATGTGTTGCGACTCATTTGTGCCAATTTTTAGATCCAAAATATTAGCGACTTTATATGGATTTACTATTTCCGAGTAAAGGAAACGCAACGTTTCAGGACTCTTACAAGCATCTTTATCAAACAATGATCAATAATGCTGTTGTTGTTTATTACAAATATAACGCTCAATATGATATGGACAGTTTGATTTAATAAAGTTAGTTACATATTATGAATCAACAAATTAAGAACAAATTAAAACAGGGGGTCCAGCTGACTAATGTTTGTTATCATCCGTATGGATGGATATCAAAAAAGAATCCACTTGCTCTATGTGGAAAAGCATATTAAAAACTGTTCGTGCGATTATTTCCATATAGTTAAACATTTCAAGTCCTTTAAAACAGTTCACCATTTCAACGTTTCAAATCAAGTCTGAGTTTTCCTTGTTGTGGATGTCTCTTCCTAGATAAGAGTTACCCGAAAAGGGAAAGTAGAGCCAACAGTAACACAGAACAGAACATTTTCAACATTCATAAGAATAATGCATGGCATAAACATTTAAACGCAAATTATACAGATTTATATGCACTCTTAATATCTTAATATTAAGAAATAGTTGTGTAGATCCCCGTGTTTGTCTTTATGTTTCCCTAATGTATTATTTTATTAAATCATTCAGCAGATTGAACTGCCATGCGATAGTTCCTTCCCGTGTAACTAGATATGTAGTTGCCTACATTAATGTTAATTCATTCTGATATTACTAAAGCATCCAAGTGGCTTAGCCGCCAACCTGACTAGTTATATAATGCTCTATTGTGCGCTTCATAAAGTTTTGGCATCTTCCATCAAATTTCCTTTCTCTTATTGCATGCAGTGCTCTGGCCAATTCATTCTGATTTCATTTTAGTATCCCTGTAAGTCCTACGGATCAAGATTAATAATGTTGCCCCAGACGGCGACCGACAACCTCTACCTCGGTGCCTATTTGGTGTAGACAATTGCCAATGGGGTGCTAATCCTCTCAAAAAACAACCTCTATTTATATCTTGTATTTTAAATATACAATGGTCCATACGGAGTTCAATAAGTTTTAGTATTTTTATTCACTTGTTGAAAATCTTCGAATTTGACCAGTCTGATTGTGATAGCAGAATGGCCATAAGATAAGATAAGATTTTTATTGTTTAGAAACATCCATTGAGGACAGCATACAATATAAACATATGTACATGTCATAAATAATAACTATATTTGGTGCAGGTGCATTTTCAAAAATGAAACAAAAGTAAGATCTGACATGATGATGAATTATTGATGAAAAAGTTGATTGTTTGGAGATTTCATCAGACGATCACACCACGACAGTACGTAGTACTAGTACCGTTGTATGAAGAAAATGAATAATTTTATTGCTTCGAAATAGCAATTTAACCATTATTGTCAGACCATTATTGATCCGCGGTATCGATATGATTATTAGTAGTGTCACCTGCCTAATCACGTGTGTTTTCTCCGGGTCCCCTAGTTTTCTCCCACCACTGAAGATCTTTGCACAGACGCACAAACGAGTTATAGAAATTTAAATGCACCACGTGTTTGTCCTGAAATAAAATGACTTGTTAAACTCTCTCTCTCTCTCTCTCTCTCTCTCTCCATTTATGATATAAATCGTTGTCAACATCTTCTTTGATTGGCATTTAGTAATTGAACATATTAACACAGGGTACAATTTTATGGAGACACAATTACTGAGTTTAATACTAAGCGACGTTTCGACGAAGATACTTTCGTCTTTATCAAACAGATGATACAGGTATGTGAATATTAGGCAAATATATACAGAATATGCAACAAAATAACAATCAAATACAATTAAAACTTAACACGTTTGATTAGGGGCCATTTACAACTAATCAAAAGTGTAGGTTACCGTAATCTGCCGAGGTTTGCCGAGTGAACCACACAATCTCTTTGAGAACCTGTATGGCGCTGGATCACTAACCTCATTCCTAATTTATGTACCGGTGTTCACCGAAAACGTTCCACCACTGTCGTAGTTTGATTCGGGGTGGGGGGTGGGGGGGGGGGGTTGCAGTGACACAGTGAGTAAGACACTCTCTCTTAGCCGGTTTGATCCAGGTGTTGTCTTATAAAGTTCATCAGGTATGGTTAGGCTAATAATCCTATATATTTGTATGTATAAGGGGGGTGGGGGGTGGATGGCCGAATGGTTAGCATGTTGTATTATTAGGTCTGTCATTGAGTCAACTGGCGTGGTTTTGATTACCCTGTTGTACGTGGCAAGGATCAGGGTCGCCTGTCCAACCTCTGTGTTTTCCCCGTGTCCCCCCACTGCTAAAGATCGCTACGCGCAAGCGAATTACTGAAATAAAATTGAACCATATGTTAGTCCCGAAATGGCTTGGTTTGTGTCGAGTGGACGTTAAACTCCATTTCTCTCTCTCTCCCTAAATGTATAAGCCGCCATTCTGTGCCTCCACAAACTAATTCGTCCATCTGTGACATGAGCAGAAACCTGCTTCCATCCAACTAATTGATGCTCGTTTTGTTATTGAACCCCATACCAGACGTATCCCTGATATGGGCATCTTTCAGTAAGTGACCGCTGATTATACCTTTAGGCACAAGTCTTGCTGACTGCAGGTGGTTTCTCAAAATTCTAGCAGACATATGGCGATTGGGAAACAATTGAGACTTGAGACTGGAACTCGTTGCATTTGGCACCCTACTAGACAAATCAGTGCCTTGTATTCGCGTTGTATTTAGCTCAGTATATATATACTTAATTCGAGGGAGGTGGGGGTGGGGGTGGGAGTCATTCTGCATGTGGCAGGTGTTTGGTGTTGGAGTTTCACAATCACTTAGTTGTATGGAAGATCATTCTTATTATAATCATTTTAATATGAAAATTGAAAAAAATTAAAACATAATTTGGTTCCTTTTGACGGGTGGTGCTTAGCGTTTCTCCCGGTGTATATATATAAATGTGAATATATAATATACTAATTATCATTAATTAAATCGTCCATTCAAATTATTTTCTGGCATACACAAAATTGCTGACAGTTAGCACCCCTACCTCCTCCCTATCTGGTATGTCTAAGTATGAAATTATTTAAAGTGGCATTGTGGCATTTATTAGCGCCACATGAATACTGCAACGGTTCGGGCTGCAATAGGAAGATCGGTCCAAAAATGGTCCAATTCCGTTCTGTATGTACAAAGTTATGTTGAATTTACATTTCATCGATCTATGCTGCGCACTATCTAATGAGCCCGCCGCCATTTTGTTGTGGGTGAACATAATTGATAGACCTAATTTAAACCAAATTGAATCCTAGCGTCGGTATTTTGATTTTATTTTATAATTAAACATACATTATATATGCAAGAGCTAAATCTGCCTATTGCAGGTCTTTCTTTGGGCCTGAAATGTTATCTAAATTATTAGTTAGACATTAATTAACTTATCCAGACCATAATCAACCCTCGATGCCATTGCTAACCTGCGATATCTACTGGATTTGAATTTGATCTCCTGCTCACCGCTCATTGGTGGTTAAATCCAAAAATGAGTAACCGCGGGTATGTTTTTTTATCGTGCCGACTTTAGTAATGATGATCCAGACTATAGGCCTAAAAATCAAAAGCTAATATCTCGGTTCAGAGTGGATCAATTTGACTGACATTTTCAGCAAATTCCCTTTACATTATCTAGTTTTTAACTATTAGTGAGAGCTGCCAGGCCTTTATCTAATCTCCCATAATTCCCCTTTAATTGTTAAATAATCAATCTGAGTACATATTAATGGGGATTAAGAAGTGAGAAATTTGATATTTTTAGTTACAAATCTAACGTCCACTCGACACAAACTTGGTAATTTCGGGACTAACATATGGTTCAATTTTTATTTCAACAATTCGCTTACGCGTAGGGGTCTTTAGCAGTGGGTGGAAACCGGAGGACCCGGAGAAAACCCACGAGGTTGAACAGGCGACCCTACTCTTTGTCACGCACAAATCTATATTTTGTTTCGTTTTTTTATACTTTCGATGGCCTACATTGCATGAAAATCTGACCGGTTGTAGTGGAAGGTCGCGTCAGGGGTTGTACGAGCTGCTTTTGTCCCTATGACGTCAGATATAGATTAATCAATCAGCATTGACGTTTATAGTGGCTTACCCACAGTACTTGCGTAACAGACCGTTTCATTAGCTAATCCCTCACTTGTCGTGAAGACAAGTAAAACGAAATTTTGAACTATAAAAAAACGAAACGAAATAGGATCTGTGTTTTAATCAGACTGCGAACAACCGGGGAATCTAAACATTTTTCTTGGTAAGACCTCGTCCTTTGCCACTGACAAGGCAAAACCATGCTGGCAAATCCCCGAAGAAGTTCTCGGCCACAACCGCGTTCGAAAACGGGACCTCATATCCACCGTAGCTCACCCAAATTGTATAAAGCTCAATGGATCAAATAGTATGATTTGTTTCACAAATTTAACTCTTAGAAAGTTTAAATGAGTAATTTATAAAAATATATATGCCAGTATCAACACAGCAACAGCTAACATAACATAGAACATCAGAGAAAATTTGTTTTCGGCTTTTACTGGTCGCGTCTTTAACGGATAAAATGTCCTCTCCCAGGCTGTATTAATGGCTTCCTTTGCTTTCGGCCATTTTCCTGGACCAAACAATCTGTATTGATATGGTGTAACAGGTCCGAGGTAACATGTTAATGCCAGTTTAGGATCACTTTTCAGTAACCTTTCTGCCAATTATGAAAAATAAAAAAATAATTTATTAATTTGGAGATACTAGTGGGACTTTATGTAGGATGTCGTAAAATGAAATATAGAACTTGCAAAAGGAAATATCTCGATCGATCAACTTAATATCTGGTATCTCGATCGATCAACATAACATCGCAATCGATTATCTTAATACCTCGATCGATCGACTTTATATCTTGATCGATCTACCTTCTATAACGCCTGGTCTCCCCCCACCGACCCCATTGAGCTCTGGATAGTGCGAGAGTGCGCGGTGACTGTACGAGAGATCCGGCTAAACGTTACCCCGCCTTCCAACACATTCGCTGCCTTCGAGAAAACCAGCGAAGAAATGAAAAGAATCCCTGTCATAAAGTGTAAAATGTTCTTACTGAAATCAATTCTGCATCCATTTAAATCGGCTAGTTCATCCATAAAGGCGCAATAATCAACTTGAATGGTGTGCCGTGTTGATTGGACGTATCTTTGTATCATACGAATTTCTTTATCTCTAACATCCTTCCACATATCTTCTTTAGAGGGTAGCTGTACATCACCCTGATAAACAAACAGACAAACAACAGTAAGGAAAAAAATATTCCTCCTTATTTTCTTCGCACAAACTCATGTCACTTTATTGTCATCAAGCATGTATGAATAATTTTGCCGTTCAATAGAAAATTACAGAAAATCTTTCTTACTAATACATACGGAACGGTGTGCAGGTAAACGAACCATTGACAGTTGGAAAAGAAATACTATCGGCTCGCAATCCCCCACCCCCACCCAGGGAACACTCTTGTACGTGAAATGCCCGTCTTCATGGTAGGTGGGATTCATAGGACATTAAACCCCATTTCATTCATTCATTCGTATGAGCAAAGCCAACCAGCCCCTCTGTCACTTTCCATATCAATGTAAATGTTACCTTGAAGACCCTTGTAGCAAGACGGCATTGTAGTTCTGATATTGGCATGATGGCACCAAGAGGTTGTATACAGCCAATAATAGCTATAGTCTGTTTCTTTAAATCTGGTGGAAACATATACTTAAACAACTCTACTCGGTTATCTTTCACATCAACCACAGACTTCTCCAGAAATGGAAAACCAAATTTATAGCCAGTCGCAGTTATAATGGCATCTATGTTATCCTCCTTCGTACCATCGATAAATTCCACGCCATTTTTGGTCAGCCGTTTGATGTCAGTTTTAACTTTCACAGATCCACAGATGATTCTGTTGGGTAAATCGTCGTTTACAGTTGGGTGCTGGGCGAATGGTGGGTGTTCTGGTTTTATGGAATAAGCAGCATGATCAAATCGTTTGTTCAATATTCCAGTTATTAATCCATTTATTATCGATAAAGGCAATTTTTGAAGCATTAAAACTGCTAATCGGTTGAATAGGTTCATATCACCAGGAAGGCCATTATCAGATACTCTATTCATAATCCAACTTCCTCGTCTGGTACTGAGAAAAACCTGCAACATAATGAAATTCAAACTATTTAATTAACGATGCTAAACCAATAAGGTAGTCAAGTGCCGTTGTTTTAAAAATTAAATCATTTGATTTTTTCAAATAAATCCATTTTTAGCAGATATTATGAACAACTTGTTCATTTTTATGATTCTGATTCTTCTTATCACAGACCGGTATATGTCAATTTTAGTGTTCTGGTCTAAAAACTATGCAAAAATACTATTTTTGGCAGATTTTGTGAAATGTCAATCTGATTAAAACACAGATCCTATTTCGTTTCGTTTTTTACAGTTCAAAATTTCGTTTTACTTGTCTTCACTACACTAGGATCGACAAGAGATGTCATATAACCCACGTTCTGGTTGATGTAAGACATTAGCTTACTCTGGTTGATGTAAGAGTTCTTGGGTGCGATGTACGGAACTATGGGTATCCTACTAGAAACATCAACGCTGATTTGTTAATCAAATGCCTGACGTCATAGGGTCAAAAGCCGCCCGAATGATTCATGACGCGACCTCCCACTACAACTTGTCAGAGGCCAACGAAAGTAAATAAAAAACGAAACGAAACATAGATCTGTATTTTAATCAGATTGGTTACGGTACATCAGTACAGACAGGCTGACGACCATTTTTGTGTTCAATTAACGAGCCAATGGAGAAATGTGAATTGTTGAAATGAAACGTACCATGTGTTTATACCGACATGAACTAGTTAGTAATACCCCTATGTATTCGATGCGGTGATGAAAGGAGTCATTTGTCAACGGATTGCATAAATTGATTTAAACCCAAACACAGTGTGGACTGTTGTGTTTCTTCTATTGGAACTCAGGCACCTAATGTACGATTACAATATCATTTCGACATCAAGCAAACTTCGGTTAGTTTTCGGCTTGAACTGTCGGAGGTGTACACAAAATCTATATTTCAATTTAATAGCCTAAGATATTGTTCAGATGTCTACTGTGCAAAATAAATCAATGCGCCAAATTTAAAATCTACACTTGAATTACACGAGGGGTAACGCGGTATAACTGCTATCATTGAGTACCCTATACACTACTTATTTTTATAACTCCTATTACTGAGTTACTTTACACTACTTATATTAAAACGATAATTACCCGACAAGCAAGGCGAGGTAACTCCTATTTCGGGTACCCCAACTCTTATTCAAGGGTACCTTATACAATACTTAGGTTTAAAATATAATTACCTGAGAAGCAATACGACTCAGTTCTACAGTAGCATCTCCTCCAGAATTACCAATCCCAACCACCACAACTCTTTTATCTTCATAACCATGGAAGTCTCGATAATCATGCGAATGAACAATTTTACCTTCAAATTCATCCATACCAGTAAAAACGGGTTCATTTTTGACGGCATGGTGTCCCGTACAAACCAAAACACCATCAAAAACTAAGTCTTGTGTTTCTCCTGTATTTAAGTCTTTCACCTGTATATCCCATCTACCTGTTTCATCAAAGTCAGCAGATCTTTTTACACTGACTACCTCTGTTTCAAATCGTATGCATTTGCGTAAATTGAATTCATTCGCATATTGTTTGAAATATTCCCAAACTTGTGTGTTATGCATATAGATCGGGTATTCTTTGGGTATAGGGTAGTCACTATAACACATCATTTCCTTACTGGTGTTGATAACAGTACTTCTCATAACGCATGACTGACCATCTCTGACTTCCTCAGTATAACGCCACAAACCACCAATATTGTCCGTTCTTTCAAAACATACCGGTTCTAACTTTTCGTCTAAACAGCATTTAATAGCGGCTAATCCACTGGCACCTGAACCAATCACGGCTATTTTCTTCGCCATTTTAATTTACAAGATCTATAAAATACAATTATGGGTAATCATTTAGAAGGAGGACTACACAATTAAACACAGGGTTCTAATGTCTCTTACCACAAAGTCACATCGTGTGTAAGAGAGAGAGAGAGAGGGAGAGAGAGAGAGAGAGAGAGAGAGCTTAAGCCACGATGGAGTTCTTGGGGCATGCCAAATTTTTAAACTCTAATAATACCGATTTTTAAAATATTGTAACCATATGCTAGGGTTTGGGTATTTTCATTGACACACACAGTATAGCGCCTTAGATACAAATAAGGTTCAATTCAGCTTTCCTCAAATTTATTCAGGTAAAATTCTAAATTTACTGACTTACTTAGGAAAATAAAGGTAAATTAACGGTTAGAATCCTTACATACGAGGGCATGCTGTAAAGGTCTAAACCGGAAAAGGATTGTTCAGTTGGGGTTGAATCAAACTTTTGTCACCGACAAGTACAATCATTGAATGGATCATAGACATATGAATTGCCACTAGTGTTATTATTGTCTTCGTACCAGATCATCTTATGAACCTAAGAAAGAAAATTTGAATTTTCTTTGCTCGTGTTCGACGGGCTTTATAGAGACAGCATCTAAACAATTGAATGTAGGGCTACTATATATATGGCAGACATCTACGGGATAGAGTACGCAACCATCGACGGGATTGTAATTTTAAAAATGGGCCCTTATTTGTAAATAGACATACCTTTATGTGCAGAATTTAGCATCTAAATCAATATACCTGATTAAAGTGTCACTGTCCTGGTCGAAAGTCTTGATCGATTTCGCAAGTCGCATAAGAAAACGACACGTGATCTGTAGCTTATGGAAGCCTATTGCGGCCATTTCATAATCTCGACTTCTCGTCTTCACATGTTCTCGCCCCGGAAGTGCAATGTATGCGCATGTCCACTGACTATCGTATCGAAATTTGGACATGGGCCCAATTAGTCGGAAATGTTTGGAGTTCTAGAAAGTATAATAGTCCAAACGTCTTTAATCTTATCTTTGCGAATAGTATCGTATTCTGTTCAGTCGAATCCTTCTTTTCATCCTGATGAAGGGATCTCTCGCCCGTAATCCAACATCCGGATTCGAAATGAAATGCGAGCTACGGTGGCTCAGTGAAAAGGACGTTTGCTCACTAATTTCATCAAAGTCGAGATTATGAAATGGCCGCAATAGGCTTCCATAGTAGATAATATGTAACCTGTCGGTTGGACATTGGATTCACCACAGATAAAGCAATGTTTACTTATGTTATCTCTTGACAGAGAGAAAACCTTTATAGTGCATGGCGATAAGGGGCTTTGATAGGGAGCAAAACCTGTATATAGTATATAGGTCTAGTATGTCATGACTTAAATAACTGTCGCATAGACCCCCTTATTAATGAAGTGAGATCGGGGCTATCCTATGGGCTAACAAAGATAGGGACATACATAATATAGTGTACGAGGCAGGGGGCTATCCGGACGGACAGGTAAAGTGAAAACAAAGATTATTATTTCATCTAGTTCACTTTATGGCAGTTGTGATCGTTTTTGGACTGTGCTTTGAGCATGCTCATGCATGGATATTGCGCAATATAAATGGACTATATTATAATTAATCCCGAATCAGATTGATTTTCTAATAAACAGTCCAAGGGAACCAAATTCATTACATCTCTGGGATCAGACCACATTCGTTTCGATGGAAATTCATTAATTTTATTTTTTATTCATTTTAGTTCAATTGTCGGGGACCGTGACGAAAGCAATTTATATAATAGATAGTGCCAACAAATATTCAGTAAACTGCCAATGACCGGAAGGCTGTAGAAATGTTATCTTAATTATTAATTAGACATTAATTAACTTATCCAGACCATAATCAACTCTCGATGTCATCGCTAGCCTGTAATATTTACTGGATTAGGATCCGATTTGCTGCTCTACGCTCATTCATGATTAAATCAAGAAATAGATCTTGAGACTATGGATTTTATCGTACCAACTTTAGTAATGATGATCGAGGTTAGGCTCAAAAGTCAATCGCTAAATTCCCGGTTCAGAGTGGATCAATTTGACTGAAATTTTCAGCAAATTGTCTTTACATTAAGGAGTTTTTAACTATTATAGTCAGAACTGCCTGCTCTTTATCTAATCCTCCATAATGTATCTTTAAGAGAATATAGTCGCGAGCCAGGAATCATAAAGCTATTTCGTTTGTTGCTCCACGCAAGTTTTATTCAAGATTCAAACGTTTTTCTTTAGGCTAAAAGTACAGATGAAAGTAATCTCAACATTTGACATTCTATTTCAATCCAGTCTAAAAATGTGTTGTGACTATATTTTAGGACGTTGTATAGCACAAAGTCCATAGCAGCGTACTAATGGTGCCCTTTCCTTGAATCTTTGGGCAGCCTAGTAAATCTACCAAAATATCTATTATAGCCCATGCCTATTACGAAACTAAAACCAAACAAAATAAAACCAAGCGAAATGAGTCGAAACGAAAAATAATTGAAGAAAAGCCAAACGAAATTGAAACGAAACGGGGGGTGGGGGTGGGGGGCTTGCACCAAAACTAATAGAGGTCGTCCTTAGGGTATAAGGAATAAGTATGAACAGTTTTCAAGACGATCCATTAAGAATTGCAGCAAAGAGAAAATGAGCGTGACTCTACCCCTGTTAGTTGGGCATGCACCTTAGGATATTAGGAATAGGTATGCAAAGTTTCAAGATGATACGTTAGGAAATGCGTCCTGTAAATGACAAACAAGTACAAAAAATGGGCGTGACTCTTCCTTAGGGTACAAGGAATAAAGTATACAAAGTTTCAAGATAATCCATTAAGAACTGCGCTCTGTATCCGACCAACAGACACACTCACAAACCCATCCACACACCCATACATACACACACTCAAACAGGGGCGACGACATAATACGTCCACATTATGAATCTGGACGTCATGTTAACTGTGAACGACTTTTTTTTAGGGTTGCTGAATAAAATGTCTTCCTAACCTGCACCCAGGCCTTTAACATCGTTGGCAAAAGTGTGTACACCTCTAAGGGGACTATGTAGAAAAATAAATGGAAACCTTTGATTGTGTACAGGTCTTTCACATACAGGCTTAGAACTTTTCAGCCAACCTTCGTAAAACTAGCGTTAGATTTACGCAAGAAAACTAATGTTAGATTAACATTATATAACTAACGGTAAATAACCGGTTATAATCTTGACATAAAACTAACGTTAAATTTATGCAAGAAAGGGACTGTTAGATTTGCGGTAGAGTAATAACACGACCAATTTCGATGACGAAAAGAGATAAATAATTGCATTGGACAGGACTTTAGGACCCACAAACTCTGTAGATACATGTAAATATATTGAATGCCCCCCCCCCTCCACCCCAATATGCGATGGATAAACTTGTAAGAAACTCAAATATGTATTGAACCGGTACAATTTCACAAACATTCACCGGTACAATTTATTCAGTAATGATTGCACAAAGACCAAACGTATAGATATTCTTATAGAAAGAGCACCTAAGCAATTGAATGTACTATATGGCATACATTTACGGGATAGAGTACGCAACCATTGTAATATTGAAAATGGGCCCTTATTTGTAAACAGACATATCTTTATGCGCAAAATTTAGCATCTAAATCATTATACCTGATTAAAGTGTCACTGTTCTGGTCGGAAGTCTTGCTCTATTTCACAAGTCACGTAAGAAACCGACACGTGACCTGTGACGGCGTTAAGGAGCATAAAAGGTCTGACTGTTCATTTTATTCGTGCAAACCAGTGGGGTGTAACGATAAAAATAGAAGATGTTACAACCCTCCACTATCACAATATGCACCAGGAACACGCGTTCGCGGCCGTCAAATTTTCTTTTTAGCGGGCGGGGGCGGGGAGGGAGTCCTACACGGTAAGCTCCGTGTTCCTTCGCCTCTTGCAGATAACCGGCAGTCCAGCACCGCCGTCTGTAACCCGAAATTTAAGGTCCCCCCCCCGTCTAACATCCTTCGAGCCCGTACGCCTATGCCATATATTGTGATATGAGAACATTTTACCCGGACAGCGGGGTTTCCGCTTATTCTTCATCGAATTGAGACGGTCCCATTCCAGTGACTAGAGGCTTTCCAGACTAGAATTCTAACCCCAGTCCCGCACCATATATCTAAAGTGTGCTATCTCATTCTACAGAACTGTAGGTGCATCAGGAAGTATCTTAATGCTCATTCTATCAGGATACTGGGCCCGAATCCTAGAAAATTCTTAAGCACGTTCTTGTGCTTAGATTTTAAGTAGACTTTGCATTTAAGTAAACTTACCTTATTTTGTGTTCCCAGAAAATTCTTAAGAACGTTCTTGTGCTTTGATTTTAAGTAGACTTCATTGTAAGCACAAGAACGTTATTATGCGTTCCAAGACAAAACTTCGTTCTTAAACATAGTCAATCTAAGCACAAGTCCCAAGCAAGGTATACGGCTTGTTTACCAACCTTAAGTCTGTTTCTGCTTCAAAAAGATGGCTGACCGTAGAGTTATTCGACGGCTTTTTCGACACCTTATGATACCAAAGAGACAATTACAAGACTGCTAAAAAATTAAGAATGCTATAGAAAATTTCGCTTCTACCCTGAAACCATTTTATTTATTTGCCAATTAGTAAACAATAGGCTACAAACACACAGGCTACTTTAAGATCAGACGCTCTCACAATTATTCAGTTAGTTTGTATGAGTCTGCGGTTTTTATCTTGTGTCACATTTTAAATGTGTATAGGCGACATGTCAAATGCATCTAAATCAACCATATATATATGACGTCAATGAAGTAGACGACAAATTTATGACGTAATTCGCATACCAAACTTGTTTTTATGACCTTAAAGAGCATCGTAGTCTCAGTTTATGGTAAACTTTACCAGTCACAATGTGCTTTTCTAGTGACGGTATTTTTATAAGTTTCTTACGTAAGAAAAAGTTAAGCATGACTTTGTGCTTACTTTAAGAATTTTCTAGGAACCGGGCCCTTATTTCCTAATTGATTCTTTCCAGAATAGATAACTGTAATAGTTTACTGGCTGGTTTGTTTCGCGACCACAAAAGATCTAGAACACAGCAGCTAGGATAATATTTCTTGCTACTCGTTACAGTTACATAACACCAATTCTCAAAGAACTCCATTTTCCTCTTTTTAGCTACAGAATCAAATTTAAAATTCTGTGTTGTACACATTCGATGTTTAAATGGTACTGTCCGAAATACTTAAGTGATCTCTTACAATCCTACACTTCTGCAATGCCTTAAAGATCTGTAGATAAGAAAGTCCATGTAGTGCCTAAGCATAAAACAGTCCGTTTTGGTCAATGGATTTTTTCCTACCCAGGACCAACAGAGTGGATTGACCTGTCACTGCGGCACTGGAAATAAAAACCTCTCCAGATATTGTTGAGGTTAGATCCAGGCTTAAAACCTTTATGTTAAAGAAAACTTTCACTTTATGGCAGTTACTGTGCTTTGAGCTTGTTCATGCATCGATATTGCCTATTGCCCAATATATAAGTAGACTATATTATAATTAATCCCGAATCAGATTGATGTTCTAATAAACAGTCCAAGGGAGGCAAATTCATTACATCTCTGATCAGACCACATTCTTTTCGATAGAAATTCATTAATTTTATTTTTTGCACTAAGAATAAGTACAAATATTTTTTTCCCATTGGTAGTCTCATCAAGCTTTTGTTTTGCATTTTAGTTCAACTTTAGTTCAAGTGTCGGGGACCGTGTCGCAATCAATTTATATTGTGCCAACAAATATTCAGTAAACAGCCAATGACCGGAAGGCTGTAGACATTATACGCGACAAAGTGGTTGAAATGAAATTGTGTTTAATGTTCTACCTGTCGGCACCAACCGGGCTAATGAAGACGTCATGCAGTGTGCCATGACCGGCGACTTTTCCGTCTACGCTTCGCTCACGTGTACCGCCAATGTATACATGGTTCATCGGATTTTAACACGACTAGAGAATGATCCTTGTCAGGAACCCTCCTGGCCAACGCTCGGGACGAAATCGGGACTGCGCCATTGTGGCCCCCAGCAAGACAAAATAGAAGACAGTTTTGATAGGATATTTCTTTAATTCATCAATCAATAAACGTATACTAATATCAGTTATATTAATTATTAGTGTACAATCCATTACTGTAATCCTATTAACCCCTGTGGGTGCACGTTGTGAAAATCACATAGCAGGTATCATGGGGTCCATATGGACCCCAGTTATAATTCAAAGTTTTTACGTACATATATATTTGAATTAAAACGGAGCGGTTTGGTTTTTATTTGCATTCATATTTGTCAAATGAAAAATAACTAATTTAATAATTCTCACAAAATTGTCACTTTGTCTACTATGTGAAATAGGTGATATATGGACGGGGCAGTGCAAAGGCCAAATGGTCTGTTTCATCTTGGTTTTGTTTCACATCCAATACTTCGACCTTACTAAATAAACTAAATACTCATTTGTATAAAGCGGCCATTTTGGTATGAGTTCTGGCTTGTTCTGGAATTTGTTGCTTCTAGTGGTGATAATATCTGGCCAGCTATTGTCTTAATTGTGATTTAATAAGACAATGGCCAACTGTTTTCTCAATTGTTATTGGGTAACCAAATGGCCAACTATTTTCTCAATTTTTATTGGGTAACAAAATGGCCAACTATTTTCTCAATTGTGATTTGATTACAAAATGGCGAATTGTTTTCTCAATTGTTATTGGGTAACAAAATGGAAAACTATTTTCGTAATTGCTATTGGTGTCTGATCTTAGTGCTATGCTATTACTGGTTCTTACAGAGTCCCCGCCTGTGACCTGTTATACATGTACCTTATACATAACTATCATTCCATTTGTTTTCTCCGACATTCATTATTTTATATTTGTTATGTTATAATAGTAGATCTGTTAAACTAACAGATTGGACAACAAAATGGCGACCATGACCAGAACATCTTTTGGCTCTGGTTTAAGTGATTCAAAAATTAGAAAAAGAAATAAGCCAGTAACAATACGATAACAGCTAACATAAAATAAAGCATCATGTAGGATTTTTCTTCCATTTTTACTGGTCGTGTCCTTAACGGATAAAATGTCCTCTCCCAGGCCGTATAGACGGCTTCTTTTGCTTTCGGCCATTTTCCTGGACCAAACAATCTGTATTGGTATGGTGTAGTAGGCCCAAAGAAACACGTTAACGCCAGTTTAGGATCACTCCTAAATAACCTAACTGTAAATTATAAAAAACAAATAATAATAATAATAATAATATGTTCATTTATAAAGCGCTATATGCACAAAACGTGCTCATAATAATGTCATTAATTTGAAAAAAAAGAAAACCCAAACAAACCCCAAAACAAATGGACCCATGAGTCATGCCAGTTGAAATTCGATGACGAGTAAATCGTAGCTCCGTTCACTGTATGGCGTATACTCGTCTTCATTAGCCTGGTTGGTAGCCCTGGAACTAGCCCTAATGCTTAGCCTAACCCTAACCTACAACCTCGCCAACAATCACCTTCCCTAACATTATTTACATCTCAGCGGCCTTGACGAAGATTTAGCCCTGGTTGGTACAGATAAGAGGGGAGTTAAACCCGATTCCATTTCAGTGAAGAATGTGACTCACTAATTTGCAGGTCCCACGTTTGACCATGGTATTGAGCTGGAAAGTTAAACGGGGATTTTCCAGCATGGCTTCCAACCAGTCAGTGGTCCAGGACAGAGAGCCTGGCAGGGAAAAGCGTCTGATGGAACGAAGAACTCATCTCCATCCGAGGATTGCAAGTATAAGAAAGAGAGATAGAGAAATGGGGTTTAACGTCCACTCGACACAAACTAGGTCATGTCGGGACTATCATATGCTTCAAATGTTTATTTCTATAATTCGCTTGTGCATAGGGGTCTTTAGTAGTTGGAGGAAACCTGATCACACGTAAAAAAAACCCCACGAGGTTGGACAGGTCCTAGTCAAATTCAAGAGGTAAATCGAAACTATGCCACTTGACTCAATGACAGACTTCATGGTTTCATGCGCACCTACCCGCATGTATAAAAATCACCGACGGTTAGTATTGGATGCTTAGTATTCGGAAACACCACTGTCTGGACAAATGTCCCTCCTAACATAATACATGTAGTAAATGTATCTTAGTCTCAAAATCACACAAATTTTGTGTTGACGAGACGTTAAACTCCATCGTTTAATTAAATGCATCGGTGTTGTTTTTTTTGTAGAGGATAATCATAATGTTGGGTCGCATCAACCGACACACACCAGCATGTGACACACAATGGTTTGGGGGCTAACAGGGTGACTGGTGCCCAATGTGTTTTCGCTGTTACTGACAATCTTCACACGCCAAGCTAAAGACTATGCGCTTTTTGTCCGTCTTCCTACTGATTACTTCGCATATGACACACAATGATTTAGGAGTTAACTCGGTGTCTAGTGCCCCCTCCCCACCACAAACTCCACTACCTGACCACGCTATGGATGAAATACATGTAACAAAGTAACTTACAGAAATCGATTTTACATCCATTTAATTCAGCTAGTTCATCCATAAAGGGGCAGTAATCAACTTGAATGGTGTGACGTGATGATTGGACGTATCGTTTCCTCAAGCGAGCTTCTTTATCTCTAATATCCTTCCACATATCTTCATTCGATGGTAGCTGTAAATCACCCTAATAAATAAAACAGAGATTCGATTGGCACACGTTCGGTACAATTTAAAGATGCCTTTCCAAGTATAAATTATGCGATCTGTAGATACATTTGCCCTAAGTCATCTGTGGAACAATCAATTTCAGGTAAAAACGATCAGAGTCACATCGAACCAAGGCCTTTCTGAAATGGCCTCCGGACAAATACAAGTCCATCGTACCCTTTATTTGACCTTAATTTGGCTGAAAAGTGGAAGTCAGTTGATGTACTGGTAATTATGATTCGTATTAAACATTATTTTGGAGTTATAGTTAAACCCACTCGTTGTTCTGTTCGCGTCAAGCATTCTCGTCTAAAAGTCTGTTTTGCCTTTTATGCGAAAAGACAAACCTGGACTCTTCATATTCAAACTAATATTTCTATCAAAAGTTGTTGAACGTTAAAGTTTCCGGGATTTTCCAGGGTGATTTCCCCTAGTAGGTGGTGCAAAACAGTGACAACGAACAGTGTCTAGTCGTTTGTATGGAACTAAAAACCGAGATTCAGTGTACACGTTGGGGTGTGCATAAAAAAACCTCGACACTTGGAGTAGGCGGAAAACGCCCCCACAATGCACTGAATGGTGTATGCCCGCTGCCGAACACTAGGACATTACATCCCAGTCAGTTCATGAAAGCATTGATATGATTTGGAAAGTCTTTTGACATATATTTGATTTTAGGGTATGTCTGATGCTTTAAGACTGTAGTGTAATATTACTCTTACCTTAAAGACCCTAGTAGCAATACGACATTGTAGTTCTGATACCGGCATAAGGGCGCCAACTGGTTGGAAACAGCCTATAAAAGCTATAGTGTGTTTCTTTAAATCTGGTGGAAACATATACTTAAACAACTGTACTCTGTTGTCTTTAACATCAATCACAGACTTGTCCACGAACGGAAAACCAAATTTATAGCCAGTCGCAGTTATAATGGCATCTATGTTATCCTCCTTCGTACCGTCGATAAATTCCACACTATTTTTGGTCAGTCGCTTGATGTCAGTTTTGACTTTCACAGATCCACAGATGATTCTGTTGGGTAATTCGTCGTTAACTGTCGGGTGCTGGGAGAGAGGTTGGTGGTCAGGTTTCATGGAATAAGCAGCATGATCAAATCTACTGTTCAATACTTTTTTCAAAAATCCATTTAAAAGTGATGTCGGTACTATCCGTTGCATTAATGCGGCAACGCGGTTGAATTTAATCATATCAACAGGAAGGCCATTATCAGATACTCTGTTCAGAACCCAGCTTCCTCTTCTGGTGCTAAGAAAAACCTGAAACACAAATGTTAACGGGTTCTTAGGGCGTCCACACCGACGCACTATCTTCGAACAGCAGCATTTAAATTAACAGAGTAGATTATGAACAAAATTAAATAACGTTACACTTTAAATAAAGGCAACACGTGCTGGGGAAGTTGTGGGATGTTGGACGGGACAGTGATCTAAATGCCATTTTCACAAGCCGTTGTTACGGGCACCATGATGGCGCCAAATTAGCGAAATTTATTCATCATGGCGTTATAAGTGTTCATATCTTCCATGTTGTTTTCGTGAACATATGAATTTTGGTGTTTCTGTTACATTTATGGCAAGCCAACATGACAATGATCTCAATTTAACACCCGAATTTATGCCACCATATAAGGCCACTTAAAGAAAAGCAACAAATGCTGAGTCACTAGCTGAGGATAAGGTATTTTAAGAAGTAAATAATTTTGGGCAATGAAGGAGATTTGCAATCTATTGGGGTTATAATTGGATCGCGTATTCAACGAATAGTGTTATGTGATAATACTTTCACAATCTGCATCGATCCATTTGACCCAGATTACACAAACACCGAATCATCTGACACAGCTGTGCATTTCCAAAATCTGTGACTAGCCTTGAGAGCCTTGGCAAGCATATTGCTATGTATTTATTCTATTTACAGTCAACCCAAAGATGACAGTCTCAAGCAAAAACGTTACCAATGCCGTGATTGGAATAAATTTCATAATTTAGTTACCTGAGAAGCTACACGGCTCAGTTCTACAGCAGCATCACCACCAGAATTACCAATTCCAACAACAATAACTCTTTTACCTTCATAACCAGCATAATGCCGATAGTCATGTGAATGGACAATTTTACCTTCAAATTCGTCCATACCAGAAAAAACGGGTTCATTTTTGTCAGCATGGTGCCCAGTACAAACCAAAACGCCATCAAAAACTAAATCCTCTGTCTTGCCTGTTTTTAAGTCTTTCACCTGTATATCCCATCGGCCTGTTTCATCGAAGTCATCAGATCTTTTTACACTAAGTACCTCTGTCTCGAATCGAATATATTGGCATAATTTGAAGTCAGTCGCATATTGATTGAAGTATTCCCAAACCTGTGTGTTATGCATAAAGATCGGATATTCTTTAGGTATAGGGTAGTCACTATAACACATCATTTCCTTACTGGTGTTGATGCAAGTGCTTTTCATAACGCATGACTGACCATCTCGGACTTCGTCGCTATAACGCCACAAGCCACCAATATAGTCCGTTCTTTCAAAACATACCGGTTCTAACTGTTCGTCTAAACAGCATTTAATAGCCGTCAGTCCACTGGCACCTGAGCCAATCACGGCTATTTTCTTTGCCATTTTAGCTTACAAGATCTATAAAATACCATTTAAATTAATGGGCTAATGGTTCGTCAGTGCGATTGGGGTATTGATTTATCAACTTAATAGGTCATTGGGATACAAACATTACTAGGGTCACGTGTGTAATGGAACAGAACTGTGGATTGGAGGCTGTGTCTGGGTATACTCGGTTTCTTCATTAACAGGGCTTCTGCATGCTCGTACAGTCTAATCGTCTACTCCCGCTGTCCGTGGGAGCCTTGTTGGCTCAATGTGCATGACTATTCCACTAACAAGGCGGTCCAGGATAGTTCGTCGGACGGGGGTGGGGGGGGGTGGGGGATGTCTGGCAAATCACAAATGCGTCTAGTCATTCGGACGAGACGGATACCGAATTGGCCTCATACACCAGATGTGCGACCGCCGAACGTCCCTCGGTGAGTAACACGCCCCCTTAGTTACTGGTACAGGACAGGGTACCTGGATAAGGCGACGATCCCATGGTCCGTATGTATACACTATGGGCGTGGTTATATCTATTTGATAAGGCCAACTTCAAGTTTGGTCAAAGGTCACGAGATGTAAACAGGGCTAGCTCGAATTCCAACCTAACCCTAACCCTGGACCTAGCCCTAATGCTTACTCTAACCCTAATGTGCCCAAATGTTATTTACATCTCAGCGACCATGACAAAAATTGAGCTGGCCTTAACAAATAGATTTAGCCGTATAGACGTGCTTGTAAAAAAAACCTTGACATTTCCCTTATAGCACACTGTATAGTTTATCTCCGTCTGCATTTGCCCGGGTAGTTTATCAAAGTAGAGCGCGAAGCTAACTAAACCCCATTTCATTCCATTTGCATACAGCAGGCTCGTGTTCCTAATGACTAAATTATACAACGTCTAGTGACAAAACAATTCGAGTCTAGCAGTATGGACTGTATACCTTCCACATAAGACAATCTGAATATACCGATGATGCCTACCTGGCAGATGAGAGTGAAAAAAAAGATGTCTCCTGTTTAATAGTGAATTAGCTCCACTTGTCGACAGACTTGATCTGCAAGATTTGGACACATTTACACACTTTTTAAGAATTCACCTTCACCTTTATCAAGTTGATCAGGTGATCCGCCGAAATGTACACTATCTATTGGTTGCAGATAAAACTTGTTTACTATGAATAGTTTGTCATATAAAAAAACCAAAGAAAAAGACATTCATTTCATGGCTTAGGTAAGTACAGTGTAAAGGATGATGACCGACTTGTTTACTAAGAATATTTTGACATATAAAAACAACGAAATTGACATTTATATCACGGCTTAGACCAGTATTAGGGTTGATGACCCACTATATGAAAATCGCCTCATTCAAAGCTGTTTGGAGCGATTTCAGAATCTGTATGCATTGTATATTCTCGGTACAGTACTTAATATCATTTGCTTTGAAATAAAAACAAAATGTGTACGTGCCGTTTGGCATAAACTATGCAAGGGAGACCATTCCATTATATTTTGAGAAACTTACAACAAAACGCAGTATTTTCGATGTAATAATGTTTTACACCCAGGCTCTCGCCACTTCTTGGCTTAAAGTCTTCGATAAAATTGGTTTGTTAGGCTATTAGTATAAATTAGTATCAATAATATTGGGCGGTTTTCTCTTGTCAGGTTTTAGGAGTTAGGGCCCGGAGAGAGAGAGAGAGAGAGAGAGAGAGAGAGAGAGAGAGAGAGAGAGAGAGAAATTGGGTTTAACGTCCACTCGACATAACTAGGTCATTTCGGGACTAACACATGGTTCGATTTTTTTTCAATAATAGGGGTCTTTAGCAGTGGGAGGAAACCGAAGGACCAGGAGAAAACCCACGAGGTTGGACAGGCGACCCCTACTCCTTGTCACGTACAACCGGGGAATCGAAACCCCGCCAGTTGACTCAATGACAGACAGTTGACTCAATGACAGACAGTTGACTCAATGACAGACCGTATGATACAGCGCGCCCGTGCTAACCATTCGGCCATCCAACCCCCCGGCCTGGCAAGAAACAACGTCTAGTCGTTCAGATGTGACGGAAATTTTGAGGTCCTGCGTACACATTACGTGCATTTAAAAAAACACATGACAGTTGGAATTAAACTGCTATCGGGGCAAAATTAGGACGTTCAATCCCAATTCATCCATTTAAAGGATATATACTATTCAAAAAAAGTAGGGGATATTTTATTTTTAAGTGTTATTAAAGTCACCTAATGAAACTGACGAAGAAACAAATGACAAAATGAAATGAAGTTCACATTCATCGATTTATTCCAAATGATCGTTAGACTAAGTAAGGCACAGACTGACCATTATAAGGGTAAAATGATACCCGGGGTCAAACAGCAAAGTTACCACAGCATCACAACCAAGTCAGTAACGGGTAAATCCTCCTCTGTTTGCCAAACAAGCATTGATCCGACGTGGCATACTCCTAATGAGACGTCTAAGGTCATTTTGGTCCAGATTGTCCCATTCCTGTTGCAACGCAGCAGCAAGTTCTTGGACATTGGCAGGACGTTGTTGACGTTGACGTAACCTCTGTCCAAGCATGTCCCAGGCATGCTCGATGGGGGAGAGGTCGGGACTCAGTGCTGGCCAAGGTAATGTGGTGATGTTCTGTTGTTGGAGGTAACCTGTAACGATCCTGGCCCTGTGACATCTTGCGTTGTCATCCTGGAAGATGAAACGGCGGCCATGACGTCGTGCAAACGGCACAACATGGACTGCCAAGATGTTGTCCCGGTAGTACTGGCCTGTAACACGCCCTGCAACAACATGTAAAGCCGTTCTTCCAGCAACAGTGATGCCTCCCCACACCATAACAGAACCACCCCCAAATCGATCATGTCTGATGACGTTAACGTCTTGGAAGCGCTCGTTTCGACGACGCCACACCCTCCTACGTCTGTCCAAAAAATCAACAGTGAACCTTGACTCATCTGAAAACATCACATTGCTCCAGCGTCGATTATCCCAGTGTTGACGATCCCTACACCAACGACGTCTTGCCTGAGTATGATGATCTCTCAAACAAGGGATCACGCGAGGACGTCGGGCGCGAAGGTGACCCCTATGCAGTCGATTCCGAATCGTCTGGCCACTCACTCTCACACCAGTGTCTGTTTGAAGACGAGCGCTGATCTGATTTGCTGTGATGACACGATTTCTCAAGGCCAAGGTACGGATAAATCGATCCTGGGCTTGAGTTGTCGCCCTTGGTCGACCTGAGCGTGGTCTGTCCTGTACAGATTGTGTATCACGGTATCTGGACCATAGCCTGCTTATGACAGACTGAGAAACATTCATCGTCCGCGCCACAACCGCCTGTGTTGTGCCGATCTGTAGCATGCCAAGGGCACGTAACCTTTCATTTTGGGTAAGCCGACGCATATCAAAATTTGTTTTCTGGTCACTAAAACAATTAAACTGATGTTTCCACCCTGGAATTCAATGCCACAATGACTGAAACATTCAAAGTCAGAGTCGTGCAAATCTTGGGTTGGACCCCCATGATGATCCCAAGCATCACCTGCATTCCATACGGTAGCTATTGGTGCGTTTGGGCGTCACATGTAACTGGAAATGTTTCTTCTGTTAGGTTCTATAGTGACTTTTTTCGTAGTCATTTGCATATTTTAGTATTATGCCCCCAAAATCAAATATCCCCTACTTTTTTTGAATAGTATATATCACGAAGGGCTGGTAGACCGACGTTTCGACCACAGTGCTTACATAGGCGCTAACTGCTTCGTTTTGAATTAGGGTTAGGGCTAAAAACCTGTGCGGCAGAAAGATCTACATTCGAACGTCAAATCTCCAGTCCTTTTATGTTTGGCAAAATATTTCGCTTAAAATGTAATTTCTTTCTTTAATACCGTATTTGAGGATTACTTATCGTCCTGTAAAAGAATAAAAGAAATGTCTGTTATACCAAGATGAATTAAAAACTACGATAGCGCTAGCTATATTATCCAGGGCACTGTTTCTCGAAATCTTAATTAAAGATAAAATCCAAATTTTAGTAGATACTTCAATTTTAATTGGCTAAGCACTAAAATCAATCTAATTTTATCCAATCAAATTACTAAAATTTGGATTTTATGTTAGTTAGAATTTCGTAAAATATCAAAATCCAGCAATCGATGGCTATATGTGTTGTGATGAAATAATACAACATGACTTTAGTAGTGGTGACTTTCGGGGTAGTGGTGGTGGTGTGTATGGTGTATGTGTGTATAGTGGCTGAGCGGGGGGGGGGGGGGGCGTATAATCCATGACTTTAAGAATGGTTTCAGTTTTTCAATTACAATTATATTATCATAGTAACCATTAAGAGCACCTCCTTTTGTATGGTTTCACCCCTCCCACACCCACCCATCCGCATTTTAAAGAGTCTGTAACCCAAGTGTCTACAATTTTAACATATAAAATCTATAAGCACGTTAGCCATTACAAACTGTAGACAGTTTGAAACGACTTCAGCTCTTATTGCTCATGGCGTATTCCTCACTGTACAAATATCAAGGCTAGCTTGCGTAATAACACTTCTCTTGGCTCTTCAAAGTCTTCAGTGGAAACCTTACAAACGTCGTATAATAATATCCCTGAGTGATCTGTCTCTAATGAATATAATAATCTATATGATAGCATCTCAAATATTGCTAATAGACAAATCAAATATTGCCAACACGTGTCCGTATTCACGTGAAAAGATTCTTTAGCTAACTACCGTTGGACATTTCGGCTTTTTAATTCAACATTTTCACATTATATCCACCAACACTAAATTAAACTGTCATGGCCTCCAGGATTCACTACTTTAATTGGTCAATCCAATAATTAATTGGGAGATGATATATGTAGGCTGGTTGGGGGAGTTCGGGAGTTTCCGGAGTCCACAATGGCCGCTTTATATAAATGTGTATTTTAGTGAATATTAACCCTAACCCTTATTAGAGGACTGAACTTAGATCCAATTTACCCTTTACCCCTCTTAAAAGGATTTGGGTTAGAGTTCGGGTTAGTATTCCTCAAAATAATTATTTATATAACGCGGCCATTATGGACTCCGGAAATTCCCGAAACTACAATTAGCATCTTCCTAATTAATAAGCCAGGAAATAGAAATATAATTTCTTATATGCGTATTAGGAGTTTTCTGTGCGTTAATAAAACTCACAGGTTGTCGATCTTTGGAACACAGATAACATACAAGCGGCTACTAAAACCACCCAGAAAAGCCACCATAATACTCTTTGCACGCATACAGTCTCTCAGTGAATGCAGTCGAGCTCATCATAACATTAATTGATTAATAATTAATTAAACTGAAAACTACATGCTATCACCTATCATCGCATATCCAAAATGAAAAATAGACATTTCTTTTTTAAAATAGAGAAAGGTGGTATGTGTTGTGAGGGGGTTGGGCTGCCGAATGGTTAACGCCTACTTGTCCAACCTCGTGGTTATCTCCGGGTCCTCCGGTTTCCTCCTACTGCTAAAGGCCCTGCACACTAGAGAATTATTGAAATAAAATTGAACCATATGTTAATCCCGAAATGACCTAGTGTGTGTGTGTGTGTCTCTCTCTCTCTTATGGGTGCCAACTATTTTCAACCTGGAAAACACAACTGGGACATCTAACACCATCCCGTTAAACGGGAGTTATCAAATACACCAAGTAAAGAAATGTTTATGAATAATGCTAGCATAGTAAAAATCAGCCTAGCGTCCCTTGATTATCGAAAAACCAAGCACTTCATACGAACGTTCCCTCTGAAAACCACTTAAACGTCGATTACTTTAAATAATTGTTTAACAGCTTCCTGGAAACCACTAAAATGCATTTACACCCCCTATGGCTTGTCAATCGTATTATGCTTTGCATAAAATTTAATTTGATGTAAAATTTAATTAAACAGATCAGATGAAGAGTTGCCAACGGCGAAGACCATAAAAGCGCTGATGCATGTGTTTACAACCACGGAGAATCCCCTTGCTCTTAATTAACAACAACAAAGAAAACTATTCATCTCTCGATGTTTACCATTATGAAAGCTACAT